CTCCACAAATTCGGATAAATTAACAAAATTTAATTTATTTTTAAATCCCAAATGGAAAAACTACAAAATATCCAAAAATATTTTTAATAATTTAAAATTAAAAGAAATTGGTGGAAATGGAGCAAAAAATCCTTTTTTGGAAATTTGTTTTAAATTTAATGAAATTGGAACATATTTTATTTATATTTATAATTATTCTCTATCAGAACGTATATTTAAATTTTTTGTTAAAGTTGAGGATGTGAATAAAGAAAAATGTTTAAGAAAAATTTTTGTAAATAATTATGAAATAGAAATATTACAAGAATTGGATGAATATATTCGAATTGAAGTTCTCAAAACAAAAAATAAAAAACAAAAAGATGGAGATATGCTTATTGTTAAAGGAATTAACTATAAATTAGACAATAATTTTATTTATAATGTCAGTATACAACCGATGTTTGAATTAAAAAATGAAGAATAAAGTTGTAATTGTTATAAAGAATACTTTTTATTTTAAATTTTTTGAAAAATTAATTTTGGAAATTTTTAAAAGAATTTTTTTAATCATTCTTCTGTCAATTTAGATTCTTTTTTTATTTTTGGGGAAATTCAAATTTTTGTATTTTATTCTTTTCTTTTAATTAATTTTACAAATAAAATTTAATTCTTTTTGTTTAAATACTGTTTAAATTTTTAAATAATTTTAAACAATTCTATTTTTGACAATAATATTTTAATTGAAAAATTATTAAAACTAGAATTATACATTAAAACCATTTGCCGAATTCGAACATATCCGTATAACTTTTGAGTTCTCGAATCTCAAAAATCATCGGGAAATAGGGGTACAGCAATTCAAAAAATAATTTACCCCTTAGAGCTTATTTTAAAATAGTCGAGATCTCAGTTATTTTGGTTTAAATGTTTCTGCGGTACTATGAAAGAGGAGATCAGTTGGCTTTTAATAGTTAAATATGATTAAGAAGTATTAATTGTGATATCGTGGGCATTTGGAGGTATTAAGAGAAATATCGAGAGTTGGCCGATATTTATCTAACCCTCTTAATCCTCACGATCTCCTTCGACATCTTCCCAAAACCTTTCAACCTCTTGATATTGTAATTGTTATAAAGAAATACTTTTTATTTTCAATTTTTTGAAAAATTAATTTGGAATTTTTTAAAAGAATTTTTTAATTATTCATTTATTATTTATTTATTATTTATTTATTATTTATTTATTATTTATTTATTATTTATTTATTTATTATTATTTATTATTATTATTTTATTATTTATTTGAATTGAAGTTTCTCTTATTAGTTTGAAGTTTGAAGTTTCTGAAGTTTCGCTTTCTGAAGAATTGACGTTTCTCCTAATCCCCTCATTTAGCCTGACGTTTAATCCACCGAAAATTAAAAGTAAAATAAAAAATATTTAAAATTCCAAAAATAATAAATTATAATTTAATCAAAAAATAAAAATAGATTACATTTTATGTACTATGTCTAGCAGGGATGGGCAGAGATACCCGATGACCGAAACCCGGATCGATCCGAAGAAAGTTTTGGAAACCCGCCCCTATATTTTCTCAACCTGGCCCCCTCTTTTCCTCTTTTAATATAAAATAAGGATAATAAAGAGAAGAGGCTTTTGAAATAATTTCTTTGAAATTGTTAGCAAAAGTGTAGAGTATGGAACAAAAAGTATGGGAACCAGAGATATTTCGAAATAAAAAAAATATTCGAAAATCGGAAATCAAAAAATATGTAAATAATAATTTGTAGGCATTTGGTGAGTATGTCATTTTAAGGAAAAGCCAGGAATCGGGAATCGAAATGGAATAAATAGGGAGGACTAATTAAACAAAAGTCGCGCATCGGGTAACCCGGCCCATCCCTGCTACATATTTAACATTCGCAGAAAAAGCGAAGATTTTGTGAATTTTGGAGTGACATGAAGCTCCCTAGCGAAAAACATTTATCTTTAAACAAAATTTTCTCATTTTTTCTTTTCTCCATTTTTCAATTCAAATATTGGTTGAATCACAGCTCGGTAAATATATTTACTATTCCCATTTAATTCTTCTTGTTTAACAATAAACAAATCCCCATCATTTTTACCTTCTTTATTTTCACTTTTAATAATTTTAATAAAAATATTTTTATTTAATTCTTTTAATATTTTTCCCTCAAAAACATTTCCAACAAAAATTTTCATTAAACATTTCTCTTTATTTTCATCCTCAACTTTAACAAAAAATTTAAATGAAGGAGTTGAATGGCCATAAATATAAATAAAATATTCTCCAATGTCATTAAATTTAAAGCAAATTTTCAAAAAAGGATTTTTTGCTCCTTTTCCATTAATTTCTTTTAATTTTAAATTATTAAAAATATTTTTGGATATTTTGTTATTTTTCCATTTAATTGAATTTAAAAATAAATTAAATTTTGTTAATTTAATAATATTAAATTTTATTATATCCTCTTCCAATTTTGCTTCGATTCCATTAAATTTTATAATATTATTTATATTTAAATATCCAAACATATATCCTTGACTAACTTGGGTTTGGTTTAAATAATTTCCATTTTCATCTCTTATATTTATTTCTATTAAACCATTGAAAACAGGTGTAATTTTAACAAGTTCCTTGAATTTAAGAATTTATTTTTTAGAAATTAAAAGTTTTATATATTTTTGTAGAAAAATATGAAATCACAAGATTGGATTGAGCTACAGTTGATTGCGTTTTAGCCCTTCTGCAGTGGTTTTATCATAAATATGTATACAGGGTGGGGCAAAAGTTTTGCCCCACCCTGTATATTCTTGACTTTCACCGCAGGCGCAAATCTCTCTCAAATTCCACGGCTTTCTGGGACAGGGACGGGGAGCTTTATTAAATGTTCAACCTTTTTGCACCTATTACTATTTTTGCATTTAATTTAGGTACTTATTTTAAATCTTTTAAGCATAACCTGAAAATCCGATCCCTTTAAGAAATTTAATTGTTTATAACTTTGGATGTAAATTAAGGAGGGCTAAAAATACATATTTTCTGTTAAATATTCCTTAAATTTTTTTGACTTTTAACGTGAAAGTCAAGAATTTACATTAATTTATATATTTTTTATTTTTTTACTTCGTTTTTTGTTTTATTTTCCAAACAAATATCCAATCCAGATTTAGCATATATATAAGGGACCTTTTCTTTTAAACAAATTATTTTTTTATTTTTATTTAAATAAATAATATCCTTTTTTGTATAAATTTTGTTATTTTCAGATATTCCATATTTACAATTGTTTGTTGATGCTAAATAAATCTTATCATTTTCACTTAACATTCCGTTTATTTCAATTCCAATATTTACATATTCTAGCCGCTAAAAATAAATATAAATTAATTAAAAGTATCCGGAATATATGGTGATTCTTTAATATTCAAGACTATATATTAAATAATATTTTAAAAGTATGCTACCTCCTCAACATTATTTTTAATAAATTCAATATTCATCAAATTAATTTTAATTCGTTCCTCATTTTCTTCTGTATATTCAACAAGAATATTTGGATTATTTAAAATATTATTTGAATTAATTAAATTAGTAAATAATATTAAAAATAAATAAATATTTATTTTTAAATTCATTTTCTAAAAAATAAATTTATATTATAATAATCCTATTAAAAAACCAAGCTTTTTTTAATAGAGCTCTATCCTTGCCTGCGTACTCTCCACCTCTTTTTAATCGTTTGTTTAGTACAGAGTTGTTTCGAATATTCGATTTGCGATTTTCGAATTTTCGAACTTTTGAAAAAATTTGATTCTGACTTTATCGGCCCTCGTACATTTAAAAAATTTTCGCCTGCGGCGCTGAAAAGGAAGAGATATTCGATTTCCGATTTTCGCAGATTTTTTTAGTTTCGAAACATCTCTGAAGAGGTATACAATACGTGAGATCTATACTGGAAGAGGATGTTAAAATTTCAGTAGGAAATAACAAAAATGCCAAAAATTCCCCGAAATTTTGGCAATTTGGACAAAATTCAGTTGAATTTCAAAACTTCTAAGATTCTATAATACATATATCTTTTAATTATTTTGAACATAAAAATTAAATAAATTTTTTAATAATATATAATAAAAATAAATATTTATTTTTAAATTAACTTCTTAAATATTAATTTATTTTACATAAGAATTATGTAGATAAGTTGCACTTCTTTCTCATATTTAAAAATTTACAGCCGGTACTGTATTAGTCTACAGTATACAGTACCAGCAATATGTAAGGCAAATAATAAAATTTATTATTTTGAAATTTTTTCTTTGAAATGACAAAAATAAATCATAAAAATTCTTATTGTTACCATATAAAATCCCAATTACCTAATAGTAGCAAATACATATAAACCATTGAGAAGGACATTGAATGTTAGGATCCTATTAATGGAAAATTCACTGATTTAAGGTTTTTATTTATTCTATTAGAGAAGTTTCTGAGACAAAATTATCGCTATCGCAGTATCTGGCAAATATTTATTGCTATTATGTACTTCATGCTTTCTAAGCTCCTCCAAGTGGCCAACTATATTTTAATTAAAAAAAGATATCTAAAATTAAGCAGTTTGTTAAATTAATAATCAGTTTGTTAAATTATTAATCAGTCTGTTGAGACAAATAATTGCTGATGTTTGGCAACGTGAAGAAATCCTTCTTATTAATAGAGAGATGGGAATTATTTGATTGAGACTAATTATTTAACAAGGGAAAGCATAACGAGTCTTTCCTTTTCCTTTCACATTTGCTATTAAAGGTAGGTGGAAATTTCGACTGCCGACGTTTTTTTCTCCTCATTTACTAGTCATTTCGAGTTCAACTTAAGCTTGATAAATAAAATCTCCATTAATTAAAGCCCTGGCTTTTTTAAATTTACATTAAATATAAAAACAAGCAAATACAACATTTAATAAAGCTCTAAATAAATTCTTTTAACTTATTTATTTTTTATGTTCTTTTTAAATTTCCAAAAGTTTTATTATTAGAAGAAGAACATCCCCCACCACCACTACTAATTGTTGTAGTTAATTCAATTAAAGAATCTACTCTAACTAAAGGTGCTGGCCCTTTTGGAATATTTTTGTGTATAATTATTGCTGTGCTTGATTTACGTCTTTTTTGTTTTTCTTCTTCAATATTATTATTATTTAATTCTTTTTTAGAAAAAGGAAATTGTTTTTGTTGTCTAAAATTTAAAATTAAAGAAATAATCAAAAGGTATCTTTAAGATTACCTTTGATTATTCCTTTCAAATATTATAGGCATTGTTTCCTCAACATTTTTATTTTTCCTATATTCTTCTCTTTTACTTCTAAATGTATATTCTGCCATTGCATCTGTACTTGATGCTTCTTCACTTAAAGAAAATTCTGTAGTTGGATACATTTTGGTTGTTTTAGAAGCATTTTCAGAGGGAAGGTGGACTTCTGCCTGGACAAATATCTCTTCAGCAGAATTTCTTTGAAAAAAATAATTTTTATTAAAATTTGAAGAATAAATTAATGAATTAAATAATTAAAATAATTAATACATATATCATTTCTCAAAAGTTGAAAAAGTAACAAACTCTCCAGCAGAACCATACTCTTCAACAGAAACACACCCTATGAGAGGCTCGAAAATATAATCACATGTGGTTCTGTTGAAATATTTACAGCATATTTTGGGTAAATCTGTGTTTTCAGGTTTTCTTAGAATGACTAATAAAGTAAGGAAAACAAAAAAAAACATTTTCTATTTAATTTCTCTCTCTATTTATTTAATATTTTGAATAAAAAAAGGCAAAATTTAAATAACAAAAAAGCACCTTCTCTCTCCCATAGAAATCCCATTTTCTTGAATTTTTGTTTCCTTTTGTAATTGCCTTAAATTATCCCCAGCGGCAAAAGTATTAGCTCTACTCCTTTCGTTTGTTCGTATTCTTTTAATTGTTGACTGTCTTGAACGGCGCAATTCTGCATTATTTTCTTCTTGTAATATCTAAAACAGTAAACGAGTCAGAAAATTATTTTTTTTAATTTTTTTAAATTTTTAAATATGGATTTGGACGTTTCGGTTTTCGATGGTTATCTTTTTCATTTTTTAATGAAAATCCAATTTTCAAAAAAAAATTTACAAGTAGTGGAGCTTTGGAAGGGATCAATTGTTGAAGTAAAAGCTAAGCAAAAGCCTTGCTCTAGTTAAGAATTAAACCTGTGATCTCGTATTCAGGCAATATTTATTACAACTTTTAACCCTCCTCCCCCCCCCCCCCTCCAAACGTCCTCTTAATTAATTAAAATTCCCCAATATATTTCTCCCTCAATTTATCCCCACACCAATCTGGGCGTGCCGATCTCGAGATTCTAGAGTAATTACACAAGCAACAATTAGCAGAAACATTCCAAGACCCATTAAAATAGGGCCAACATATTGCATACTCTTCAATATAAAACGAAGCCAACCAACAGGCTTTTCTTTATCCTTTGAGGTATTTCCGTTTTGAGAAGTTTCTGGGACAAAATAATCGCTATCGAAATATCCAGCAACTATTAATAAAAGAATTATTAATTAGTTTAATCATAAGAAGCCCTTTTGGACTAAAAAAAGGGAGTAAGTAGTATGTTTATGTTTAAGAAGCTCCTCCTAGTGGCCAACTAGATTTTAATTAAAAAAGTTATCTTAAACGAAGCAGTATCTAACATATAATAGTGAGTTCTGTCTGTATTATTTAATCGTTTTCAAACTTTATGGTGAACATTAGAGATAGAAAATAATTTTTTATAAATTAATTACCAGTCATAACTAGAGCCAATATCATCATTATTGTTCCGATTATTACTGTTACGCAAACTGACCATAATGTCTAAAATTGAGAATAATTAATTGATACAGATAACTCTATTTTGTATACACCCCTCAAAGATGTGCTAAAACTCTCATTAATAAATCTTCAGTATAAGAGGCCCTCTATTTTTTGGTTATAACAGGGGTGTAAGTGAGTTTTGTCATCATAATTGTTCAGATTATTACTGTTAGCCGAAATTCTTATAAAATATAAGATTTTAATTTGTGGCAAGTTTCCCAGAAAATAAACAAAGGATTAGCAGTATGAAGTATTTAATTTTAAAAAATCCCCCCGATTTAACCACTTGTTTGTCGAAGAATTCTGCAAGTTTAAAAATTTTTTCAATAAAAATAGAAATGACTGAAGACGATTTTTGTATTCTTTTTTTATTTTTTGCCATTAAAAATATTTTTTAAATTTAATTTTATAAAATTTAAAAATTGATTGGGGGGAAAGAGAGAAAGTTTTGTGTGTTTTGTTTTAACTAAAAAAGTGTTCCTTCCAGTGTTCTCTTTTTTAATTTTTTTTTCTTGCGCAAACAAAAGTTTCTTTTTTTGAGAACAATAACTAAAAGTTGATTTTGTTGCAGATTTATTTAAAAAAAAATTTTTTTCTTTAAACTAAAAATACATAGGTATCTAGACAAACCAAAAAGGTTCCCAATTAATAAAAAATTTTCCAAGCTTCATTTAAAACCTCATTTTTTGTTAATTTTTTATAAATCGCTAATATTTAGTTTTATGTAAAATAACCCAAAAGTTAACATTGGTTAATTTGTCCCTTTAGTAAAACGGTCCTCGAAACTTGTAAGCTCCTGTATGTACTTCCCCAACTTCCAAACTAAAATGCTCTTTAATTTTTAAATTATTTCAAATATTCTCCCATGAATCAATTTAATAATTAACAATAAATGTGCAAATTAAAAATGAAAATTAAGAAATTTTTTAAATTATTACTTTTATTGTTGAAAATATCTAAATATTCTTAAAAAATAGTTATCAAAAATTTTTAGCGGGTCTGCTTGTGTCAGTGGTAGTCTGCTTGACTACGAAAAACCCTGTGGAGTTAGATGTGAAAGTTCGAACCCGCGTTCCTTTTTAGTGGTCGTATAGTGCAATCGGATAAGTCTCGGATCAGAAATTTTTATCACACTATCAGAACCAATCTCTTATGGAGTACAAAAATTTTTTAAGTCCCACTAGGATACGAAACCACAGGAAACGGAAAGGAAGTTTAATTAAATGAGAGAGGAATTAATGTAAATTTAAATAACCTCTACTCTTTCTCTGTAAACCCCCCCCCCTCCTCCAAAATCCCCAAATATTTATATATTTTTCCCCACCTTCGGATCCACACATTTTTTTATAATTAATTTTTTCTGTTGTTGTTTAGCTGCTTTTTGTTCTTTTTTTAATTTTTCAAGTTTTATTCTGTCTGATTTTGGCATTTTCTCAAGTTCTGAAAGATTCATTTTGCCAATTCCTAAACTAACACCTCTGACAGTTAACATTTTTTAATTTTTTTTCTAAAAAGATTTTTAAAATTAAAATAAGATTTTAAATAATTAAAAAGTTCTTTTTCCAGTCTCAAAAATTAGTAATAATAAATTTTATCTTAATAATTTTAAGATAAAAATTTTCAAAAAAATCCTAAGCGATAATTAACCCTCTAAACTCGTTATACATTGGAATTTATGTATAATAAAAACACCTACACGGATTTTTATTATGAAAAAGTAAATATAGTTAATTTAAATAATTAAATTGTGTTGACTTAAATTTAAACTATTTTATGTCAATTTTAAGTTTTTCTTCAACGGCACAAATAAAAACTTTTATTTTTCAAAGTTTGGCACTCTTAAAGATTTTTTAAAAGCAAAGTTTTGCTTGTAAATGACGGCAAAAAAAGGCGGAAACCCTTTCAGGAAGAGAAAAAAAACAAAAAAGTCTGTGCCATTTTATCAAAAAAAAAGTAGCACGAGAAAAAATCAATTTGAGAGAAGTCCCTTTTTCCCCTATTTGTCGCGAATAAAAAAAGCAGCTGCCTTTCTTTTATTTTTTAAAAAGTCTTGAATGGGTGAGGCTTTTTTGTTTTTAGAAAGATTAATTTTTTTAAATAATTAAATTTTTTCCAATTGTTTTTTAAACCTCTTTAGAATTAAATTAATTAATCAGGCTTGTTTAAAATAAAGCACATACTAAATAGTAAATCCCTCTAAACAACCTAACATACTATTTATAAATTAATTTTGAGATACATAAATTAAAAGATGTAGAGGGAATTATAGGTGACTGGGCCTAATTTCCGGACTAGATTTTCAAAACAATTTCTGTCCAGAATCTGAGTTGTTCTTGAAAATTAAAATGGTCCGGCCCAAAAAGAACCCTTTAAACCTCTCTGGGCCAGATTAGTAGGTCCTTTATATGATCGGGAATAATATGGAAAAAATTTACGTCTTTCAATTACCCTTTTACACCACTCAAATTAGTAAGTTTCTCAATAAAAAATTTAAAACAATTTAAAATTTAATCAGCATAAAGTAATTTTAAAGGAAATTTAGTTTTAAAAAATATATTAATTTAATATATAATTTTAATATACAATTTATAAATTAAATAATTTTTTTAATAATAAAAAGAATATATAAGTAAAGAATTTTAGGTAAATATTTCAGACCCCCCCCCCATTTTTAGTTCAAAATAAAGACAAAAGTATGTTTTTTTCTAGAACAATAAATTGTGAATAATTCAAAAAAATAATTTTAAATTTATTTTTGTGACATAGGAGATGGGGAAAATTTCAAAAGAAAATTTTTAAAATAATTCAGAAAAACCGAAAATAATAAAAATAAAAGGAAAAATAGGTACACATTTAATTTTGGAGGGTTTTTCGGTCATGCACACAAAAATTCGCAATTAGAATAATTTGTAAAAAAATTTTTGTTTTTCCTTATTTGAATCTAAAGATTTTTTCTGAAAAATTGCTCTTGTATGAAAAATTGCTCTTGTATTTTTTGCTGAAAAAGTGCAGAATGAAGCAAAATCACAAAAATCAACTTGTTATTCATTGTCTTTAATGCACAAAATAATTGAAAATTTTTGTGTGCCTAACCGAAAAGCTAAACTTTTTAAAATAATTTTAATAATAATATATTTGTGTGTAAGTACTAGAAAAATAAATCTTTCTCATATATAATCTTTTTTAAATAATATTATTTAATTTCCAAAAAAATAAACTTTCAATTAACGTCCAAAGGTGCCTGATTCTCTGGAATTAAGGATGTGAAGAATGCCTGAAATGTTCCCCAAAAAATACTCCATGCAGAAATTCCCGAATTGTTAACAGGTGTTGGCTGCTGTTGTTCTGTAGTTAGTTGTTGATTCCCTTCATTTTGTATTTCTTGTTGTTGTTGTTGTTGGCCATTTTGTGCCTAAAATTAAATTTTTAAAAAGAAATTAATTTTGAGACAATAATATTAAAAAAGGAATCGGAAGTTTGGAAATGTCTCCTTCCTTTATTAACAGTAAAAAAGTATTTCAAAATTTGTATGTAATGTAAAAAGGAGTTTTTTGAAGTTATAAAAAAAATTTTCAAAAATTATTTGGTAAATGTCCGGTTGGTGTCCTACATGTCCGCAAAGAGAATGCGCATTTTTCCTTCCTTTTCTTGCATTTTTTTCTGCAAGGAGTGGCGCCCATTTTTCCTTTGTGTATGGTAGCTTTTTGGCATGTCGAAGGAAAGAGGGAAAATAATGAAAATTAATTACTAATAAAGTACTTAATTTAATACTAATAAAGTTATTAGAACTAATAATGTTAGATTGATTTACAAACAGAATTAATTGACTTTAGGTTTAGATCGGTTAGGATATCAACACCGAACAGTAAATCATCAACAATTTTTTATGAATCCAGCCTATTATATATTTTTATAAATTAAAAACAAAAATTAACCTCTCTATTATTCACTTCTCCAAGTCTTGCTTCACCAGCAGCTGCTTCCATAGCCCGTTGCTGCCTTCCTCTAAATATATTTACCAACCAAAAAAGTCCAATCATTGCAAGAACAAACACAAAACGTTCAAGTGATGAATATAATAATAAAACCATTCCCAACAAAATAAAACGAATTGATTTGTAGATAATATCCAAAAAGTCTGGGGCAGCACGGGGTTCGTTGTTTTGTTGAACATTTGCAACTATAGGCATTTGAAGAGGTACTTGTTGTTGTTGCTGAATAGGAGGAAGTTGCTGTCCAAATGCGGCAGCGTTAGAGAACTAAAAAGAAATGAATAATTTTGAAGAATACAAGAATAATCATAAATTAGGGGCCGGCCAAGAAGAGTGAATAAATTTGATAAAACTCGAAAAACTCAATCAAGTACTCTAAAATATCCTATTTATTGTTAGCCCTAAAATCGATATTTTTTGAATTAAAAAAAAAGAAAAACACGGGGATCAACTCAACTCATTCACTAATCTAACATAAGAACCTGTGCAAAAACAGCTTGTTGAGCAAAAGCTGCCTGACTTAATGGATTCCACATTGGCCATTGAACACCTCCATAAGGCATTCCAACAGCATTCTGATACAAAGGCATCATTTGTGAAATACTAAAAATTAAACAATAATTTAGTTAAAAATATTAAAAATACTATTGTTGATAAGCATTCATCCACGCTTGTTGCTGATCCTGTTGTTGAGTCGGGTAGAAATTGTTTGTTGGGAAAGGCATAGGCATTGAATTACCTGTACCATTATTAACTGGGATTTGAGAGGAATTATTTCCAGTGCTAAAAAGGTGAATAAATAAAATCAAAAATGAAAAAAATCCAAGATGATTTAAATTTGAAACTTGTAATTGGGTAAAAATTCATGGAAAAAATTTTGGGGGGTTTAGGCGTTTTTCTATCACTTTCCTCCCAAAATTTTTTCATTTACCCCTTTCAAGGAAAAAGGCTATAGCCACATATCCACGCCCTTAAAGGAAACCCCTATTTACCTTAAAATAAAAAAAATTTACCTAGAACTACTCCCAGCACTACTTGCTGCAGCCGATCTATGCCGAACAGTTGGAGAAGCAACCTTTCCAGTATAAACCATATGGATAACTTGTTTTTCAAGTTGTTCATCGGGAGAACGGGGCATTCCATCCCTTTGCTGTTTTAAAACATCTTTAATTGTTTGTTCATTTTTAAGGCAATGGCCGGCATAAATTAAACGTTGACGTTCAACTTCCTTAAAAATTTAAAAAAATAAAAAATCAAAATCTAATTACCGGATTAAAATCACAAATTTGTGTTAAATGTTCTTTTAATTGCAAAACTGTCCAATTTTCAAAACATTCAACATTGTAGTCAGAAAATGTTTGTAGAGCACAACGAATCGTTAATTGTATTTTTTCTTGTTGGGACATTTGTTCTTTGAATTTTTTTGAAAATTTTTTGTCGAGTCTTTAAGTCTTTCTAAAAATAAATTTTTAAACAAAAAGTGTCACAATTCAACTAAAAATATTTAAGAAAAAAAGAGAAAAAATATTTAAAAGCCTCCGCAGTCCTATGATCGATTAATATCGAGTGAACGTTTGGGGGAAATAAAATACATACTACTTTTATTGGACGTTTACTTATAATTTCTTTTTTTTTGTTTGTGAATAGTGTAAAGAGTGGGGATTTAATTTTAATAAAAATATTATTAAATGATGAGTTATTAATTGGTTGCTTAGCGCCAGCTAACAGCTGCAGCTGTTTTACACATAAAGGCTACGTTAATTGGGTAGGGGACGATTCAGTATCGCCGATTCAGTATCGCCAATTCAGTATCGCCGATTCAGTATTGGCCGATTCAGTATTTGGCTTTTTTGGCCATAACTTTTTGCTCGATCAATATTGTGGGAATTATTATATATGATTTGATAGGCCTCGGGGTGCTGCATCTTTTTCATAATTGGACTGACCTGATCTTATCACTCTACAAAAAGTTATCACTGATAAACGACGTCACAGGCATAAAGAATCGGTTTTCATGCTGTAACTTTTTTTGTGATCATCAGATCAGATCGGGCCAATTATGAAAAAGATGTCGAATCTTGAGACCATTCGAATGATATGAGAATTATTCAAATCGGTCGAATATCAGGAAAGTTATGGCCATATACTGAATCGGCGGATACTGAATCGGCGATACTGAATCGGCTATACTGAATCGGCGATACTGAATCGTCCTTAACCGACGTTAATTTAATCAGACACAAATTAGACGATAAAATATCAAAATGCCAAAGAGAAGAAAATATACGAAAGACCAAAAAATTAATTAAATATTTTTAACTATAACTTTTTAGTAAATGATCAGACTTGATAGGTCCAGTTAGAAAAAAGATTCAGATTAAATGGGGCTTTCGAATGATATAAAATTTATTCAGATTGGACCAAGACTAAAAAAGTTATAATTTTTTAAAGCATCAGACTCAACTGACCCTCTATCCCAAATTTTTGCTGACAGCTTTCAGTCACTAATTTCTCTTTTTCTCTAATGTCTCTTATTTTAAGTGTTACACTCGTTAATTTATTTCTCTTTCCGCAAAACAATTCATGTCTGTCAACGTGGCTGAAACTTCTTTTTATCGTGTTATTAAATTTCTTTTCTACGTAGAATTAATTTTTAATAATTCTTTAAAGTTTAATTTTCTTTTAAAAACTTTTTAATAAATCTTTTATTTTATTTAGTTTTTAACACTTTTATTTTCTTCCTTAACTTTAAATTCTTCTGAAAATGGGCGATTTTGGCGAGTGGTATCGGTCAATACCACTAATTACTAGATATTGGTTTACTGGGGCAACAGTTATTCCCTTAATGGGGCGTTTTGGATTATTTAGTCCATATTTGATGTTATTGGACTTTGAATTATTTTTCTACAAATTTCAGGTTTTTTTAAAGAATTTTTATTTTAAAAAATATTTTTAGTTATGGAGACCGATAACTGCACTATTTTATTACCCAGTTACTCCACAAACAGGATTTCATTGGCTTTTGATGTGTTATTTTCTTTACAATTACTCAAAAGATACGGAAACTTCTGTTTATGATGGAAGGCCTGCAGACTATTTATTTATGTTAATATTTAATTGGATTTGCTGTGTGGTAATTTTTAGAATTTATTTAGTTGAAATGTTTCTGAAAATTCAGATACATAATTTAAGTCTTAACTGAACCGATAAGTGTAGTTAAAAGTATCTAGGTTATTCAAACCTTTACGCCCTAAATTTGTGACAAAACTGTGGCCGGTAATACATACTTAAGATCATTGGTCTCGAGAAAAAAAGAGAAAAAATTAATTCTCTTTCGGTATTTTTGAAGCTTTCAGTAGGTACATAAGCGTGCTTTTTTCTTTCCAGTTTTCCGAGTCAGAATCTGAGATTATAATTTGGCCATTTCGAGATTTTCTTCTAGGGACCTTAATGATTACCACTATGGCCTAACATAAGAAAATTAGCAATTTTTGAGGAAATACTCCGTGAGTTTTCCTTCATTCTCTTTCCTGTTCATTTCCTCTCCAAAAATATTTATACTCGCTTTTATCTTTAATAGATAAAAAAAATTTTTCAGATAATCTGTTTTGTCTCTGAAATTTATTTTTTATTGGAACCAATGGTTTTGAGTGTACTCTATGTTTGGTGTCAATTTAATAAAGACCGAACAGTTTCTTTTTGGTTTGGAATGCAATTTAAGGTTTATTTTTATTTATTTTTAATTTAACAAAATTTTTTCAGGCTGTTTATTTGCCTTGGGTTCTTGTAGCTTTTAATATGGTTCTTAGAGGGGGAGGAATTAATGAACTTATTGGAATTCTTGTTGGTCATACTTATTACTTTCTTGCCTTTCAATATGCTTTGGATTATGGGGGTTCTGTGATTATTAAGACACCACAATTTTTGTGAGTTTTTAAAAAAGTGTTTGGTAACTTAATTGCCTAATCTTTGAATATAAAGAGGTTTAAGAGTTGATGATCTGTTCCGATATTTGCGGACAAATATAGCTTATTTACTTGAATAAAGTATTATACCATAATTGTCAAACCTCTTTATTAAAATTATAAGAGATTGACTTTTTGGGTCCCATCTTTGTCTTTTTTTAATTACCATTAACTTTTATTCAATAATTTATACGTTTATTTAAAGGTTCCATATGACTTCTAGGGTGGTTAAGTTGGATAATTTGGTTGTTGACTATTAAATTCGTTATTGGTTCGAGTCCTTAAACCAACAAAGATTTTTTAAATATGCAAGAACCAGCGATACAGGAAGTTTTTCAAATCCTGTATATCCTAGATTCCTTGCTAAATTAATTATTTGAAGTTTGAGAGGCAAATATATTTGTTTATGAATTTGTTCTCTAGGATTCGAAATTACATTTTTAATTGAAAAAAATTTTTTATGATTAGATGAGTGAGAGTTTTGTTTAAGATTAAAAATTTAAGTTTCCAATATTTAATTTCAATGATTTAGATACAATTATCTTCCAAATCGGGTTGGTGGATTTGCTGGTTTTGGAAGCGTTCCACAAAGCAGAACCGCAACAAATCGTGGAGGAGCAACAGGCGGTGGAGGTCATAATTGGGGTACAGGACGAGAACTTGGAGGAGAACAACGATAAAGGAGATATATTGCAATTTTTATTTTTTGGGTGTTTTTTGTAAAAGTATTTATTTTTCCGTTCAAGTGGATTATTTATAAAATAATTTTTAAAAAATAATTTTAAATCCTTGTAGGTAACTGTAATATTCCTATTCAATTTACTTACAATAATTCTAGGTGTTATTTTACTTTTTTTACCACTTGAGCGGAAGTCTTACCATCAAAAACATTTTTTTTATTAAAAGAAAATTATCGACATACAAATTTACATTTGTACAGAATAAGAGAGAATTTTTTTGTTAATTTTTGGGTCTTTTAATTAATTTCTTAGTTCCAAAATTTTTTTTCCTTTTTTTAGTTGAGATCCTCTAATTTTTGACTAGTTTATTATAGATATTGAGGAGGATGTTGTAGGCCTAGTATTATTTTCATTTTCTTCTTGTTCCTCATTTTTTATACTCTAAATTCTAAATATAAGTTTTTCTTGTTTTTTAAAATTAATTTAATTATACCAACCCTGATATGTGCATTTTGTCTTCTTAAATCAGATTTTATTAAGGCTGTTAAAATAAAACCAACAAATAATAAGGCGGACATAATTACGTTACACCATAAAATTGATAGATCGTGAAGTACCTAAATAAATTATTTAATTAGAAAATCAAGCTTGATTTTAAAATTATAAGGACGGGTTATTTTGATTATATTTCGAGTAAAGACTGCGCATTTACAGGATCAAGCATGTGAGGGGTTTCTAGAAAATTTTTTCCGAAATTGTAGTTCAGGGGGAATTAATTTACAAATAAGCTCAATGAATGCCTTAGTCAAATTATTATAAAATTCTGGCCTTGGATTCCTTGTCCTGGGTCAGTTCGTTTTTAAAATACCGTTATTATCCGCGTTAATTTAAATTAATATTTACAAAAAAATAAAAATTCTATTCTCTTCACCTTTCCCATTCCAAATGTCATGGCAATTCCAAAAGCTTGAGCTGACCCATTCAAAAGCCCTGAAGTTGTCCCTTCTGCAATTGGAAAAGTTAATTCAGCAGCAAATTCAAAACCAAGAGGTAAATAACCGGTCATAAAAAATCTGTAATGAAATTGTTCTATTTATGTATTTTTTAATTAAAGAAATTTTACCCAAGAGCAATTGCAATAATAAAAATTGTCCAAAGCGGCCATCTTGCCAACGTAAAAGTAAATACAATCATTCCAAGAAAGGAAAATAAATAAACTATTAATGTTGTCATTCTGAAAAAGAAAAAATTATAATGTTCATATTGTGGAAAAATTCATTGGACGGGAAATGGAATAGAACCATCATGGAAAGGGCCCAAACCGAGGCACAACCGACTGTGTCAACATCCAACCCGATGCGGGTTATTTTTACAATTTATATTCTTTCTGCAAGTGCGGACACAACAAAAATAAAATTTAAGACACCCTAAGTTGATGTCCAGATTTCCCTCTAAAATTATTTTCTGGTTTGGGGGAAAATTCTTTATTTTTTGGAAATTCTTTCCACAGAAAGCCCCCCCCCTAAAAATTTTTTAAATTCAAAATTCCTCTCTTATACTTAAAATGATGCCATTTATCAAGAACATAGCCACAAACAACAGAACCAAACATTCCACTAACAACAATTAATAACCCTATTGTGCCTGTTGCTTTTTGTGCACCCTCATGATAAAAAAGTATCATTTGACTTAAAAGTGTAGATATTGCATAAAATACGCCAACATTAATTCCTTTTAAAAAATAAATTTTATTTTTTAGAAAAGGTTGTAAATTGTTGCTTAATATTAGTATTTTGTGAACAAAATTACTAATAACTCGACCTATACAATAGAGATCGGAAATTTTGAAAAGCCTGGGCCTGTTCCTGGGTTCCGGGTTTGATTTATTGACCTGGGTCGGATCCTGGGCCTGTAGTCCAGGAAAAACCCAGGAAGGTCAACAAATGCCTGGGCCTGGACTCTGGGTACAGGAAAATGGTCCAGACCCAGACCGATCTCTAGTCCACAATCCCTCCCTCCCTAATTAAAAAATTCTTTTAAAAATATTTTCTTCTAATTTACCATAAGTAATAAGCAAAAGTATATAATTTCCATTTTTTAACAAATTTTTAATTGACCGTCCAAAATCTCCTTCTCTAGATTCATCAATTGCTTGCATTTGGGCATTTGATGGAGGAAGAGGAGGTTTTTCAGCAAAAAATAAGGCAATAAATATAAAAATAATCGAATTTACAACAGCAGAAATTAAAAATAATAAGCTTAATTGAAAGCTTATACTCTCTTTATTTCCGGGATGTACAAGCAATGGAGGGAGTATAAAGCCAATAGCAATACCTAACTTTAAATTTGAAGAGGAAATTATTTTATTTAAATATTAAAAGCTTTAGTAGGGAAGAAGGAATAAGGGAGAGGATAATTAAAGCCAAAAACTAAATGATCGGGTTTAAGTCATGAAAAAATTAATATCAATGGATCTTAAATTTAAATTTAGTCTTTTTTTCTAAATATTTTACTAAAAGAGAGACAAAGATAGATTTTGACAAAAAATATTTTCCAGAACAGATGGCGGGTTCACTCTAAGGTTGTCGGATCCGGATCCGAAAAAAGCCGGATATCCGGAAATTTTCGGTTCGGATATCAGATCCGGATATCCGAGGATTTCCAACTATCCGACAGTCTTATTCCCTTCCTCTAAAAATAAGATTTAACCCAACCAATTTGGACCTCTTTTAAATAAACTATTTATATATCCACCTGATTTCCAAAAACCCCAGCAGCACAAGCTGTGGATACTTGTTCTGGACCAAACCAAACAGCTGCCAGTCTTGGAGGAATTCCCAAAATAAAAACTTGGGAAGAGCCGACAATCTGTATTTAAAGAATTTGGTTAATTTAAAAAATCAAAATTCACAGTTTGGGCAATAAATGTCAGCCAAAATCTGTCTGGGGTTGTCGATAAAATTTTAAGCCAAGCACCAAAACAATTCCCAAAAGCACCAATCATAACAGACATTCTAAGGCCATATTTATCCAAAAACCAACTACAAAAGTAAATTTTGAAAAATATTTTTTTTATTTTCCTTCACCTTCCAGGGAAAATCAAAATCTAAAAAAATTTTTTATTTATAAAAAAATTATTTTTAGGGACCATATAAGTGAGCATATAAATCATTGATGTCCAATCTACAGTTGTATATTCAACATTATAATATGCGTGAATTATGTGTGCTATTATGCTGTATTCTGAAAATATGTAGAAAACAATTACACAAGACAAAGGTTTTCCATCCAGAATTTGTCTCTTTTGAAAATTGCACATTTTGTACACTCTCTCACTATTTGTATGACCAACATCCGGAAAATTCCGGAAGTAGATTAAATTGTGTCTCCTCTATTGCTTCCGGTTTTATGGGGAGACACATAAAAATGAGAGATACTGTATAAATAAAGGAGAGACATTCCGGAACAGACAAAATAATTTTCCGTTTATTAAAATTAATTTACCTATCCATTGCATGGCATTTGAGGCGGAGAGGAGAATAAACCTAAAAAATTCAAAAAAAATTAAAATTATAATTTATTTTTCCCCAACATTGTAAGCATTGCATATCGTCTCGAATAAATTTTTGTTCTTTGTTGTGAAGAATTTTCTGTTGTTTCCAAAACACCATTCGTAGTTGAATTAGTAGATCTTCCATTTTTCTCGTTTCTTTTATTTTGTTGTTGTTGTTCTGTTTCTGTCAAATGGCGTTTTACGGCTGTTTCTATATCACTTTCTTCATCTGTACTGGACATTTATTGTGAAGTTTTTTTGAGAGATAAATAAAATTTAAGAAATTAAAAGAATAAACAAAATGATATTTAAATAAATATATGTAGGTAATAGTCCTCTGAAAAATTAAATTAATTAAATTAATTGCTTTTAAATTTCGAATTAAATAAAATAATGAAATGTAGGGGTAGATTTTTAGTCAAATCGGGACAGTTTCACAAAAATGGTCCAAATTTGAAATGAGTCAGTTTTTGTAAAGCTAACGGGATATATAAGCAAACTATTTCTCATTATCAACTTTTCCTGTCCCAAACTTCAACAGACAGGCTGGCACATATGTTATAGAATAAAGATGCCGTTCGTACTTTCGGATTATAAATGAGAGTGAGAGAGAGTTTGTAGACATTAAATTAAAATAGAAAAATTCCAGAAATATTTCTAAATAAGTAAACGAATTTGAATTATTTTTTAAAAAATTAGGAAAACAAAAAAATAAATTAATATATATTAAACAGTCTAGAAGATAAAAAAATTTTTTTAAATCTTTTAAAAGAGAATTTTCAAAGTGGAATACTTAAAAATTATTTTTTATTTACTAAAAAGCACTGATTTTTTGTTTGTTTTTGTGTTAAAGTGTACCCAAAATTTTAAAAGAAATTTTAAAATAAATATATTTTATTTTTAGTTAAATTACATATATTTCATTACAAATTTGAAAAATTTTTTTTTGCAAAATTATTTTCTGATAAAAACAAAAATTCTAAAAATATACAATTTTGTCTCCTGAAATAGCTACCTTTCAGAAAAAGCTCTAATTCAATTCCTAAAGTTCAAGCGTTGGGGTTGGTTTCCGTAACATTTTCACTTGCCAAAGACTTTACGCCACCTGTTTTGGAACTTTTCGTTAGCTTGCTAATATAAATTTCGATTTCCTAGTCCATTTTTAAAATTTACAGAAGATCAACTGGATGTCCCAACCCAACTGGTTGTAAATCTCGAATCCAAAAATTTTTTGTAACCCAACCCCAAGCCTTAACTCCCAAAAGAATGAATCCTAGAAAAGTTATTTTCGCTTATATTTATATGAAGGCCAATTATGTAAATTAAAATATTATTCTTTTAATATCATCAAATCTAGGTATAATTAAAATAAAATAATAATTATTTATACCAATTTAACTAATAAAAATTTCTAGAAAAATTCCAATCCTTAAGTAAAAAAATATTTTCTTTTTAGAAAAACATAAAATAAATTTAAAAAATAATTTTGTTATTCGTCAAAAAACAAATTTAAAAATAAATTGACAAAAAAAATAAATTTATTTATTGATATAATTGTATTTAAAAACGAAAAAAAGAAAATTATATGGAAGAAAAAAAATAAAATAATGCTTTTTTAAAGCCAAAAAATTTATTAAAGAAAATTTGGTAATTTTTAATTGAAAAAGAATATTTTTTGACTAAAAAATTTACGAAAAAAAAGTAAATAAATAAACATATGTATTTAGTACGTTAAAGGGAATAATAATAAAAATAATTTTTGTTGCCATAGCACTTTTTATATTTAAAAAAGGATTTTCGAGAATTAAAAAAATAAATTTATAAATAAAAAAATATCTTTAATAATTCTAGAAATTTAATAAAATCTAGCACTTTTAAAAAAACAAGATAAGAGAAAATACAAGGAAACTTAAAAATACCCAAACCCCCCCCCCTTAAAGGATTTTAAAAAATTATTTTTTTTAAATATTTTAATTGATTTTTATTAAAAAAATAATAGCGCGGACGCTTACTAATAGACACGTGAAAAATTGATTTGTTTTTTGATGAATTTATGGACTGTTATTTTTTTGGATTTTCTATTGAAAAAAGAAAAAATGAGGGGAGGGAGGGAGGGGGGGGGATTTTATTTAAAAACGAAATAAACGATTTTTGAATTAAATAAATAAAATATTTGTTCTTTTTTTATCAAACAACTAAAATTAAAGAGAGGTGATAATAGGAAATAAAAGAGGTGAAGAGGAGATAAGAGAGGAAGAAAGGAAGTAAGTAGGTGTGACTTTTGGAAATTCTTTTTTGGAAAATTCCTTCTTTATTATCAAAATTAATTTTTAAAAAATTGATAAATATTTAAAAATTAAGAAGAATTCTTTGGATTAAAGTGTATTAATTAAATAATGACACACACAAAAAATCTTTTTAAAAATCATTTTGAATAGATATTGGAGAGGCACGCAAATTTATTTAATGGGAGTGTGGCTGTGGATTTTTAACTTAAAATTGCGGCTGCGGAAAAATTTTTCATTCGCGTCCAGCCCTGCTCTACAAAAACAGAATAATAAACGAAAAAATTTAGAGATTTATAAGCTATTTATAATTTACTTTAATTCAAAGAATTTTACAAAAGAATTCTTTTTCAATTTTTATAAATTTATTTAAATAATTTTTGTATTTATTTACTACTTAACAATTTAAAATTTATTTTTTTTTAAACTTGAAAAAGAAGAAACTAACAAAAATTGGTTAATGACTGTTTAGAGGGTCTCTCCTCTCTCTCTCGTTTTAATTTTTGTTTACTTTTGTGACAAGCTGTAAAAGTTGTTAGTAAGCATTTACAAAAAATATTTTTGTTGATTAATATAATTTTTATTTTTAAAATAAAAATTAAATAAAAATTTATTTGATAAGTCGGTTAGTGATTGGCCACAGACCTTCTCTCGACGTAATTTTTTAAATGCAAATCTTTTTGATTAGTATACATATAACACATACAAATATTTTTATATTCCAAATATATTCTAGAATACTCAAATTATTGTATAAAAATTGAAAAAAAAGATTAAAAAAAGTTTTTGGACCGGAAATTATTTAATCGAAAGTTTAAAAATAAAATGAAAGGAAGAAAGAAATTGAAGAGAAAGAAAATCACATTTTAGCAAAAATCCATTGATAAATAGCTTGAAAAGTGTGTAATTAATTTATTTTTCCTTTCATCTGTTGGCAGCTACTTAATTCTTTTAAAATACCTGGAGATGTATATATTCTTTTAGTTGTCAGAAAATGTTAAAAATTAAAAAGAAATTTTTAAATTAATTTCTAATTAGAATTGAGAATCTTTCGGGTTACAAAATACCCTTCAATCATTATCAAACGATTTTAGGTAATTCATATAGCTGAATGACTAACGATTCAAAATACTTTTTTCTTTAATCCTTTCGAGAACATTAAATCGAGGTTTGATTATAGTAATAAATTTCCATTTGGTACGGGTTAAATTGGGTGGATAATAAAGCTTAGATTCTTGTACTGTCAAACCTCGATATTGAATACCCCTTTGGTGTTGATTAAAATAAAGAGTATCTTACATTTAGAATATCGCTTAGTTATCACCTGCTAATCATTTGCCAATGAAATTTTTGAAAATATATTAATAATTATTTATTATTTAATTTTAAGGGTATTCAAATCCAAAGTAGGATTTTGATTTTGCAATTGAGAACACTAAACAAAATAAAAATAATTTCACATAAAAAATATTTATTTAATATTTTCATTTGGTACGGATTAAATTGCGTGGATAATAAAATATTTAAATATATTAATTCAAAACCAATATTTATTTTCTTCTTCAAAAAATTCATTATTAAATTCCTCTTCACCTTCCTCCTCTTTTTTAAATTTATTTCCATTATTAATTAAAGGCAAAAATGTTTCTTTAATTTTTTGTTCATTTCCTTCTTCCTCTTCATTTAATAATAAATGCGCGTATTTTTTAAATGAAAAATTGCTGATAAGGCTAGTTCCTGGTCGAAGTAATAATCGAACCATTTTTGTTGGAAAATGTTTGTAATAAATTGTTTTGTTGTTTTTATTAATTAAATAATCTAAAAAGGCGCAAAAATGTAAAGCCTGAAAAAAATAAAATTTTATTTTTTAAAAGGAGGGAAGAGGATTGGTGGAGGGGGGGGGGGGAGGGGTTGCTGGTTTCAAGTCGGGTCGAAATAATTTTACGGCCTTACAACTGAGATTTGTCAACTGAGAGGTTAAATATTTAAGGGTTTTAAACATTCTGCTTAATATAATATATTTTAAATTTAACTAAATATAAATATGCATGAACAAAGTAATTGAGTAATACAAATGCATTTTGTTCATCTATTATTTTTGTATGGTATGTAGAGCAATGCTCTGGCAAATCATATGAATTTTTCTATACGTTTCTCAAAAAATGTCTAGTAAAGATTTATTTATAACCTTGATCTTTCCACATTTTATTTGAATCAGTTAAAGGAGTTAATTCGAATGATATACAAATTATAATAGGAGGAATTATTTAAAGTGTTATTTTAAGTGTTATTTTTAATTCTAGATATCCCAATTTTTAAATATGATTTCTTTAACATTTAAGAGACCTCCCACCGACTCTCTTAATCTATTCAACAAAAACTTATTTGTAATTCCCAACCCTCCAATTAAAAATTACTTGAGCTTCTGGCCCTCCAATTATTGCCAAAAGTAAATATTCTTCGACTAATTTAAATGGAAGAATATTTAAATAAATTTGTTGGGAATAAAATAAAAATAAATGTAAAAGTGAAGGTAATTTAATTGAAGAAAGGAAAGGAATGAGGGGTTGGAATTGCTGAGATTTTTGGAGAAATGAAAAAATTAGAGGATAGATTTTTGTTGTTAAATAATCTTCAAAGGAATTATTGTCTGAAGAGCGAATTGATTGGGGCCAAAAACATTCCAAGGAAATTTTGCTTAAAAAAGAAGAATTTTTCAAAACTTAAAAATTAACAAAAAATATTCTTAATTAAAATTCTCTCCAAATGTGACCAGAACTTTTGTACTTTTTATTCAGGATATTTACACAATCACAAAAAATCATTGTGTATTCATTTGGTTAGTTTATAATTTCGCAACTAAGGTTAAATATTTAAGGGTTTTAAACATTCTGCTTAATATAATATATTTCAAATATAACTAAATATATGTATATGCATGATTCAACTTAATTGAATAGGTCCATAGGCGAAAATTTTTTATTTTTGTATGTTAGAGCAATGCTCTGGCAAATCATATGAATTTTTCCCTACGTTTCTCAAAAAAATCTAATAAAGATTTTTTCTCGGACCTTTGTATTTTTATAACCTTGATCCTTCCACTTTTCATTTGAACCAGTTAAAGGAATTGATTGGAATGATACACAATTTATAAAAGGCCATTTTGGTACCAACCAGAGGTAAAGCCTAGAGACAATTGGGCAAAACGCAAAACCCAATGCAAGGCCAAAATTGGTACCAACAATTTCAAAAATCAAACAAAAAATAATTAACAATTTTTGTTTACTTTTAAGTGAATTATGAAAACAAAAGAAGGAGCCGCCCAATTACCACCCCTATACAATTAATCCATCCGGATTTTTCTTTTCCTGTAATCCATATTATTACAAATTTTTCAATTAAATTTCCAAAACTCACTCACGGTTGAGTATAAGTCTTTCAAGTAAATCAATTGTAGAATCAGAACAAAGACCAGAAGAAAGAAAAACAGCGGACAATAACCAGTCGGCAGGAGGTGTTGGAAATGGATTATTTGAAAACATTCGAAGCCCAAACATTTTTTTGCGAATTTGTGTTTTATTTTGAGCTAAATTTAAGGCTAATGCATAATCAGAAATTAAAGGAAGCCATTCATTGTGTGGAGGCTGAAAAGAGAATTTAAAAGTTGTTTTGTTTAGACAGTGAATTCTTTAGTATAGGGTATACATATATTCTCTTCCTCATAATATCCTTCCAGCCATAGTGGACCAAAATTGGAGTTATGGCCAAGAGTTATATCCTACTAGTCTAAACATCCTGTAATCTTTAAAGGAGTTCTTCTCGTAAAGAAATTAAAGATTCTATTTTTTAATTTTTGTATGATAAATTCACTTCCAGCTCCGGTATCCGAGCCGAAAATTTCCGGATATCCGGCCTTCTTTCTGATTTGGATCCACCAACCTTAGTATACATTATCTATAATGCTAATAAGAAAATTGGTAAAATTCAATTTCGTACCCCCCCCCCCCTTTTCCTTCCTTAAAATATTAAAAAATGGTCAGCCTGTTATCAGATTATAGAACCCGTCAAGCTGTGTCGAATGACACCAAAATTAACCCCCGGTCTTAACTTTGGGCCGAGATACAGGCCCCCGAAAATTGAAAAATAACAGGGTGGACCAAGATGATTTTTTGGGATAAAAATTCGATTAATCAAATAATAGCTCATTCGAAAGAGCTTGACGAGCTGATTCGAATGACATCAAAATCAACGTAATTGAAGAAGATTTGACAAAGTTATGACATAAAGTAATCCTTTTACGGTGGGTAGACGCTTGTGCAAAACCCTTCGCCTTGGGCAGGGTTTTTGTCTGTATCTCGGCCCAAAGTTAAGACCGGGGGTTGATTTTGGTGTCAACGACACAGCTCGACGGGTTCTATAATCTAATAACAGGCTGACCATTTTTTAATATTTTAAGGAAAGAAAAAAGGGGGGGGTACGAAATTGAATTTTACCAGAAAATTAATTTTTAATTACACTTCCAATTTCCTTTTCGAAATTTAAAAAATCCTTAACAGGTCCTTTTAGTTAGCTACCTATAAGATAAACATAAAAATTTATGTTTTTTCCCACAAGTGAATATATTTAAAATTTAAAAAATCCTTAACAGGTCTTCTAATAATTTGTCCAGTCCTTCCATTAAAACTTTCTTTTGTCCAAAACTTCGTTGCATAAGCTTTTAAAATAAAAAATGGACGGAAACGAGAATTGTTGGCATTCTGCCATTTTTCTGAGAAAATACTTTTAATTAAACGAAGTCGATTCTTTTGGGTATCTTTATTTGGAAGTAAAGATATCCAGTAAAGATGATCATCTTGTGAAGATTCGAAAATCCCTAAACTGAAAGCCCTTTCCGTTTTTTGCTTCCTTTCTTCGTTTTCCCCCAATAAAGTTGCAGATAAGTGATGTCTTTGTGATGGCAGAATATCTGTATTAATAAAGAAATGTACCGTATTTCCTAAAATAAAGCCCCATGCTAAATTAGAGCCCCATCCTAAAATAGAGCCAAACTTTGGAGGATAGTTGAAAAGGGGCTTTATTTTAAGAAACATGGTTTATTACATACCGTATTTCCTATATTAGAGCCCCAGCCTCTGTTAGAGCCCCACCCTCTAATACAGCCCCACTTTGGAGGTTAGTTGAAAAATAGAGCCCCACCCTCAATTAGAGCCCCACCCCAAATACAGCCCCACCTAAAAAATTTTGGAGGAAAAAATATCCAAATAACTTTATAGATGTATTAAGAGAGTAAAGGAAAGAAAGAGGGATATCGATGATTCGTGATCATGGAGGAGGAGGGATCATGGGGATATACCAGTTCTAGTTCTGGAACTGCTTTTTGAATTTCTTCAGTTCCAGTTCTGGAACCTGTTCCAGAGCCTCGTCAAACAAAATCACTTCATATGCCTCCTATTACCCCTAGTCCAGAATATCCCTCTTAATCCCGCTAAATCTCTCAATATAAACTTAATCCGCTTATATTCACCATAATCCCTTAAAATCCACTATTATATCTTTGATCCATCGATGTCAAATACTGGTCCCCTAATATTTCCCTTAACCCGTCCAAATCTACCAAAATTTCATAATTGATCTTACTCTCATTGAACTATTGCTACTATTTTGTTATTCATTGCTTATAAAATTTTAATTTTTGTGAAAAATCGAAAATTTCGATCCTCGTTCGATATTTTTCGGTTTTATCGACCACCCCTCCGGCCTAACTCTAGTTGCAATGGATATTTAATAAATGGGATTTTATCTCAAAAGAGGGTTGAAAAATAGAGCCCCACCCTCAATTAGAGCCCCACCCTTTAATACAGCCCCACCTTGGAGGATAGTTGAAAAATAGAGCCCCATGGGGCTCTAATATAGGAAATACGGTAACTTACCCCCCCTCCTCTCACTTTTAAATATTTATTGGAAGTGAGGTTACCGGGCTGAAAATTTTTACCTTATGAGGTCTTAAATTAGGGGCATCGATCTGGTAATTACCCTAAAAAATGGCTAACCAAATTTTAGACGTATTTAAAATTATATGAAGTATTTCTTAGTGAAGACCCTCAATAATCGTCTTTTAAAAATTACCCAATTTATATGAAATATCATCGTCATTTTCATTTTCTATCCTCTCCTCGGTCTTTTTCAAATATAAAGAATTGGGTATATCACTAATTAAACTTTCAATTTGTTCAATATCATTAAAATATTCAAATCGTCTATCCTCTCCACTTGCCAAAATTAAATGAGAAATGAATGCTGCTATTTTTTGTGCCTCTTTGCAAAAAATTAATTGGCCGTCAGTGTCAGTAAAAAATTTTCGAAGAAGCTTAAATTTAAATATCAATTATTAATTATGTTTGTGAATGGATAGTTAAAGGAATTAATTAATTGGGTTTGCTGTTTTTGAGTAGGACAGACTTTCAAAACAATTTTTCGTCTTTTTTTAACCGTTAAAAGGCGATGAGTATTTTTAGAGCCAAATATGCAATCATTCAATTAAAAAGGATTCACATTTTATCTACTAAAATACCCTTCTGATATTCTCTCCCTTATTAACTAAACCTTCAAATATTCTCTAATTAAAATTCCGAAAATACCTACATACATTAACTATTCTCATAATTAAATTAGGAATAATATGTTTAATTTCCACCAAAAAATCCAAATTAACACTAAATAAATCCAATTTTTCAATAAAAACAATTAATTCTTCTTTTGTTGAATTCTTCTTTTGATTTTCAAATTCAAAAAATTTTCTTTGTAATAAATCAGGAATGTCAGAATTTTTAATTATTTCAATTAAAAGGGATGGTTGTGTTGCCAATACAAAAATTGAAGGAGAATAAATTGAATTTACTTCTTCATTGTTTGGTAAAAAATTTAGTCCTTCATGTTGAGGGATGTCTGCTTTTAAAGGAATTTTTTAATTTTAATTTTTTAAATTTTACATTATCTACTGTATTTCCTACAAAATAAGACTTCTTTGGGGTGATCGAATAAAATAAATTTTGAGTTCTGGATTTTTTGAGGGAAATTAGTGTTTAATACACGTTTCCGGTTACCCGCGATTAGAAATGGGCAGAGAGGCCATTTTCTCGTTTTTTATCCAAAAATACCCCCACAACTATCCTTATACTTATTTACCAGGGGTCTAGCCGAAATAAAAATTTAATTCCCGATTTTCGGGAATCGGGTCGGTTAGATACTGTTATGCACCGCACCCAGTTTAGAGGATAATTTAAAAATAAATCCCCGCTTTAAGAATTAGTGTCTCACAAATCTAACTAAATAAATAAATATTTATTTCTCACAATAATTTTCATTAAATTCTTCTTCTTCATTTATTTCCTCATCCCCTCCAAAATCAGAATTAACAAAAAGAAATTTTTTCACTAATTTACTAGCTCCACGCCATTGTTCTTCATCCATTGGACGTACAGAAATTGGAAAATTAAGCAGAATAGAATTATTTTGGGAATCATTTTCTTTTTGTTTTAACCAAAATTGATAAATAATTTTGCCTAATTTTTTTCTACAAATTTTTAATTGGCCAAAACTTTGACTTTTTAAAAAACAAGGAGATAATAAAAGGTGTTTATGTGAAGTTATTGAAGGGTCGGGGTTTGGAATTAATGTTGAAATTAAATTTTGGAGTTGCTCAGACATAATGTGGCCAATTTCTGTGTTGGGAGAACACTTTTCTATGAGCAATATTAAAACCTGAATTGTAGAAAAATTTTAAAATTGATGCAAAATATCTTCAATCATTCATAAAAATATTTCTATTTTAATAACTTCATTAAAAGGCTTATCATAAGAGTATAACAGTTGAGAGGTTTGTATATTTAATGAAATTAAGAAGGACCCATAATCCCATATGTATGAGGATATAATTGATATATAGATAAGGAATATAGGACAAGAGATGAGGAACTTAAGATTGTCAGCCTCCCTCCCTCCTATTTCTAAAATTTTCACAAATTCTCCAACTCAACCCTTTCATCGCTCAAAAATAATTTAAAAAGAACTCACATTAATACAAAGTTCACGCAATTCAAAAGGATTAGTATTTCCCAAAGACGATGTAAATAATTGTTTTTTCATTATTTTTGTAGAAAAATATTTGATATATTCAATAATTTTTGTAATTAATTTTGGAGTTAATTTAAAAGAAATTTCACAATGTGAAAAAATATTTTGAAGTAATTTTAATGGAAGGGATTCAAATTGAATAGAAATTTTTTGATTTAATTTAGTAATCATTAAGTTGAAAATTTCGTTTAAAAGGGATGAAGAAATAATTAATTTAGCACTACAATCACTCTTAAAAAATAAAATGATTTGTTAGAGTTACATACTTTTGTCTATTTTTGAATAAAAATACCATAGAAGTAGCCAACAATTCATCAACAAAAATTTTCCTTTCCCGATTATTAGATGGAATTGTTAATGCCAAATTTAAGAAATATACAATTTTATTGCAAAAACATTCTTCAAATTTAGCCGGACTTGGAACTGTTTCAAGTAAAAATTCTTGAAAAGAAGGCACTCGAAGACAACGTAATATTAAGCAAAATTGAAATAACCACAAGTTGGGAATTGGTTGTTGAGTAGGGTCGGTTTTTGAAGTCTTAAAATATAAATTTTGATTAGCTAGCCACTGGATGATGGGAGATGCTTCTGAGATACCCTCAATCTAAGATAACCCTCGTTTTAGGATACAAATCTTCAGCCATTAAGTTATCTTATAGTGAAGTCTGATTGTATTTAGATGAAAACAGTTCATATCCCATAAATCAAAATTTCAAAAAAGGAAGGAGAACAATCTTTCCATATAGAATTGAAGTAAATTGAAGGAACTTAGGCACTATATGAAATGAGGTCGGTAATCGTTTTTTTCATTACTTTTTTCATTGACTTTTTTCCTTCCTTAATTATAAATAATGGTCAGTCTTTTCTTCCTCGTTCAATTCTACTCTTTTTACCTGTGGCTTATTCAAATGAGGACAGACAAAAACACACACACGGACAGACAAAACACGAGTGTTTTCTGTCCGAGTCCGTCCGTGTTTGTCTGTCCGTTATGACTGTAACTTGTCAGACCATGACTTGTTACTCCTGTGTCGGCACAAAAAGAAAACAGGAGACCCTTGAAAGTCTTAATTGCCTGTATTGAGTCATTCTCTTTTCCATCAATTCTTTTCTCTATCATTTCTTTTGATTATGCCACAGGGAATATAATGGAATAGAACAAGGAGGAAAATGCTGACCATTCTGTCATATCAGGGAAGGAAAGAAGTAATGGAAAAAAGTAATGAAAAAAACGATTACCGACTTCGTTTCATATAGTGCCGGAACTTACATTCTGCTCTGATTTATCTAGAATCTCAACTATCATTTCAGCCAGTCTTGGTGTTGCCAGAGGCCTAAGTTGATAATCATATAACCAATTCATTAACCATTCAGCTGAAAGTTCTGCTTTTGCTAGAGTATTTAGAAAACTATTGCCAGAATTTAATCCTCCTTTAGAAGAATCTGTTTCAGAAGTAAGTAGTTCCATATAACTTTGCACTATTTGTGTTAAACTTTGGATGTCAAAATTTCGCCAAATATATGGACCGTTTGAGAATATCTGAAATCAGATGATGCATTGCTAAGTGAAAAAGAATCTCAAATTTTCTTAGAATATTATCCTTTATCCTCGAATATCCCTGTCAGAGTTTTCAGGGTCCTGTTTCCTTGGACCATGTATTTTTGATATAGATATCATGTTTAAAGTTTAACTCTGAAAACTCAACAATTATCTGGTTAAAACAGAACTCTTGAACAAGACCCAAAATTTTCTTAAAGTCCCAAGAAGTTTATCCAAGTGTTGATGAATTCATATCATCTTGCGCTCACTCGCCTCCTTCTTTATCTCATTAAAATCCTCGGGAGATATCTTCATTTTATCTAATCTTCCGACCGACATTTTCTTTCAGCCTCTATTTTTAATAACCTGCCTGAGAGAAGAAATATGCCAAATTACACTTTGATGATTTGCTAAGAACATTTTTACGCATTACATTTAGTGCCACCCGGCAAATGCAAATTGAAGTTTTTTGCCATATTACAGCATCTCTACAGTCTTTTAAATTGTTAATTAATCTTTTTAAAATTTATTTTACTCAAAATTCTTCCAATTACACTCATTGTATCGTCAAACAAAGCTGGAACAAGCAACAATGAATGCAAATTTCCAAGAAAAAGTTCAAAAGCTTTGGATCGAGAGAGTGTTAAAGGCGAAACAAAAAGTAACTTTCTCATATTGACTTTTCTTTAATTAAAAATTTTTCTCAATTATTATACAATTGAATATTGGATAATCTCTTGGAGATGAAAAATTGTATCCTATAGATATTTGGGGGTATTTATTGGGTATATGGTATAGTTATAGTTATATACAATCTTTAATTCAAAAACCCATCATAATACCAGAAACCGTAATTCAGAGTTAATCCCAACAACAGTTGGAACCTCTCGGAAATTCTTTCCACTTACACCCCCCCCCCCCTCCCCCTTTCTCTCTAATTCTCTTTTACCTAGCTCCAATTTCAAGATCATCAGCAACAATTAATTCAATAATAGAACATATTTCCTCTTCTGGCAAATCTTTTACAGAATTATCTAATAAAGAAAATCCACTCAAGGCTAATTGCTGGGTTTCTTCTTCTTCTTGAGCTTCGCCAATTTGTTTACTTTGAGAATCATTTGCATAAGTACTGGAAAATGAATGAAAGCTCCATTGACGAGGAAGTGCGAAACTCTTAAAAATTTGAATTTTTAATAAATTTCCTTGGTTATTTGATAAAAGAAAATTATTATTTTCGATTTTTAAAACAGTCGGGCTTTTATTATTTAATATGATTAACCAGGTAGGCAGGGAGGGAAGTGATACTTAAGCGATACCCCAATAATGGATACACTCAATTTTAAGCATAAAATCTTAGCATCAGGTGTGTATGTGGATGTGAGTTCCGACTGCATATAATTTATATTTTCTGTCGAATCTTTATAATGTGATATTGAACTTCAACTGTATAACACAGGGGATAACTTAATCACCCATTTTCTAACAACATAAATAAAAACTTACTTCCATTGAACAACTACTAGAACGTCTTCTTGTTTCTCTTTCAGTTTTTGCCATTTGTGAACAAATTTTAATAATTTTAAAATGAAATTTTTTGTAAATATTTGAATTATTAACTAAATTAAAAGCAATTGATTGTAACAATCCAAAGGATTTATTAAATTCATTTAAATTTTTTGTTTCTGTTTCTGTAAACCATAAATCCATACTTGTCCCAACTTGCAAATTATTATTGTTTTCATTTAAAAGATGAAGAGATGGGGATAATCTTTGAAAGATTTAAATAATTTTTTGATAAATTAGGTAGGTATATTTAGTAGGGTTGGAGGCCCGATCCGGTGTCGGGCATTGAATTTTGGCCCGAAAAAGACTCGGTCGGGCCGGCCCGAAAAAATGACCCGACTGTCGGCCCAACTCGAAAACCCCAACTATAATAATTAATAATTTATTCCCCATTGGTGCTATTTAGAAACCTCGATTTTTGAGGTTTCTCTCTTTCGATTTTTAAACATTTTTTTGTTTCGAAACAGTTTTACTTTTCGTCTCCGGGAATAACAATACCTTCTCCCTTGAACTTAAAAAGTTGAACCGAAAAACTAAAAAAATAGGGAGTGCCCGTTTATTTTAGAAAAAATCAGGTTAATTAAAGGTAAATAAATACTCAACCAAAAATTCTGATATTTTGTAGACTATAAGTACCGTAAAAATTGTATTAATGTCCCTCCCTTAAATAATTACCCCGCCTCTAATAGTTACCCTCTCCAGCGAAGGGTTGAAACGATAATTACTCCCTTAAATATAGTTATAATTAGCCTTTCTAAAATAACCTCTATTAATTACCTTGCCTCTATTTATTACCTCCTCCAGCGAGAGATCAAAAAAAATAATTACCCAGGGTAGTTAGACAGTTTTCCGGTATTTTTAATTTAATTTTACTGACCAATTCAATTACCTATTTATTTGTTTATCAATTTCCATTCTCATTTCAAAACTTAATTTTTCAACTAAAAAATCAAATAAAAATGAAGAGAAGCTTTCAGAATTATTTGTTTTTAAACAATTTTTAAGTAAAATTTTTAAACGTTGTTCATCCATTTTAAAATAATTTTAGACAAAAATTGTTAGGAAAGATACTTTTAACAAAAAATATTTTTTTATTCAAAATTCTATGAAAAATAAAAAAGGAAGGAAAATTATTTTTATTTAAAAATTGTTCTTGAAATATATTCCCTTTTTATTTTTAAAAATTTTTTCGTATATTTTTTTATTAAACCGTTGCTAAGGGAGTAAATAAAGAATATAATTTAAATTGTTATATTTAAATAAACTATACTTACCTATAACCTTTTTTATGCTAAAGTTGAGGGAAATTTTGATTTTTTTTGAAAATTTTTTACAATAAAATTGTCCAATCTTTTACACTTTTTATTGAATGATTGATATGAGAATAAATTATGATAGAAAAGTGATTTCTTCACGACATTATAATTATTTTTAATCTATTAAAAAATGTCCCGTTCCATAAAGTTTGTTAAAAAGTTTTGGAAAAAAGAGTTCCTATTTTTAAAACTTTTTTCGCAGATTTTTTGAACATAAGAAATTGAATCATTTAGAAGATTAAGAACAATTTTTTTCAAAATTTAATATTTAAACATTTAATCGACAAAATAATTTAATTAATTATACATAAATATTTGGAAATTAAAGAAAATTTTAAAAAATATTTAATGAAAATAATATAGGAAAATTTAACACAATTAAAGAAAGATCTTAAGAAAAATTTTATGGAGGTATTAATAAAGAGATAAAAATTCAAAATTTATTTTCAAAACAATTTTGGTAATTATCTGCGGCTCGTCTTAAAAATTTTGCTGAAAATTTAATGAATTCAATGAAAAACATAATTGTGTGCCCTGAGGTTGGGTCAAACCTCAACCTTTGCTCAATAGGGTCTAATATTAAACAACTGAACTACGCGAGCACACAGTTGACTCGCTTTAAAATATACTAGCTGTTGTTTTTTTCTTTTTATTTCATTCTCCATTAGCACGCAAATAGGGTTACCACTGACGAAATAAAAAGAGAAAACAATAGAATATTTGAAAGAGGACCAGCTGTGTGCTCGTGTAGTTCATTTGTTTAATGCCAGAACCTGTCGAGGCAGTTTGGGGTTCGACCCGACCTTCGTGCACACGTTTATTTTATTATCAGATTCACAAAAATTTCGAGCAAATATCCTTCTGGAATATTAGTGAAAGTTTAAGTCAATTACCTATCTAAATTTTATTTTTTAAATTACTACAAAAACATAGATATTTTTTATAAAACGATAAACGAACATTTTTTGAAGTTAATAAAAATTAATGCTGCGCCCGAAGGTTGGTTAAACCCCAACCTTTGCTCAACAGTGTCTAACACTAAACGACTGAACTACACGGGCACAAAATGCGGATTTTTTAAAACTGCTCTTATATGAAATTTTCTATTTTCTTTTTATTTTATTCTGTAACAATGGCAGCGTTTAAGAGGAAACCCAATGTGTGCTCGCGTAGTTCAGTTGTTTAATGTTAGACCCAGTTGTGCAAAGGTTGAGGTTCGACCCAGCCTTCGGGCACACGGTTATTTATTTTCTAATTCATAAAATTTTTAACCAAATTTTAATAAAAATATTTTAAGATACATAAGGCTCCAAACTAAAATTTTTAAAATCGTATATACCTAATTTACAATCAAAAAGTGCCAACTTACAGGACTATTTAGTAATATTAAAATTTAAAATAAATTAACACAATTCATTTTTCTAAAGTTTATTTATGCTAATTGTTAAAATTATTTTTTACATAATTAAAAATAGGTATTTATTTAGTCGAAATAAAATTACACAAAAGTAAAGATTTTAAGAAAAATTTCAACACCTTTTAATCGGAAAAAATATTTAAAAAACATTTAAAAATATTTCGACTAATTGTAAGAATACGACGGAATGGCAGAAAAATAATTTGTATTTTTAATATATTTTAAGGTATTTTTTTAATAAAAAGGTGATTGTTTTTTGGTAATAATTAATTAGCAATCACCGGATTTTTTTTTTCTTTTAAAATAATTAACTTTCCATTTTTTCTTCTTAAAAATATCTTCTTATTAATTTTATTCACATTTTTCTTCTCATCATTCCGCAACTGGAGTCGGAGTAGAAACACAAGAATTATGGGTGTTATTGTTGACAGAATAACGTATAAAATTGGAAAAAATAATTAGAAAATGAAAGAATTTTTATTTAATTCCTTGTTAACTCAAAAGGTCGGGTAATCGTCCCCTTAATTTTTAATTTTAAATATCTACCTAGTCGGCCGGTCAGCTTCTTCCATACTGCTAAAAAAATATTTTTTAATTAAGAAATAATTTCTAATTTACCTGCTAAGAGTTCGTTGACGTTCCATTCCAGGAATCGGAACACCAGAAAGAACACCGCAACCCTTACATAACAAAATCAATGAACGAGCAAGATTACTAGGCTAAATTAAAAATTGTTTGTTTTCAAAAAAACAAAAAATATACCGCTTCTTGAAGAATATCACAAACTCCATCCACCACAAGAAGTGTAGTCTTCTTCTTATTCATTCCTTTATGCATATGATAAACAGACTAAAATTAAATTAGTAATTAAATATGGAAATTATACATAAAAAAGCTAAAAATTTTAATTATTGTGAAGCAAAAAATGGGAGTCTCTTTCCTAATCAAGTCTTCCAAAAAATATTTTTGTTAATTTTTACTACAGAACTAAATACCAAAAAGGATAAAAGATACCGGAGCGTTTTATATTGCCAAAAGCTTGAAATGCCAAACCCCCAAAAGCTGTTGAAATGCCAAACTGTGGAAAAAAGCTTGTAATGCCAAACACCCAAAAGATGTTGAAATGCCAAAGCGTGGAAAAAAGCTTGTAATGCCAAACCCCCAAGATATGTTGAAATGCCAAATGTTATTCCAACACAACGGGGAATGTTGTTCCGATGATGGGGGAAGTTGTTCCGATGACGAGGCATGTTGATCCGTCAACGGGGAAAGTTGATCCGTCAACAGGGGAAGTTGGTCCGTCAACGGGGGATCAACATCTCACTTCCCCCATCACTGGAACAAACGTCCCCGTCATTTGAACAACATCCCCCGTCATTGGAACAACTTTCCCTGTAGTCGGAACAACTCCCCCAACCGTTGGAACAATTTTCCCCACAATTTGAACAACATTCCCCGTAGTGCCGGCCCCTCCCCGCATGTCCGGCCTAGAGTTTTTCCAGCGAAAATTCAATTGGAACAACAACATCCTTGTTGTTGGAACAAACAAAAAATTTTAACAACAAATTCTATCAGAAGTAACAAAAAAATTTTAGTTTTGTATTTATTTGGCATTTCAAGCTTTTTTCCATGGTTTGGCATTTAAACATATTTTGGGAGTTTGGCATTACAAGCTATTTTCCACGGTTTGGCATTTCAACAGCTTTTGGGGGTTTGGCATTTCAAGCTTTTTGCATTACAAGCTTTGGCATTACAAGCTTTTGGCATTACAAGCTTTGGCATTACAAGTTTTTGGCATTATAATATCATACCAAAGATACCCTCTTTCTCTCTTTAACCTATAAAACTTTTATATTTTAACCTGAAGATGTGGCGATCGCGATCCGGAAACCATCAAAACATCCATACTTTAAAATTTTTTATAATAAAGATAATTCAGAAAAAATACTTGTCCAATTTAGCACCAATAATTCCAGAAAAGTCCGTTCGCTTGCTAAAACTGTAGAGGTATTTACTCAAATTTCGAGCATTTATCGCGTCCTTTAATTCATCTATATATTGTTGCTTCTCGTGTTTATCACTCTAAAAATTAAAAAATAATAAACAATATTTTTTAAATAATTAACCGTTCCAAATTTATGCATCATTAAATAGTCCCAAGCGCCTGAAAATTATTTTGAAAAAGTAATTTTTTCAAAAAAAACCTTGTGTCATAACACCACTCTCCAGTCGCAAATTCATAAGCATATCTTTGAAGTATTCGATAAAACCAGCTGAAAATAAGGAATGTAAATGGGAGATGGAACAGATATTCGGTGCAGACATAATTACTTGCCGTTTTTTATCATGTGGAGAGGAGAAAAAACGTCAAGTAATTATGTCCGCACCTAATAGAATGATGTAAATAGCTAATTGTATCATAATCAAAAAAATTTTTGAAAAAAGCTGACGCTAATAGAAATATTAAACTAACAATAAACAAATTTCGCTTGTAACTAACATAAACAATTTGGCCAGGGACTAGGAGAAGCCCAATTGAAACGAATTCAAAAACAAAGAACCAAAACAGACTTAAAAGTGGACAGGATCTTCGATAAAATCAATTACTTATAAATACAGATAATAAAACCCCAAAAATAATTTTAAAGAAAATACCAGTCGTCGAGGTGCAATTAACCAAAATAATCCCCATTATACGATTTGGCCAAACCAATGCAAATCTCGAAATAATATTAGCACCAGCACCCTCGCCAAAAGCAATACATGTGCGGACATCAACCTAAATATTCAATAAATTTGATAAATTTAAGAAAATAAACCTCATCGAGAACACAAACCAAATCCTCTCCAAGCTGTCCAAGCGAAGGAAATCTCAAATAAAAATTAATTAAGAGACTATTTTGAGCCTTTTATTTGCTTTCCACATTTGGGTAAAGCAAATTCCATTTTTGCTTAATCGGTTAAGCCACTTTTTTGATTTTTCTCAAAACCGTCCTATACCCAATTGTTTGTTTATATTTTCTATTGCTTTGTTATTCTATTTGTTTTGAAAAGCGCTTTTGAAAATAAGCGCATTACCATCCAAAGTATAATTGTGTGTAAATACCTGAATTTACTAAAAAACACAATTACTAAACAAATATTCAAAAAACAACAAACTTACTCTGCAGTAAAGTCTGGAGCACTATCTTCCTGTCCTGGAACACAAACATGCAAGAAAATAGCCCTTTCCTTTACACTTTCCATTGAAGGATGATTGACAAAACGAATGAAAGATTTGTGATTTGTTCCGACATCGTGAACTGTCAGAATGACCTAAAAAAGATAATAGGAAACTTTTTAAATTTAACTCTTACAGTTTTTCCAAAGCGCTCATTCAAATCTCCTTGAATATAGACTTGCAGAGTGGAATATTTGCCCTGAAATAGAAAAATTGAGATAAGGTAAAATTTTTCAATCCTAACTGTTTTAATGAATAAAGACTTAAGTTTTGTTGTTTGTGGGTTTTTATGAAACGGATACCTTGCAACAGAAATTAAAAGTTAAAAATTATTTAAAATTTCGGTAAAGCTAGGACATGATAACCAGGGGGCGTATTCTAAGAAGCGGGTAGGAGTACCTGGTAAACTTACCAGGTTCTTCCTACTCGAGTAATAGAACCTCGAGCTGAGGGTTGGTCAACCCGCAACCTCGTTCTTAGAATACCACCCCAAGTAAATCAAGGCCAAGAAAATTATAGTCCCAGTCAAAGAAAATTCAAAAAGAGGTTAAGCCTAGGATTTAACCTGACAAATTAATAAATAGAAGATAGTGAAAAAAAAAACCCACCTTCACAGAAATCATCTGAAAAAATAAAATTACATTTTTAAACTTAAATTTTTTGAAATTTACCTGAACGTTCTCATTCTCGGCCGACATTTTGATTACTTTTAGTTAAATAATTTTGATTAAAAAAAGAATTTTTAATAAATAAGCCTTAAAAATAAAAATAGATTATGAAGAAAATAATAAGAAATCCCGCAAATTATTTTTATTAACGTGCATTAAAAGTCAAAAACATCCTAGTTCCGTGCACAATACTGCACAAAAATAAAAAAAATAAAAATAATAGTTAGCCCAAAGTGCGCCCTTTGTACTAAGGTTAAGTGAATGAGGAGGCTGTCAATAATAAAGAAAACATTGGGCATGCGGGTAGGGTCGTTTAGGCGCCTATGGTTTGGCAACAAGGACGTTTTTGTTAATAATTAATTTTGTTCTTAATTGATTAGAGTCATTATCTATCATTTTAAAACCCTAGATGTGAGAATTTATTTCAAAAAGAAACTGAAACTAAGTAAAAGAAAAAATGTCAAATGAAAAACCCGACGCCAAAACCTTCACGCCGAAACGTTTTTGGAGTGTGCCCAGCTAACAATAAACCTCTTTCTTCTTTTTATCCAGTCAACACACTGGACTAAAAAGAGATAAACAAACACCCTTCTTTTTAAAGTAAATCAATTCTTTTGTTAAATATTTTCATTGGACTGGAACTGACTGAAATATTTTTAATGTTTTCTCAGCTGTCGCGCGGCCATATTTTATTTTAATAGTTTAAATGGTCGTATGACAATTCTGATTGTTTATCATTTTTATTATTGGAAGTTTGTGTGGAGATTTATAAAAGATGAAATTTAAAAGAGAAAACATGAGATTGTTGCATAAAAATCATAAACACATTTTCGTTACGGTCGGGATTTCCTTTCCTTTTTTAAAAGGAACAATGTGGGGGTTTCCAAAGGTTTTCTTTGGTAATAAGCTCAATTATTTGAGAACGATTCAGAACACTTTTTGCCCTCTTTGAACTAAGAAAGCAGATATTGAGGAGTAAAGTAACGGACATGATCCGAACCGGTAGCCGTTGATTCCGAGACGCAAACGAAAAAATTGGAAATAGAAATTTTCTCGGGTTTAATATACGGCGAGTACATTTTAACATGTCCACAAATATTACTTTGTCTGCCTTTGAAATTTAATCTCCTCACGAGTTTGAAGTTTCTAAAGAAGATTTTTTGAACCGAAATAAAAATAATCTTTAATCGGCTGCAAAAATCTATTTGTGAATACTAAAAAAACGAAATAACATTTTGTTTGTCAACACTACTTAGTACATTCAAAGTACTCCTACAGTCATAGAAATGGAAGTATTAAAAGTGAGAATAACTAAACAAAATTTACGTGAAAATAAAACTAAAGGAAAGTATTAAAAAAATAAAAATAGTAAATCGAAAAGAAAACATGTGATTAAAGAAGATGTGTAAATTAATTAGGAACTTTGTTGAAAAACAAAAAAATAAATAAACAAAAATTGACATTTTGACGGTGACGTTTTCAATTATTTTTAACTGTTGGACATTTTTAAAAATTACCATTTACAAAATTTTCCCTTTTTGACCATTTATCCCTATAAATTACATTTTGCCAAAAATTATTTTTAAAAAAATATTAAAAATGACAAAATATCCCTTCACAAAAAATTTATTTTTATTTCGACCTTTTCTGATTTTTAATTTTTATTTTTTCAGCTTATTATCAAAATACTTACTACATCCCACCAATGTCTTTAAATAATTTTGATTCGAATGGAAAAAGAAGAATTTTGCTCAATGAATGCAAAAAAGTTTATATTCAAAGAGATTATAGTCAAGCGCTTATTATTCGTTTTTCAACAGAATTTCCTGAAGAACTTGAAAATTATGTTAGTTTTTTTTTTTAATTTTTGACATTCTAAGGGATGGTTTCCTTCCCTTATTTGGTTATATTTAATCTATAGCTATTTTGGTTCATCAGCAGTACTGGTTATTTGTCATTTTATAACTCGAAGATTGGCACTAGAGACCGGCAAAATCGCGTTTGTGGGATCCCGCGGGATAAAAATTTTTAAAAATCTTTGCGGGACGGGATCCCGCGGGATAAATCATGCAAAATTTCGCACTCTCGCAAAATCCCGCAAATCGAAAAGTGCGGGAGCGGTATCCCGCAAAATCCCGCGCGGATCTCTAATTGGCACCGTTTCATCTCCGAGTATTTTAAAGATTTGTGCTTCTCGTTTGCTCTAGGAACTTTGTCTAATTAAAATTTCTAGTCGAATGAAATAACTTTTTTTCATTTTATTTTTAGATAAGCAGACAATTATGGACTGAATTTATTAATAATTTAAATCAAATATATTCGGATGCAGAAAAGCTCTCCTCAAGAGCTTATGCAGAAAATATAATTGCTTTATTAACATGCCATCTTTCTCGTCTTTGTTTTAAATCTTTTTGGACGAAAAAATTGGAAGAAGCAGAATCTTTAATTGATGAGGCTAATCAACAACATTTTGTTAATGATGGAGTTTATGTTGGGAATCCGTTGGATAAAGGATTTAGAGTGGTATATTTATTTTTTTAAATTTACCAAAAATTTATTTTCCACTAACAACATTACGTCTTTAATTAAAATTATCAATAAAACGTTATTAAAGACATCATTGAAAGGTTAATGAGAATAAAAGTGAAAAGACTTATATTTACTAGAATTTTTGGCTCTATCGCAGTTTATGAGTTCATTGAAAAGTTTATAAGTTTTCGACCTACCCCGTACGCACAAAAATCAAATTGGACTCATAAACTGTAGTAGAGCTGAATTTTTCTTTTGTCAATGCCTGGGATTAATCCTTTCCATGTCATAAATTAACTTTATGTTAGGTATCCATTCCCAAATTTTAAGAAATAATTAACTTTGTTTCGAATAGGCATTTTGTCCTTCTATACAAGACCAAAATTTACTTTACTTTTAAATAAATTTTACTTTTTTTTAAAGATTGAAGTTGTTTTGCTAGACGAACCTTTTGCTGTTGGTTCTGGAAAGGCTGATAAAGATGCTATTTCTACACCAGTTCAAGGACTTCAACCTCGGTGACAACTTAATCCCCAGAAATGACCAAATCATAATATTAAACAACCATTTATAAATAAGAATTTTAGAATAGAATTATTGCATTCATTCCATTTTTGTATGCTTACAAAAATTTATTTTTTTGGAAATAAATATTTTTAGACATCTTTATTTTCAATTTAATGATGTTTTTTAGCTTTTTTCATTTTTTTAAATTGATTAATTTTTATTTTGTTCATAAATTTAATTTAGATAGTTTGTAGATGAAAGCACGCCATAATATAGACTTGCCACTTTGCATGTGTTCTGAACTTAGGTTTTTTATTTTAAAAAATTTCTAGACCAAATAGTCCATGTAAAATTATTTTATATTAACTTTGTGTTGAGTTCACATAATTAAATTCTTCAATTTTAGAAATTTTTTTAAATGTCAGCTTAGAATTTATTCCTTTTTTCATAAAGAATATAGGCTAAAGAACAAAAATAAATTTAGTAACGATTTTTTAAGGTTATTAATTTAATTTAAAAAGAATTCATTTTAATGTAAAAATAAATTCCTTTAATTTGTATTTTTTAGAAGTAGGAAAAATTGTTCTTAGGGTAATTTTGAAAAACTTTGGCCTTGATTCTTGATTTTAGTTTAGGCCCTTAACCAGATTTCTAATTCCGAGTCAGAATAATCGAGGCCAATAACAGAAATAATAAAAAAAACACTTAAAATTTAGATTCTGGATCCAGGAAATATCAAGTTTTGAATCTAGATCCAGGCCGAACTCTAATTATCTTTTAAAATTTTTTTCTCATTTTTATGCTCTTGCTATAATACTGTATATGCTTAAATAATTACCCTCTTAAATAATTGCCCCTTTCAATTAATTAACTCTTATAGCGAGCATTTCCCTTTTTATTTTAATTTTTACTTAAAATTTTTAAAAAAATTTTCTCTTTTTTAGGCATATTATTATAAAGATGTTTAAATAAAAAATATTTAAAATTAACAACAACAATATTAATTTAGTATTTAAAATTATTTTTATTCATTATTATTTAAAAATTGTTATTATTATTGTTTTTATGTATTATTATTTTATAATTAATTGAATTAATAAAACTAATATTTTTGTAATAATAACGGTAAAATAAGATTATTATTAAATAAATGAATAAAATAAAATTGCCAGCCATTATTAAAGCTAAATGAAATAAAAATTGTTATTTTTATCTGAAAAAATTATTGAAGGATGAAAGAAAATATAAATGACAAGATTTTTTTTTTGGAATTTTTTTTTAATTTATTTTTTATTTTATTTTTTTGGAAATAAATATTTTTAGATATTTTTTATTTTTAATTTAATGATGTTTTTCTTCAGCTTTTTTATTTAATTGATTAATTTTGATTATATGTTTAAATTTAATTCAGATAGTTTGTAGAATGCACGTACATAATATAGACTTGCCTGTTTTATACTATTAGCTTTGATTCGAGTTTACATAGTTTTATTCTTTTCAATTTTAGAATTGTTAAAAAAATTTTTTATGTCAGTAAAATCCGGTGCTCGTTTATTAAATGAAAATTTGTCTTTAAATGTGTCCAAAAATGTTGATTTTCTTGGTTGGTATAAACAAGTTTGTTTTTTCTTTTAAATTTTATTTGAACTTTTTTAGTTGGTTACAAAGTCTGAATTAAGTGATGATTATAATTTGCCTGGATTTTACATTTTGCGCCCATGGGCTTTTTCAATTTGGGAGTCGGTGCAGAAATATATGGGAGAACGTTTTAGTGAAATTGGAGTGAAGAATATTTCTTTACCTTTATTTGCCCCTTTTATGGATAAATTGGAAGAACGATATGAAAATTTGTTTCCAAATGTTTGTTTTATTTTTTTAATTTTTTTAGAAATTTACAGAAATTTTTGAGAACTCTAACTGATATAATTTTTGTTTGAATGTGTATACTCTTAAAATATGTTACCTACCCAAATCTTTATTCAATAAGTTTTCTCTTATTTTATTTCAAATATGATTCTAGAGCAGGGCTGGACGCAACCGAAAAAATTTTCCGCAGTCCGTAATTTTAATTTTAAAATCCGTAGCCGCAGTCCACAAGTCAAAAAACACGCAATTCTGCGCAGTCCGCAATCTGCAATTGCGTCTAGCCCTGTTCTAGAGGGCGAGGTTATATTGGGTAATACCCCACTGCTATAAATTTTATCTCCTCATTAAAACCTGACATTTATGTGCCTTTATTTTTGTCGTTTTCTTATCAATAAATTAAATTTTATTTTTATCAAATTAATTTTTAGATTTTAGACATATTTTCTCACACATGCTGGTAAAGATCCAATTAAACATTCAATCGCAATAAGGCCAACAAGTGAATCTCTAGTTTATTCAGATTTTGGTAGATGGTGTAGATCTTGGCGTGATCTCCCTTTTAGAATAAATCACTGGTCTAATGCTTTAGTTTGTTTAAAAATAAATTTTTAAATTTTTTTAATTTTAGAGATGGATTGAAAACCCAATTCCATTTATTTCTAGCAGAGAATTTCTTTTACAAGAGGGTTATAGTGGTTTTGCTAATAAAGAAGAATCAATTGATGAAGTTTATAAAATGCTAGATATTTATAATAATATTTATAGTGAATTATTTGCAATTCCTGTTTTGAAGGGAAGAAGATCAGAGAAAAGAAAATTAAAAGGAAGTGATTTTTCTACATCAATTCAAATTATTGAACCAAATAATGGAATTGGAATTCAGGTTTTTTTGTGTTTTGTTTATTTGAATTCTTGGACTCGTGTGGGAATCAAGGCGTTTACTCAGTTAATGTCCAAAAATTTGCTAACATAGAGCTTTTATAGAAATTAAAAGTCTTGATTTGACGGGAAGGGGTTAGACGTGGTTGGGGTTCACTTAAGTTTACGTACTTTCGATTCCACAAAAATTAATTTCCCGGTTGCTATTTCTCCATTTTATTAAAATTTTAAAATATATATTTAAGGCTGCTTCATCCACTCATTTGGGTCAAAATTTTTCAAAAAAATTTTCTATTTATTTTGATAATCCAAAAAGTCCAGGAGAGAAAGAATATATTTGGTTAACTCGTTATACTTTATCTATTCGTTCAATTGGTGCTTTAGTAATGACTTTTGGAGATGATTTTGGGTTGATTTTACCTCCTAAATTAGCTCCTATACAAGTTTAATTTAAATAAAAATTTTTTCAAAGAATTTTATTTGAAGGTTGTAATTATTCCTGCCGGACTTGATAATTGTAAAAATGAAAAGGATAAATTTAATTTAATTAAAAATGTTAAACTTATTAATGGGAAATTGAATGAAAATGGTTTACGTGTTGAAATGGATATTCGAGAGGAGGTAATAAATTTTTTAAATTAAAATTTTGAGTTTATTTTGAACAAATCCTTTTTTCTAAAAAGCTATAAAAATACTTCCAAGGGGCGTGAAAGTTAAAAAAATTTTTTTAAACCTCTTAAGAAAAGGTTATTCCCGATTTGAGACCGAACCCAAATTTGTTCAAACATCTAATCTGCCATGGATTTTGCTAGATATCGATCTTGATCGATTCTCAAATCGTGTCTTTTCTATAGAGGGGAGAGAGACTTTCAGACACAATTAAATCATTATTTTATTATTGTACAATAAAAAATATTTTTTTATTTTTATGTTTCAAATGAAGACAAATCTGACTATTGGAAGGTTGTTTGTTGCAACTTTTTTTTCTAGATTTTTTATTTTTAGTTAAAAGGAGTGCCAATTCAACTTGAAATTGGGCTAGAGAATTTGATAAGCCGACAAATACCCTTAAATGTTCGTTTTTATAACGAGAGATGTATTCTTTGCTTGGACAATTTAGCTGGGGAATTGGAAGTTTTACTGAAAAAAATTCAAAGTGATATGCTTAAAATGTAAAATTTTTTAAAAAGATAACTAATAGGGAGCTACTTTAAAGGATCTCTCTAATAAAAGGATCTCTCTAATAGAAATATAGTAAAATGTTCTCTAATAAGAGTCCTTGCATTTAAAAGCACTGTTTGAACGAAACTCTTATTTTCTGGTAATATAAGGCCCTTTTTATTGTTAGTATATATTTTTATAGTAGGCAGGCCCTTAATCAGGATTTTTTTCGGAGGGGGGGGGGGACAAGGGGAACTCTTTAGGGGAGTGGTTGCTTTAAATAATTTGACATTTTTTAGAATAATTGTCTTAATTTAATTTTTTCTCTAGAAAAACAAAAGAATTAAATGACTGTATCGAAATGTGTCTCGATTGGGAACTTTTTATATCAAAATTGGAAAGACATTCAATTTTACTTTCCCCTTTTTGTGGACATTTAAAATGTGAAGAATCGATTGAATCAATGTTAAATTCAAAAGGAATTAATTCAAAACTTTTAAATATTCCTTTTGAACAACCAAAAGATTATTTTGGCAAAAAATGTATTAATCCAAAATGTAAAGAAAAAGTGGAGTTTTTTGCTTTATTTGGTCAAAGTATTTGTTAAAAGAAATTTTTCTGTTAATTTTTCTAAAATATTTTCTTTTTAATTATTAAAAAAAAGAAGATTATTAATTAATAAATTATTAAATAAGAAGAAGACAAAAATGATAACAAATTTTTTTGGTAATTAATAAATTGTCTGTTTGGCCTGATCGCCGCTATCTTTTCTTACATTTAATCAATAAAATATTTTTATTATTGAAAATGGTGGTCATTTTTATTTTTATTTATTCACATTTTCTCTACAACCCTTTTAGTGACATTCTCTTAAATAAATATATTTTTCTCCTTTTTTTGATATCAAATTCCGAAAAAAGAATGCAAAAATAAACAGAATATTTTCTCAATGTCCTAATTTTAAGGCCACATTTTTGGGAATAAAAAGTGTGAGTAATGTTTTGAAAGTTATTTGTTAGTCAGACTTGTACAACATCACACCTTCCCGATACTCGCATTAATGTCAGATTTTTCTGCACGGGAGAGGTGTCGTGTCATACAAGTCCAACTGTAATACCAAAAATCACTTTTTAATTACTATTATGAGATAGTTTTTATAAATTTATTAAACTTTCTATAGGAAGGCTAAAATGTGTAATTATTGACTCTGTTGGATATTTATAACTTCATCGGATTTTTCAAGTTTAGGCAACCGCAAAGTCTAAATAAAAATTAAATTAAAAATTAAAAAGTGATTTTTCGTATTTTCTCTTGTTTAAAATTAATTTGAAATGAGTAAAACACACTCTTCCTTTAATTTTTTGTTGGAAGAATCGGGTTAAGAAGATTAATATTAAAAATGTAATGAAAAATAATAATCCAAAAAGGGTTGAAGGTCTGGGTTCGGGACCCAATCCTATAATTTAACCTATTCAAACACATCTTCGAATTAATTTTTTCCCAAATTTTTAAAAATATTTTCAAAACAAATATCAAGTTAAATGAAATATTTAGTGAAAGAAAAAAACAATTAAAAATTCTAAGAAAATGTTGTAAACTTTTTATAACGTGTAATTTCTTTTTAATTTTGCCCTTTTTCTTCAAAAATGTGCAAAAACTTTTTTGTGCAAAACAACTTTTTAATAAAAAAATTTCTCCCCCATTCTTTTAATTTTTGACAAAAATAATTAATTCCTTTTTTTTTATCAAAAGAATAAATTTTAATCATCCAGAAAATCTAAAAATATTTTTATAATTAATTTCTCTTTTCTAAAAATAAATTATTAAAAAAATTCTTCCTTTTTAATCTTTATTTTAAACAATATATCCCCCCATCCATTATTTAATATCAACTCTCTTTATTAACATAAAACGCCTTGGGGGAAAAGAATATTTTTTTCCACATTTTCTAATCGATTGTTATTTAACACAAAGAGGCATTTCCACCCGCCTTGTTCTCACTTTTAAATTTTTATTTTATAATTTTTCTTTATCCATTTTCTATTTTTATTTGTTTTAATCCTCCCACAAAGCTTTTGAAATTTTTTTAATGAAGTGGGGGGAATTAAGAGAAAAGAAAAAAAAAGTAAAAATTTCATCTCTTTTTAATTCTCTTTTCAATTTACCACTTTTCACTATTTTTTTATCAGAAAAACGCAACTTCGTACAGACAGAACTAGGGGGTAATACACCGTTAGGACATTTTACCGAAAAAATTTTAATTTACTGAAAGGCCTTGAAAGTCTTTGAGTTTATAACAAAACTGTATCTCTTTTTTTAACCAGCCTTCAATAGACAAATGAATTTAGGGAAATTTTTCAGAAAAAATCAGAATTTTCTGATTTTTTAAAGTTTTATTTTGTTTTAGGTGAATTGTCTTTTCTGTGAATTTCCAACTAAATTTTCACCTAAAATTTATTTCTACTTACTCATTTTACTCTCAAAAAATTAAGCAACTTTTCTTTGTACAGCCTTTAAATTACAAAAATGCAAGGGAATGAAATTGAAAAAGAAAAAAATAATGAAATAATAAATAAACAAACATTAAATAATAATGAAAATAATGATGAAAAAATGAATAAATTGGAGGATAGACTTGAACAAGCTGGAATTGTAAAACCTCCAGATGGAGCTTTTGGATGGGCTGTAGTTTTTGCCAGTTTTTGTACAAATGGAATTGTTGATGGAATTATTTTTACTGGTAAATCTAGTATAATTTAGCCATCCCTTTAATGAGATGGTATGAGATTTAGACATGAGAGTATCCATTTTATGGTACAGATAGGTGGCTCACCCCTTCTCTCACGAATTTACAGGAACTGAGGGCAATAATTTGATAAGCATTAGGATAATTATAATATAGTATATTATGGGCATTATAAGATACAAGTTTTCATCCCCAAAGGTGTATCTACTAGTATTCGGCACGGTTCGATACTACCGCGGTACTGACGGTACTACCGGTACCGAAAAAATTCATTTGCCGAACACTACTAGAATATCTACCAAGAAGGTTAGATTGTATTATAATTTAACAAAAATTTTAAATTAAAGTCAGTGCAAGTCTAGTACCTCGTTGGGAACGTTTTTTCAACAACAACACAGTAACTAATGTAACTTCTCTTTTGGCTGGGTTTTATTTACTTTCTGGCCCTTTAGCCTCTGCTTTGGCTAATTCTTTTGGTTGTAATACTGTTGCCGTTGCTGGTTATTTTAAATAGAAAAAATTCAAAAAAAAATTTGATTAGGGGCTTTTATTGCTGCAATAGGCTTTCTTGTTAGCGCCTTAATACCTGCTTTGCCTGTTTTGTATGTTGCTTTTGGAATTATTGGGGGTTTGAAAAAATTGGAAATTTTCTTTAGAAATTAGTCTTTCTTTAGGAATTGGCTTTGGACTTGTTTTTCTCCCCGCAATTGTTATTGTTGGGCAATATTTCTCAGAAAAAAGAGCTTTAGCAACGGGAATTGCTGTTTGTGGTTCTGGTATTGGAACGGCTATTTTTGGGCAGGTAATTGAATAAACTCTAAATTTTCCATAGAATTTTGTATAATTTATTTCTAATAGTCACCTATTGTGATCACTTTCCTCTTATTGTTCTTTAATAAAAATGGTTTTTGACTGAGATTTAGAATTAAGGGAGATTAGAATTTTCTCCTATCAAGTCTTTCGGCTAAAGACTTTGTGTGACAAGATTTTCTTTTAAAGTGGGTGACTGTCGGTTTGAGGGAGAGAGTCTAATTAAAATAAACACAAGCTTGTCATTATTGGGAAGGACGATTATTAGAATAAATTATGTGGATGTGGGTATTAGAGAGAAGAATAATTTAATTCAACCAATTAATTGTACGAATAAAAATTATTTGTTTTCAAGATTAATCCAATAATTCTCGACCATTTTGACAAACTTGTCGGTGAAGAAGATAGTTGGCGTATTTTTCTACTTTTTCTTTCTGCAATAACTTTAACTTGTGCAATATTTGGTTGCTTCTTTAAACCTTTAAAACCTTCAAAATCGCAACTTGAACAAGTGAAAATTTCAAATTTTAATAAAAAAAAAGAAAACTTTTTTATAGTAAAGGTGGTTAAAATTGCGAGTGAATTTATGGGAAAAGGTGGAAATAATGAGGAAATAATATTGAGAGAGGAAAATGAAGAAAATAATAAAATTATTAGAAGGCCTTCTGACACTACAAAAATTACTCAAGGAGTGGAAATTGAACGGTGAATTTTAATTATTTTTTAAATTCAAATTACTGTAACAAAAATTCAGTAAGCAAAATTCATTAGACATTACAAGCCCTACTCTGTAGAGAGGTGTAGGGGGTAGGTAACATATCTGTTCAACTACACAAGAGGTCGTGGGTTCGAGTTCGGTAATCGAATTTTTTACCAAGTTGTGGTAAGATTAATTGCGCGCCCCAAAGCCAAACCAAAAAGCATGGTATCAAATGCTCCCCCCAATGAATTTTTCCGCCAGAGTGTCATAATACCCACCCAGCTACTCGCCTTTCAATTAGTTCAAATAAAAAGAATTTCTGAATTTCTTTTTAATATTTTTGTAACTCTAGTTTTGTTAAACCTCCCCAAAATGGAGCTCTTTCACGTCGTCGAGTAGACTCATTTTCACAAAGACCTTTTTTATCAACACTTGAATTGTTGGCTAGTCGACATGCACTAGTTGGTGATTATTTTTTAATTTTACATATTTAAAATAGTATTTTTTTGTTCTATTCAAATTTATGAGTCCAATTAATTATTAAAATTTAAGAAAAAAATAATTTTAACTTGCTCAATTTCTTTAACTCATTTTTCAATATACGGAGAGAGAAAAAGAAATAAAGAGAGTGGAACGAGTAAAATAAATATTTACTAAGCTAGCACAGCGACATTTATTTTAAACAAATTTTCTCCCTTCTTTATATAAAGAAGAGAATAGACTTTAAATGTTCATTCCAAATGGACATATACTAAAATTGGAACAATACAGAGAAGATTAGCATGGCCCCTGCGCAAGGATGACACGCAAATTCGTGAAGCGTTCCAAATTTTTTCTCAAAATTAAAAGGAAAATAATTTTTTGGATTTTTAAATTGGCGGAGTAGAGATAATTAATTTTTCATTAATAAAGGATCAATCAAGCACTTCAAATGCTAATTTGGCAAGAAAAGTCAGCAAAGTTGGAGTCATCGACCTAAATCGCCCCCTTAGCCGAATGGATGTTTTCTACACCGGATCAACTCAAAGTTTGGCAAAAAGAACACAAAACAGAATGCCAAATTTTAGCGAAAATAATTTTTTTGAAAATAAACAAGAGGCAAAACCTTCAATTGGAAAATCTAATCTTTATTTGAGTGCTGCTGGTTTGCATACTTTGGAAGGGGCGGCAAAGTCTGGAATTGTTTCCTCTAAATGGACTAACAATATTATTTCTGTAAATATTTTTTTTATTTAAAATAAGAGAGCCCTCACTCCACCTTAATAGACTAGGAGAAAAATTATCTAAAATTTTTCCTTCGCTATTAAAATACCTTATTATATTCGGGTTTATCAGAGATATAACAAAGTTGAGAGCACAAGAATAACACTTTATCCAATGTAGAAAGTTACAATAAAGGCGGAGATGGAATTGGACCTTCAATAAAAATAGGAAACAAATACACAATGTTATTAGATTAAAAAAAAATTCAATTTAAAGTCCCTTCGTTCAATGCTTGATTTGGGCCTTTTACAAAGCCCAACATTTCTTGTTTTGGCAATTAGCGGTTTCTTAACACTTTTTTGTTTTTTTGTGCCTTTTGCTTTTATTGGTGAATTAGCTGCTAATAAAATATCTTCAACAACAATAAATAATTTTAATAAAAATGATACAAATAATTTAAATAATTCGGAAAGTGGTTCAGCTTCCCAATTACTTTTGGTTCTTCTTGGTAAGAAAGATATAGAGAAAAGGAGAAACATTTTTTTGTTTTTAGGCCTTTTTAATGTTGTTGGACGTGTTTTATGCGGGTAATTTTTTAATTAAAACAAAAATAACATTGAAAGGATAGTTGATATACATATTTTGAATTTTAGTGGAAAAGAGATGAGGAAAACTTTTTCTTATTCCCAAATAATTGACAAGTTCGAAAAATTAATTTTACCAAATAATTAGTACTCCCCTTTTTATAATAGTTATACCGATACCTAGCTATATTTAAATAATTCGGATTTTGTTTTGGGAGGAAACTTTTGATTGTGTTTACTACTTTTTGCTATAATGGGGGTAATGCTATATCCATCAGGAATGGATTTTGTCTCGTGTCTCTTATCTCGGGAAATCTTGTATTTTTGAGTGATCTCGTATTTTGTAGGACGAGACCCACCCCTGTTATCCATCCCGGTCTCGGTATATCCTCAGAATCGACTGCAATTTCCACTCCTTATGCCATTACCTGAATAACACTAAAATATCCACAGATATACCTAACACCGTTACATATTTGTCATTCCCTTGCTAACTTTTTCTTCCTCTCGTTTAGTTATATATCTGATCACCCAAAAGTCGATCCTCTAATTGTTTCAAATATTGCTTTAATTATTGGTGGAATAGCTACAGCATTTGCCCCTTTACTTAATCAACTTTGGATGTTTGCTATTTATTGTTTTCCTTTTGCTTTTGGTGCTGCCAGTTTTGCAGCTTTACGTTCAATTATTTGTGTTGAATTGCTTGGTATTGAACGCCTTTCTAGTGCTTTTGGAATGTTAATGCTTTTTATGGGGTAATTTTTGGAAAGAATTTTTTGGCAAAATTTTTTTGAAATTTTAGAGTTGCTGCTCTTTTTGGTAAGTTTTTTTCTTTTTTAGTCTTTAGTTGAAATATTCTGATTTGTATTTTGCACTTCATAGTCTGTTCATACCTTCTTCAATACTCTATCTAGATATTATATGTATCTATAAATTTTGACTCCAAAATTCAAAGCATCTGAGATTTGTAAAAAGTCGGGTCGGGTTTTAGGAAAGAAAATTTCTCGACTAGGGCCTCGGGTCGAAAAAAGTCCAGGTTTCGAGTAATCCGTCCCATGCCCTGCCAAAGAGATGCGAAGGAAAATAAAAAGCGAATAGAAGGAGATTTCCTTCGCATCGCTTTTTTAAAACGCAAAAGATCCATCCATGTCTCTTTAGGATTTTACTTGCCCTATTTAAAAGTTTTTCATCTAGTACAAATCAGAATCCCCAACTTTTTTCTAAAATTTTAAAAATAATTTTCTTTTTTTAAAGGCCCTCCATTTGCAAAATTATTAAAAAACTTTACGGGTAGTTATGGACTATCATTTCACATTATGGGTATAATGATGGTTGTTAGTGGGGCTATGTGTATTCCTTTAAGAAAAATAAATGTTTGGGAAGAAAGGAAAAATAAAATTAAAAAATTTGGCCAATCAAAAAATGAAAAAGAAAATAATGATGATGAAAATATACCAGAATTACAACCTTTAAATTAAAAAATTTTTTTAAATAAATATTACGGGGTTCCTTTATTGTTATGTATTTTTTAACAGGAAAAATAATTATTGGAGGAACTCTTTTCTTTTAATTTTCATTTTATTTGCAATAATAAATTAAATATATTAATTAATTAAAATAAATATTTTTGGAAATCGAAAAAGAGTATTTTGTTATTTTCAAAAGAAAAACTCGGAAAAAATATGAGGGAATTTAAAAAATTAATTTAAAAATTATAAGGCAAGGACTGATCATATTGAGACTCCCATAAATTTAAAAAAAACTACTAGATAATTTTGATTTGTTTTCACAGATAACCTCAAAACTTAATAAAAAAATAGTTTACTTTATAGTAAATATCAGTTTGCTATATAAATAATTAACCATATATTCTGTATTTTTATAAACGCGCATTAAATTTGACGTAATAAATGGAAGTAATAATTTCAAGCCCTGCGATACGGGATTTGTAGTGCATTTATTATATCGAGGAAAATAATTTTTTATATTTTGAACCATTGTAGACATGAAAAGAGTTATTTTTATCACTACTTATTTATAATCCCGGTTCCGTATCCTCTCCCAGATATTCTCTCCAATCATCTTTACTTTTAGAAATTAAAGTAATTATCCATCAAACATTATAAACAATAATCAAAACCAAACATTTTGATAAAAAATTAAAAAAGGGTAAAGAGAGAGGGAAGGGAAGGGAAGGGAAGGGAAGGGAAGGGAAGGGGAGAGGAGAGGGGGGAAGATGAGGTAGGGAGATAGTCGAGTTGGATAATATTCAAAAAATTGCCCTTATCGATTAAAAAGTCGATAAGAGAAAATTTAAATATTAATGTATATCCCTTACCCTTTATCCTCCCTTATCCCCCCCCCCTCCCCTTACCCTTCATCCTCCCCTATCCTTCCCTATCCTTCCCCTCCCCTCCCCCCTCCCCTCCCCATTAATTTTAAAATTCTTAATAAAATTAACTTTTTTCTTTTAAATTAATGTTTAAACCCTTAATTTCATAATTTAAGTTTAAATCATTTCTTTTAAAAACAAATAATTTAAGGGGATTAATTTAAAAAAAAGTAAAATGTTTTCTATTTTCATTTTATTTCAACTTTTACCAACTTTAATTTATTCACAAATTGAATGTGATCTGTGTGGGTATGAATTTAGAGGTGTTAAAGAAGAAATATTTTTAAATGATGTTCATCCAACATCTGTTAGTATTAGTTTTTTTGAAAACAAAAAATTATAAAAAAATATGACCTAATCGCGAAATTTTGCTCTCTGTGGAATTTTGTTTTTCCAAGGCGAAAATTTGCTTTATCTCATGGAAAAGTGTGTTCCCCTCAAACTGGAACCTTAGAAAAGGTAAATGTCCGGTTGGTGTCCTACATGTCCGCAAAGAGAATGCGCATTTTTCCTTCCTTTTCTTGCATTTTTTTCTGCAAGGAGTGGCGCCCATTTTTCCTTTGTGTATGGTATCCTTTTGGCATGTCGAAGGAAAGAAGGAAAATAATAAAAATTAATTACTAATAGAGTATTTAATTTAATACTAATAAAATTATAACTAATAATGTTAGATAGATTTACAAACAGAATTAATTCACTTTATGTTTAGATCAGTTAGGATATCAACACCAAACAGTAAATCATCAACAATTCTTTATGAATCCAGTTAACGGTGCAAATACACAGCAGATTTAAGCATTCTGGAACAGATTAAGATTTCGAATAGATTAAGACTCCCCCAGATATTTTAGAAATCTAACTGAGAATGTTGTCCCAAATTTTTCATCTGATCATTTATAAAATAAAATATTTATTTGTACTCTATTAGTAATTAATTTTTATTATTTTCCTTCTTTCCTTCGACATGCCAAAAGGATACCATACATAAAGAAAAAATGGGCGCCACTCCTTGAAGAAAAAAATGCAAGAAAAGGAAGGAAAAATGCGCATTCTCTTTGCGGACATGTAGGACACCAACCGGACATTTACCCTTAGAAAATTCCGTGTTAAATCAAGATATTCGAGGTTTCATTCGGAAGTGCCCGTCGAGCTCTGTATATGATGAGAATCTTTGTTCGCTTCGGCAAAAACTTTGTTTCACGAGATCACATAAAAAGAGGTAAAACAAATTGTCTTATCTTTCTTTAGTCGAATCATAGTAATTTGATTCAATTTCATAACCTCTTTCAAATATCCACGAATATTGATTTGACTTCAAAGTGGATATAGATTTTCAAATAAAGAGTAAAATTCTAATTTGGGGAGCAACTTTTTGCTTAAGAACAAATTTTCGACTTGAAGAACAATCTTCGAGAGAACGAAATTACATAGAGAGCAAGTCTCCAAAATGTAAAATTCAGGATCCGAACCTAAGCGAAGAGATTACACTTGAATATGATAATGCAAAGATTGGATCTGGAAGCTTTTCTCAGGTATTCAAAGATATTTATTTTTGAAATTAAAATCCTTTTCCTATTTGTGAAATATCAAAAGGACCTGGGAATATTTGCCAAAAATTAAAAAAAGATTATCGTAATAATTAGGGCTGGCATATTCTTCGTCAAAATACATATATAATTGTTTAAAGACCATTACGTACAATTGTGTCCGCAAAAAAATCCGAAAAACTCCGTAGGGATAACCGACAAGTACCATTTTTTGTCAGAATTTTAGTTATACTTTTTCAAGCGCTAGAAATAATTAGTGAATAAAAATACCTAATTATAATTTAAGGTCTATCACGCAACATTAAAAGAAGGTTATACCCTCGGAGGGAAAAATCGGAAAAAATTGGGATGTATTGGATTAAAGAAAACAATTATGACTAATGAGACGAAAAATTTGGAGTCTATTGAATTAATGCAAAGAAATGAATGGGAAATTTTACTTTTATTTAGTGGATTGGGAGAAGAGAATAATAAAAGAATTATTAAACTTTATGCAGCGTTAGCTTTATTATTTTATAAAAACTCTTGATTCATTTAATTTAAAATATCAAAGATTAATTTTTAAAATTTAGTAACATTGATCATAACCCGACAGAACGAATTCTTTATTCATTGTTAGAATGGGGAGGTGGTGGAAACTTTAGAAATTATATTAATTATAAACATGATGAATGGGGAAGTGGAAGTAATTGGCAAATTGACGACGATAAAGTTTTTGAGGTTATTAAAGACCCTGTTCTTGTTATGGGAGAATTACATCAAAGTAGGGATTTTTAAAATTAATTTTCTAATATTTTTTTGATATCATAATAACTTTTGAGATTTTTACTAATGTCCAGCGCCGGACCTTATCCGGACATTCTTTCATGTTCCAGGGGTTTTCAGGATTTGAGGATTATTTGCAGACCGGATTAATAAAAAACCGGCCGGATCCGGTCCGGTATGGACCCAAAATCCACTATCCGGTTTCGAACTCGAAAAAAAGATTTTGGTGGACATCAACATAAAAATCCTTCCTTTAATCATCAACGAATATTTTAACCTTTTGAAAATCTTACATTTATTTTCAAACAAAATTTTAACTTCTAAACACAATTTCTTTTACAAACTTTTATTAATAATTTAATAATTAATACTTTTTTTAGAAATAATACATTTGGACTTTAAACCAGAAAATCTAATTTATGTTACGAGAAACGAGGAAACAAGTTTAAAAGCAATTGATTTTGGAGGAGCTAAAATTTTTGGTATTAACGACCAGCATCGTTCTTATCATTCAGTAAACATCCAAAACCAGCTTTGTATAATTTCTAAAAATTCTCCACTTTCAACTAAAGCTTATCGAAGTCCTGAACACAGAAATTTACTTTGTCGTCAACATAATATTTGCCCTGTACATGAACAGAGATGCCCAGAAAATAATACTTTATGTCGAAAGCATGAAAAAAAATGTCATAAAAATACCTATTATTTACTCAGTGTAAAATCGGATATTTGGGCAATTGGCACAATATTATTTCAAATCGCTATGGGAGATTTATTAGCTAGAGTATTTAATCCTGAAATTAAAACATTGAATAATCTTAGAACTAATAACCGAGAAGTAAATATTTTTAATTAAAATAAAAATATACATAACTACATATCAACTTAAATTAAGAACAAAATAGTAGATAGAAATTTCTTCAAAATACCACAAATTAATTTTAAAAATTTTTTAATACTTTCCTCTTATATGCCCGCAAATCTTTAGCCAAACTTTAACAGTTGATCCTAATCAATTCTAGGCATAGCTCCGGGAGTTAGCTCCGGCGGAGCCAGAGCTATTGACAACCCCGGAGCCGAGGTTTTTCAATTTCGGGGACCTACATATGTATATCTTCATTACTTTTCCGTTGAAAAATATATAAATCGAAAGACTTTGGAACTGTCAAATGGCTAAAGTGCGGACATAGTTTAATAGAAAAGTACTAAAATTTTCCAAATTTTAGTTTCCAAATACTGGCGAAATTTTGGAATGGATAACTACAAAATATAAAATATTTAAAAGTTTTAATGAATGGACTGAAATTATATTTAATGATTCGGAAAATATTTATGATTTTTTGACGTTAATTTTGGAAACAAGAAATTGTTGTCCAAAAACATATTTGTTAATTATTGTAAATAATTTAAATAAATTTAAAATAACCCGAAATAAACACTAAACAAAAATTAATATAAATATATTATGGCTGTTAATTTTACAAAAAAATTTTCTGAATTGGGGATGTTCTGTTCTTCCTTCTGGGATGGTAACTAGTAGGGAAGTAATTATCTGAGGGAGAGCAATTAATTAAGTACCAGTTAAACAAAAATCTCGATTATTTAAATCGAGATTTTTAGAGATCTCGAACGACAATTTCCATCCCAATACGGTCTCTAATAAATACTTTATATAACGTATTTGCTAAAATAATTACCCTAGGTAAGTATGTTTCAATATCTCGCTGAAGGAAAAATAAATAGAGGCGGGGTGATTATTTGAGGGACGGACATTAATTCAGTTTTTGCGGACCTAAATAACTACAAAAAACATTTTAAATTAAAAAAAATTTTTTTTTTAAATAATCTTTTCCAAAAAAACATTTTAGGCAACACTCCAATACAATCCAATTTATCGTCCAACAACATTTGGTATTTTGTCATATTTGGGAGGGATGTGTAAATTTTGGTTTCCAGAAATTAAAGGTTATAATAAAGAGGGGCAATTGGTAGATATTGGAGGATTGGATGATATATTTTTCGTTCCGGGACTTTCTATAAATTTGTTAAAACAAATTTTAACAAATATTTATCTTAATGTTGAATTGGATGAAGAAAAGCGACAAGAAATTATAAATTTATTTACTTTGGCTGAAAAACAAATAAATATTGGGACGGATTATATTTTTAATTTGCGTTATTGTTAGTCGATGAAATGGATGCTGAAATTGAACCAAACAAAGGAGAGGCTGTGAGGTGTCCGTGGGACTTCGGGATGAAATTTGGCAGATTGGCAGATAGGTTATATGTAGAAAAGGAAACTGAGGGGGATCCTAAAACGTTGTAGGCTTATAACTCTATCCACGGTACCCCGCGGCGAAAATGGTGCAAATTTCATAACTAAAGTAGGGTATGATCAAATTTCATCCCGAAGTCCCACGGACACCTCACAGCCTCTCCTTTGTAAATGAAAGAAGAAATGTTGAGAATTTTTAAAAAATATTCCACAATTTTTTGTGTGAAACTTTTTTTTTAATTTAAATTTTTAAAGTTAGTCATAAAAATTTTTAGTTTGTTTAGAATTAAATTTTAAATTGTCCTTTGAGATAAAAAAAATATTTTTTTAATATTATAACCACAATTAGTGTATAAGCTCGAATAATTACCTGAAGGGTTATTAGGTTCAAACTCTTGCTGGAGGGATTAATTACTTGAGAGAGAGAGAGAGAGGGTAATTATTTCAGGCGGTAAATAAAGTCCAGATTTTATTTAATTTAACAAAATTTTGGTTCATTTTAAAGAGGATAAATTTGGCTGCAAAATGTGCCCAAAATTATATTCATAGGAAAATTTTAAACAATTTTTTACTAAATTTTGAACAAAGAGAAGGGTCTTTACAATTTTATCCACAAATTTACATTCTTACAATTATATATACAAAATTTAATTTTAATCCAAAATTCTTTTTTTTTACTGGAAATCTTGCTAATCCAAAAAAATAAAATTAATTTAAGAATTAATCACTGTAAGAGGTTTATTATTAACATTTTTGGGTAAAGGAGGATTAACAGCAATTGCTGGGGTAGTTGTTGTCGCTCCAACTCTGTTTGAATGACTCGATGATCCACTTAAATAGGCTAACAAAGGAAAGCAATCATTAAAAGCTTCGTGGTATTTTTCACTGAAAAATTTGGAAAAAAAATTATTTAAATGAGTTTTGGAATTTTGAAGTTTTTCTAAGAGAAGAGAAAATATATGCATAGTAGTTAAATGTAATTACCGTAAAAACTGTATTAACTACCCTGAATAATTATATATTTTCGATCTCTCGCTGGAGGGGGGGGGGGTAATAAATACAGTCGGGGTAATTAATATAGGTTATTTTAGAAAGGCGAATTATAACTATTTTTAAGGGAGTAATTATTGTTTAAACCTTTCGCTGGATAGAGTAACTAATACAGAGGGGTAATTATTTGAGGGAAGGACATTAATACAGTTTTTACGGTAAACTGGGGGTTGTTTAATTCACTAAATCCTTCGATACCCGAAACTGAACCGGAAATCTTTTGTTTAAAAGTTTGATTTGAAACCACATTTTTAATTTGTCTTTAAATTTGTAACAAATTAGAAAGATAATGAAAGAAAATTAGACAAATTTATTTCTAAAATAATAACAGGGTAATTTTAAATATTTTTAAAAATAAAAAATTAAAGTTTCACACGGATTCCCTTTCCCAAATTATTTCTAAAAAAATTAATTTTCTACCTAACAAAATAAAGAACAGGTGCATTCGAACTGTAAGCAACAATACTTAAATGAGAATTAATAAATGTTATAAAATTCTTAGTAACAACATCTACAGCCACAAAATTATAAAATTGTTTTAAAATATTATTTATAAAAACACCAATCATATTTACAATTATAATAATTAATAAAGATTTTATAATTCGACGATTTGAGGTTGAAACAGCTTTGAAAAATAAATTTTTGGATTTTATACGTATGTTTTAGTGTTTTACCGGAACCTATATTTTGATCCAAACTGGATCCAATTTGAGTTCCAGATCCGGAACCGGAACCGAAAAACGCCGGAACTTCCGGTGAAATTCTAATATGTATATGTTCTGGGGCAAAAGTTTTTTCTTGGCACTAGCTGGGAAACTAAATTATCCAACATACAGTCCAGAACCCCATCAGATTACCAATTGTCTCTCTACACCCTTCTATTGCCAGTAAATTTTTTAATTATAATCTTTTTTAATTATAATGGAAATTATTTTTAATTTTGATAAAAAATGAATATCCCATTTTTTACCCAAAATCTACATTATAAAATAAATTATTGTTACCATTTCCTCCCAAATTTTTTCTTAAAAAAACTAAAATCCAAATTAAAATATAAGTAATCATTAATGTAGAACTAAGAGTAATTCCATTAAAATACATTATAACAGACCAACTTCCACGGCTTATATCATAACTTGAACAAGTAACCAAACTAGATTTTAAAAATAATATTTTTGAAATTTATTTTGGTAATTTAAAAATTTTTAAAGAGAAAAGGGATTTTTTTTGATTTTTGAGTTTTTTTTTGTTTTTGAATAGAGAGGTGGTTATTGTGTTCTCTAATTTTTTTTCATTAAAATCTTTGGAACAATTAAATAGAAAAATATTAACATTTCTCCATCTGTATCTGCCAAAACATTTAAATATAGAAATAATTGATAACCGGCATAAAAAATTAGAATTGCCACAACTAGCAACGTGTAAAACTTTGTATTTCTATTTTTATACCTAAATAATTAAAGTTAATTGGAAATTAAAGGATGAAATTAATCAAAAGTTAAAATGAGTTATTTTATAGTAAAGCGACTGAACCCGTCCCAGAAAATAGCAAAAAATTGGACAGGATTTAATCCTGAGACCTCTCAGATATAGGGTTGTTAACCATTCAACCACTTTTCATTCCATTTTTGCTTTATCTGCTAGGCTGAGAGGTTACAATACAAAATAGGTAGTCCCCTCCGGCCGGGATCTAATAGGTAGATATTAGAAGTAAAAAAGAAAGGGATTAAACATAGAGATTGATCTTTTGATAGTCTTATTGGAGTTAAATTTTAATTAATTTTGACAAGGAATGCTAAAACTTTGATAAATGGGTGAAGTTATTAATTTTTATATCAAAAATAATTATATTTTTATCACTACCAAATAGGTAAGTTAATTGCAAATAAACGATCAAAACCAATCAAAACCATTGTCATTTGTGCATTATTTCCTGTAATAATCGACAAAATTTGTATCCAAAAACAAGGAACAAATTTAATAAATGGCTGTCCAATTAAAGCCAAAACAAAGCTAACAAAATAATTTAAATTTAAAAATATTCCAAAAAAACTTTCCAAAGCTATAAGTATTTGGCAAAAAGTGTGGAGAGACCTGAGAAAATGAAAAAAATAGTGGGAAAATACATTATACATTGTGTAGATTTGTCAGTTTCAACCCAAATCGAACCGAAAAGACGAAGATTTTTGGTTTGGTTTGTTGGGGTGGTTTCGGTTAGCCAAAAAATTGGTGAAATCGACAACTCTGAGTAATTATTTTTTCAATTTCTCGCTGGAGGGGGGTAATTAATAAAGATGTCCAGGCTCAACTCAGCCTTGACTTCTCTTGGATTCTTTTAAGTCTAGGCTTTGGCATGAAGTTTTAGTCTAACAATAAGTCTCGGAAAATTTTCAGTCTCGGACATTTTTAGTAATATGGATGACCCCGAAGGCTCAGGGTGCTTGCCTAGTCTGCTTATACAAAATCGAAATCTCAAACTTTATTTACTTTTTAATTAAAGTAACATAAATTAATGACAAATTAAATATTAAAGCAACAAAAGCAATAATTGAACGAATTCCATACATTTCAATTAAAGTAAGATAACCTTCTGTTTTGCTTTGAAAATACATAAACCACTTTAAATTGAAAAAATTGTCTAAATATATTATTATTTTACCAAATCAGTTGAAGAATTATATGTAGAATTTACCATTGTTTAAAAATATAATTTTTAAATTTGGAAGAAATATAAGGGATTCGCTATATTTAATAATGAAGCTGAAAGATGTCTGGAAATAAGATAATGTAATTTTAGTCAAAAAAATTTTTTTAAAGTTTCGTCGACATTCTTTGGAATTTGTTACCAAAATATAAAAATATTTACCTAAGTATTTACTTCAAACCCAAAATCATTTTATTTTGGTTAATGCTCTAGCTTAAACATACAAAGTATTTAACAATATTTTAGGGTTTTTAAATCTCCAGAGCGCCGCAGGTGAAATTTCGTCATATCAACAAAAATTTTCACTCAAAATTGTCACCTTCTCCCTTTTTGGGGGCATCAATGATTTAGCAGTAGTCACCACTAAGGGTAGTTAATAAAAAAATTTTTTTGAAAAAAACGGTAATTATCGCCTGCGGGACAAAAAAGGAAGTAATTTGCTATAAGTTTATCTCCCGATATTTTTGTTAATCCCTAGAATCCTCAGAATCCGCTGACATCCCACATAATTCACTCAAATCCACCGACATCCCTCTTAATCCACCCAAATCATAGGATGAAATATTAAGAGAGCGGCTCTGAAAATCACCGGCCGGAGCCAAGAATTCATCTGCTATGAGCTGGAGTCAAGATTTAAAAAGTTCGGACCGGGGATCCGAATATCCTAAATTTTAGGTTGCATATCCGACCCGAATCAGAAGTTCAAAACAGCTCTAGACTGCACTTTATTCGAAATTTTTATAGAAAAAATATTAAATAATAATTTTTTAAATAAAATTTTTTAATGCAAAGTAAATAAAATTTTTCATTCTTTTCACATTATCTACGTTTTCACGCAATACATCAAATTTAAAATTACAGTATCTCAGACATAATTTATTAAAAATAATGAGATTTTGAGGTTGAAAATATTATTTTTTAATGGAAAGAAGACTTATAAGTCTTTTCAACCTCAAAATCTCATTATTTATTAAGTATAAATTATTTGAGATACCGTAATTTTAAATTTGATGTATTGCGTGAAAAAATGGGGATTAGTTGTAAATTAAAATGTGTTGTATTAAATAATCGTAATTTTTTGTGTTAAATAATTATTTTAGTTAAAATTTCAAAATTTTCAGGATTTTTAACGGCAACAGTGCCGTTTGTGTAAGACATTTTTTTACTATTCCCAACTACCCTTTTACTTCTTTTGGGTGTTAACTATTTCACATAGGTACTTCAACATTAATTTAATATAAGTGTCTCTTTTTTACTTTAAAATGTTTCGTTATTTACGTTCTCGAATTGGAACTCTTGCATTTTCAAGAAAATAAAAAATTATTTTTTCCACTCGGATTCGAACCCATGACAATTTTTAGACTAGAAAAACATGTGTTTAAATGTGTTGATGAGAGCGAATCTTACAATTTAAATTAGTTAATCCAATTTCTGATTCAAAAAATCAAAATTAGCTCCTTTCTCTATTACTGGAACTGTAGCGATGAAAAGTCCTCTTCAGGTAAAGAAACGGACAGTTTGGCGCGGATCGTTTTGGCGCGACCATTTTGGCGCAGATTGCCATTCACCTTCCGACAAATTTTTTTAAATTTTTTGCAAAATATTTTCACAGATATCTCAGGATTATTTAATTTATTTTTGACAAAAAATCTCTTATTTTAATTAAAAATGTTTCGTTATTTACGTTCTCGAATTGGAAATTCTTATGAAATTAAAGATTCTGAACAAAAAGATGTTGTTACTTGCAAAAAGGTTTTCTTTTTTAATTTAATTTATTTTTATTTTTTAAAAGATTTCAACATATGGATTTCCTCAAAGAGTTTCTTGTTTTGCTCTAAGTAAAAGTTTTGGATTTTTAGCAATTGGAACTAGAGATGGAAGGCTGCAAATGTATGTTTTTATTTATTTTTTAAAACTATTGATATTTTTGGGGGAATTTTTTGGGATTATTTTTGAATAGTTTTAATACTTTATTTTTATTTAAATATTTTTTGAAATTTTTATTCAAAACTATATTCCGATTAGAGATCCGAAATTTTAAAAAACCCTTGATTTTTATTAGAGAGCGAGATTTTTAAAAAGCCTTAATTTTGGTTGGGTACCTTGACCAGATTCTTGACCTTGAGTCAAGGAAAAATCAAGTAACTCTGAAAAATGCCTTGATCTGGACTCTGGATCCAGGGAAAATCAAGGTCTGGATCCAGATCCGGCCCGCTCTCTAATTTTTGTTGAGGGCTTTGACCAGATTCTTAACATTGAATCAAGGAACATGTGCCTTGATATTGACTCTGGATTCCGTTAAAATCAGGATCTTAATCCACGTTTTGGCCAATCTCTAGTCCAGATACAGAGGGTAAGGCATGCATGGTCCTTTTTTAGCGATGGCCAAGCTTCGCTTTTACCATCATTCCACTCCACATCCTCCACATAGGCTATAACTATTTTTAATCAAAAAATACTTCTCCTTTTTATTTTCAATTTAATTTCTTTTTTTTAAAGATATACACCAAATTGTTCCCAAATAAATATCCAAATTGAATTTCCAATAATTTCTGTTTATTTTCTGGATTCTTCCAAAACTATTATTATTCGCTGCAATGACCTTACAAAAACAAAATTTGCTTTATTTAAATTCTTTTTCTACAAAATTGTTAATAATGAATTGAAATTAATTAAAGATTATGATCCAATGCCAAATGAAATTTATAATACTTCACAATCTTTTAAATGTTGCAAATGTTTGAATGAAAATGGAAGCTCTGCTTTGCTTTTAGGTTATTCTTTTAAATTTATTTTTGGGAGATAAAGAGTTTTGGGTTATTTTGTTCTTTCCTCCTTTTTGTTACCCGAAACGAAAATAGTGTAGCTTAGATTGCCATTTTAGCACCTTACAAGTAAATGGGCTCTGAAAAGATGGATTTTTCTGAATTCCCTCTTTAATTTCTCTTGTTTTTCTTAACAAAAAGGGGGCCTTTTTGTTTTTTTTTATTATTTTCCGTGGGCCAAGCCTCTCTAAAATCAAAATTATTCTCAACTTATCGCCAGGCATTTCGGCGCATTCACGGTTACTTTAAAAACTCAAAATTAAAATTTTTTTAAATTTCCTTTTAATTTTATTCAAGAAATTTGTTTTCAAAAATTCTAAATTAATTTAAAAACTTCCTGGCAAATAAAAATAAATACCGTGAATGTTCCAATGCCCGGTTCCAATAAAAGCCCATGCCCTATTAGAAACCCACTCAATGATACCCTTTTGAAAAATATGTAGACGCCTAGGGCTTCTATTAGAACATTTATTATAATTTAATTTTTGAAGGAACCAGTTTTGGCAATATTTACACTATTTGGGCTTCTCCTTCAACTTTTAACTTTTCCTTCAACTTTCAAAATACAGCTTTGTCCAAGTATTTTTCTTTTACTTTTTTTAATTTTTAAAAATTTTTTTTTCAGAGTTGAGGAATTAAAAACACAACAAAACAGATCAATTACCGACATCTCCATTAATTCTTTAAATGAAAATAAAATTGTTTTGCTATTCAATAATTTTATAATTATTGTTTTTGACAATGCTAAAAATGTTGTTTTGAACAAAATTGTTGTTTCTTGCGCTATCACGGTTATTTTTTAATTTTTATTTTCTTTTTTTCGTCGTTGACAGAAATTAGTTTTTCTCCTTTTTTGGTTTTTTTAATTTAAAAAATTTTTCTGACGACTCAATTTATTTTCGATGCAATTTAGAATATTTTCTTTTTGTTTCTAAAAAAGTTTTTATCATTCCCGGGCTACTTTTTAAACCAACTTTATGGTATGTTTTCATAAAAGTCAGCGTCTTTTGGCCAAAATATCATTGAAGATAGGGATGCGGGATTTTGCCCCTTCTTTAGATATTTTTTAAATTTCGTTTTAATTTAGAGTATTTGCAATGACTCTTCTTTTCAATCATTTTTTTGTTCCTTTTCTAATGGTTTTTATTTTGATTTTAATTTAACTGATGAAAATTCTGAAATTGTTTTAAAACAAAAAAGTTATTTTGAAGGAAATAATTTTACAAGAATGTCAAAAATTTTAATTTCGAAAAATGAAAGGTTTTTCTTTAATTTTAAATTTTTTCTTAAATTATTCTAATAAATTTTAGTTTTGAACAATTTGTTATTTTTTCGGGAGGAGTTCCTGATGATTTGGAATGTCAAAATCCAATTTGTATTTTTTGTGGAGACAATTCTTTGATACTCAATTTTGACAGTGAAATTATTAATTTTGAAATTTTTGAAGAAGAAGGTTATTTTAAGGATTTATTTAAATAATAATTTTTTATTGGTTTTGGGAAAATGGGAGAAATAAATTAAAATTAATTTTTTTAGTAGTTCCTACACTGGGGGAATCCTTTTCTCGCAGCCTTCCTAATAATAGAATAATCTATACTTTTAAGGGAAAGAAATGCAAAAATAATTAGACTATCTTTGCGCAAATCATCAGGGATTGATTTCGATGCCTTCCCTTTTAATTCGCAAAAATTCTTTTTCAGGAATTTTATTCCTTATAAATTTTCATGTTGTAGTTTTTTTCTCCTTGTGAGTGTTACTAGATCGGATTTTATTTTTCTATCGTGATTTTAAAATTTTAATTTTTAAATTTCTTTTAAATTAAATTTATAGGAGTAGCAAAAGCTTTATTTGTATTATGTCAAGATGAATTAGTAGCTATAGACTTGAAAGATTCTTTGTGGAGAATGTTTTCATTACCTTATTTATACCCAATACATTCTTCTCCCGTTACTTGTGTTTTGGCAATTTCTGATATTTCTGAACAAATTTTATCACTTTTTGAACAAATATCAATTGAAAGGAAAAATTCTTCAAAAATATTTTCATCAAATAAATGGCCTCTTGAACGATTCGGAGAAGACCAAATTACCTCGAAAAGCGTGGATCAAGATTCTTTTTTAATTATAACAGGGTATGAATTTATTTTTTAATATTTTTTGAGGGGTGAAAAATATGGGAAAATTAATTTTCTTGTAGGGAAAGGGGTTCTGAGGCTATAGGGGTCTGAGGCTATAGGAGTTCTGAGGCTAATATGTGGAAAATTAATTTTCTGGTAGGGAAAGGGGATTCTGAGGCTATAGCCCCCTCCCCTGAAATGGGGAAGGTGAAAAAATTTTGGCATGGAAATGGTCACAAAACTGAATTTTTTACGCCTACAACCCACAAAATTCTCAAAATTTTCGCCTGCTTTTTAGCCCTCTAAAATCAACCTCCTGGCTACGCCCTTGGCTTGGGGGGAAGAGCTTTTCCCTTGTTTATTTTTGAAGGAAATTAATTTTCAGACATGATAACGGCAATGTTTGTGTTTGGAAGGCAAACGATTTAAATTTTAATTTATTACTTGTTTGTAATACTGCAAAAGAGTTTGAAGGTTATCAATCAGAAGAAGAAAATCCTCAAAAGGATGAAGAGAATAATAAAAATATTAAACATATTCCACCTATTCGAAAGGTTTTTTTTTAATTTTTAAAAATTGAAGGAAAAATATTTAAAGGGAGGAATATTTGATCCTTTTTCTGATGATCATCGTCTTTGTGTACAAAAAATTTATTTTGATTCAAAAAGTGGAACATTTGCAGTTGGGGGACAGGCAGGACAATTAATGGTTTTTGAGACTTTGTGGAAAAAGGTAAATTTTAAAATAAATTTTTTCTTAAATTTTGGTAACAACTTTGGTTAATTTAATAAGAAATTTCAATAAAATATTTTTTTCTGAAATTTTTTGACATGCCATCAGATGGGCTAGAGAGATATTTTGTTAGTGACACCAATGAGTCTTATCGAATTTTTTTTAATCGAATGAAGGGTTACCCTATTTTCGGTTTTCCCCTTTTTTGACCTCCTCTACCCTTTTTCAACATTGCTCCATTAGAGAACGAAAATTGTTTCCCCAAAAAATCTTTTTTGTGTTAGTGAATTTTAAACTTTTTCAAAATTTTCTTATTTAAAATAATAATTCTCTAGACTTCACCGGCTAATCAACTACTTTTAATTGACATGACTAGTGGAAATAACACAGAAAATTTAAAAGCTAGTGAATCTGCTATTCAACCTAGAAATTCTCCATTAAATTATGAACACGGATTTTGTCTTTATAACAAGTTTGTATTTTCTTTTTTATAAAAATTTTCCTGTTATTTTTTAGTGTAATAGCCCAATTTAAACCTCCGATCCCAGTAACGGCAATTTCCTGGAATTTTAATTTGGGCGTATTAGCTGCTGGAAATGAATTTGGTTATGCTGTTTGTTCAATTAGAGAACGAAAATTGCTTTTAATTAAGACTTTAATGTCTTCTCAAGGTTTTTTAAAACGAAGTTTCTTAGTCATTTGAGGGTCTGGGCCAGGGGTTTCTTTTGCCTCTTTTTAGGGGGGTTTTCCCCTTTTTTGACCTCCTCTCCCCTTTTTCAACGTTGCCACATTTTTGCCCCTTTTTCGAGAGGAGGCCATGCCTCTTGGTGATTTGTAAAGGACCACCCTTGTGTGGGCTAATCTTAAATTAATTTATCAAATTAATAAAATCTAACTTAAAAATCTACTCATTTTTTAAGATGTACTTCAAATTTCAAACAAAGATAGCGCTCTTTCTCGTTTTAAAAGTGTTAAGAAGTCAATAAGGCAGTCTTTTAGAAGGAAGAAACAAACTGCAGAACAAATAGTAAGTTACTTAAAATATATTTTCTCGATGTGAGTTTCATAGTTTGATGGAATTTTCCGATTGAATTTTGAATTTTTGGCTTTTTTTTTGTCTTTCGCTTTTAAAATATTTTTCGGTAAACCTCTGGTTTGTGAATATTTGTAATGGTTCGAATCTGAACAAGTTTTTGTGTATTCTTATTTTCCGTTTTATAAAGCCTTTTTTCTATTTAAAATTTTCCATTATTTTTTACCATTCTATAATTTTTTAATTCTATTAAGGAAAATGGAGGAATCATATCAGCACAACAAAATAGGCATCGTCAAGAGAGGGAAATTACACAGAGATCACGTAATCCAAATGCCTTAGGTTTTTTTACCTTTTCCTTTCTTTTACAAAAATTTTAATTTAGATGGAGAAACACCAAATTCTCTGATTAAAATACTCAATTTTGAGACATGTATTCTCACCCCATTTAATACTCATCAAGAAGTATATCTTTTTGTTGGGACACAAGGTGGTGCTGTTCTAATTCATTTAATTCGGCCAGATGCTTGTGTGAATACTGAACGTTGTCAATTAATTAAAGGTTAGTTAGTAAAGACATACATAAGGTTGTTTCCTCATCAATAAAATAGTAAGGAGTAACAACACGGGAGATGGAGAATGTTGACCTTGCAAGAGTTTCCTTTATCCACATACATATAATTCCTTTGTAAAATCCGTTAAAAAATTTTTTAAAGAAATTCGTTTGCGACATCATGCTCCCATTGCTGCAATTGAATTGCTTCATCAACAACCAAACTCGAGACTCCTAATTTTTAGTGAAGAACAAATTCGATCATTTACAATGCCAAATCTAAAATCTTTTACTTTCAAATATAGACTGACAGCAATTGAAGGTTCAAGAATTAGAAAAGCAACAACAGTTTTACTAAACAATGAAAGTAAGAAGAAATTTTTTTAAGAAAAAAAATTTAATTTAAATTTTCTCTAGCAAAGAAAACTCCAATTTCAGAAAAGTTTTTAGCAGTTACAACAAATAGGGGAGAAATATTTTTTATATCACCAACAAATCCAAAGTGCCTTCACAAAATTAGTTTTGTCCAGGTTTCTTTTAAAATTTTTATTTAAAATATTTTTCCCTTTTTCTAATAGCCAAATAACACAATTGGAATATTCTCTACAGCAATTACTCGAAAAGGGCAAATATTTTATTTAAACCCATGTGGGAGCGAATTTATAAGGTTGGGATCTCATCTAACGAGCGGTACTGATATTGAATGTAATATTGTTGAAACTGGTCTGGGATGTAATGGAGCTGCAAATGGTTTGGAATGTAACGGTAAAAATAGAGGAGATTTAGGGTTTTTGAGTACTCGTTCAAGTATTTTAAGATAAATCACTTTAATTTATTTTTGTAATTTATTTAATTTATTGCTGAACCAAATAAAACTAGTCCACCAACATATTTAGCTTTTATTTGGAATAATTGCTATATAATATTAAGGGCGCATCTAACAGAGGTCCTTTCCTTTAAATTTGAAAATCCAAAATCATTTAAAACTGGACTTTTGCATTTTTATTTGCGCCCTTGCAGACTTACAATTCAATTTTTGGCATAAAAAACAGAAAAATAGGGGGAATATTACTTTAATAATAAGATCAATATTTAAACGTACAATGTACTATTTATTATTATAATTTGGGGAAAAACGAAAAAAGGAAGAAATATTTGAGGATTATAGAGTTACACAATATAATGAGGCATGAGCAATATAATTTTTGTTTTCCTAACCCTTTGAGACTCCACTTTTATCCCCATAAAGCATTTTAATTTGCTGCTCAAATTCTTTTTCGATATTCTTCCGTTTAAGTTTAAAAGCTTCTGTGAGCAGACCAGATGCTGGGGTCCAAGGCTCTTTGCAAATATAAATTTTTTTGGGGATTTCATCACGTCGGAGTTTGTCTGAAAATGAGGGAATTTTATCTTTATAGCAAAATTAACTTGAATGTTTGAGCCTAAAAAATCCATTTTAAAGAGACTAACCTTTAACAAAGTCCTGCAATTCTTTCTGCAAAATAATGCACAATTCCTTACTCTCGCATAACTTATCAAAAGGCATCCCATCAATTCCACTCTAAAATTAAAATTTTATAATAAATTTTAAAAAATATTATTTTACGTTTTCTGCCAAAGCTTCAAGATTTTTCTGATTTGGAACAACCAAAGCAATTAAATAATCATAATGAGAATTTCCATAAACACAAATGTTGTCAATATGTTGATTTGTAAGAAGCGAAGTCTCCACTCTTCCCAAAGAAATATATTCTCCATGAGCAAGTTTAATTAAATCCTTTTTGCGATCTAAAGAAGAATTAGATAAAACTATTTTTTGACTTTAAAAAAACAAACCAATTATGCAGAGAGAACCATCTTCACGAAATTCTCCAATATCACCAGTTGCAAACCATCTTTTTCCTTTTAATTCAATAAAGTCTTCTGTTCTCTCCATTTTATAATAACCCTTCGCAACATTGTCACCATGAATTAAAATTTCGCCTTGTGGAGGTTTATTGTAAGGAGAATAACCAGCTAAAATTTAAAATTTTTTAATTTAAAAAGCTTTTTTTAGTGGGAAATTGGTCGTTTTTATAATCCATTAGGCGGAAATGAAGTCAAAAAGAAAAGGATTGAGCCCAAGTCTCAATACGACAAAGATGGCATATTTCGAGAAATAAAAAGATTATACCTTCTTTCCAATCCCTAAGCATAATCTCGCAACATCGAAGCGGGGGGCCAACAGAACCAGTACTCAAATCATGCTCTAAAAACAACAAAATAATTATTTTTAAAATTATTAACAAATAAAACCATCAGCCAAAGAAGCACCGCCACAAGTTTCTGTCAAACCATAGCCTTGAACAACTGGACAACAAAAACAAATGTTCATAAATCGTTGAGTTTCAGCATTAAGAGGTGCACCACCAGAAAGAACAAAACGCAAATTTCCACCAAGAATTTTTCGAATACGGTCAAAAGCAAGTCTGTTTAAAAAAAAATGAAAAGAAATATTTTTAATTAAATTTTAAAATAGCAAATTAGAAGGAAATCTAGAACTCTAAGAAGTATCTCGACCTTTATTAAGGCATAGAGATCTAAATGAAAACTGATCAACAAAACCCCCGCAATGTAAGAGAGACATTCTTCAACAAAGAGAGATCCCTCCCTTTGTTGACATGACTTATTAGACAAAAAATAATCAAAAAAAACAAACCTATTCATAACCAAACTTGTATATCCTTCCTCATATCTATTACGTTTTCTCTCATAACAAATACGAAACAATTCACGCTGGATAGGTGAACGTTCTTTCACATCATCAGAAACTGCTTTAAAAATTCGATCCATAATTGCCTAAAATATTATCTTAAATAAAAATTTTTTCAAAAAAACTAACCGGAACACAAGCAATTAATGTTGGTTTTAATTCACCACAATCTCCTTTCGAACCCTTTTTAATTTTCATTGCCCGATCATATAAGGTTGTTGGAGACGAATAACCAATACGACATCCTTTTGCTAAACAAACAAGCTCAGCGCAAACTTCAAGGATATGTGCCAAAGGAAGATAACCAATATAAGTATCTTTATTGCTAAAAGAGAAAAATTTAAATAGAAATAAACAGAATTGTTCCTATTTCTGAACAATTTAAATTTTCGTAAATTTGTCAAATATAAATAATTAAGTCCTAGCTCGAATTTGACTTCAAAAATTATTTAACTTACTCAACAGGAATAACAACACTTTGTCCAGAAAGTGCAGAAATTATATTACGATGTGAAAGAAGAACGCCTTTAGGATTCCCAGTAGTACCACTAGTATACATTATCATTGCCAAATCGTCCGGATTTACATACCATTCGGAAAACTCTAAAATAAAAATTAAAAAAATAATTTTGATTGGGAAAGCTTTAAAAAAAAACAAACGTTGAAAATCATTTCCAATATCCTGAAGAGATTGAAAAGAATACAAATCACGTCCATCATCTTTAAACGCTTTTTTAATTTCTTCAGAAGCTTCATCCGCTGTTTCGCGCATTGTATGCATTTCAGAGAAATAAATAATTTTTTTGATATTTGGACATTTTTTGATTGAAGTTAAGACTTTTGGTAATAAAGCACGAGAAGTAAATACAGCAACACCATCACATTCACCCATAGCATATGCAATTGCTTCTTCACCAAGAGTTGGGTAGACAGTTACGACTTAAATTATTTTTTCTTAATTTAGAAAGATTTTTTCTAAAAATTTATAAAAACGTGGATCCCAATTTCCTTTAAATTATTAAAATGTGATTCAGTTGTTTTGTTGATTTTTACCCGTAGAGCCCAAAATTCAACACCCCCAAATTTTATTTAACAAAAAAATCCAAAATTACTTGGCAATCCCGATTTAAAACAAGCAATAGCAGAAACAAGCCATTCCATACGCGTCTCCGAGTAAATTACAACATGTTGTCCCTTTTTTACACCAATTATAGAAAGACCTCTCGTTACATTAGTAATCATATTATCAACATCTTCATAATTTACCCATTCATATTCTCCAAGAATTAATTTCTGAAAAGTGCGCCCATCAGCCTGACGTTCCTGCGAAACTTCTACAACGGTTCTAGTTCCCATACAAGTAAGTCCATCATGAAGTCTATGTAAAATAGATTGACAATTATATTAATATGAAAAGGCAAATACCGGAAAATTATTTTTTAGGGATTTCAATGTTAAAGATTGGGCTAGAAAAGCCAGTTTCGGGACAACCCGTTAACATGGAAGACTTAACCAGTCAAACCTGAAAAAAAAACCAAAGAAAACTAACTTTGCAGCCTCATCCCAAATTTTTCCCAAAGTATTGCATCCTTCAAAAAGTTCAGAATATAACGGGCCATCAATAGTATCAACATGTCGCCAAGGAGAGCCTGGATCGTTTTCATCAACAGGGCGGGCCTTTAAAAACAAATTACAATTTTTATTTTCAAATTTAAAACCTTAAGTTCACGAGAACGTTCCACCTTCTTTTCCGGGTCAGCAAAAATTTTGAACGGAACAAAAACTAAAGCGTCATAAAAAATAAAGAAAACCTGAAAAATAAAAAAAAATTAAAATTAAAAAACAAAAAAATTTTCAAACTTTCATAAAAGCAGCTAGAGCACTAATATAAAAAGGACGTTCTTGTTCAACCAATTCTTGTTCGATTCGCTTCTCGCCTACAACAGCAGAATCCTTCCGGTCTGGCATTTTTGCCAATTGAACGAATTAAGAATATGTTTTTATTTAAGAAAATAACTTTTAAGTAAACAAATTATCTAAAAACTTTTAAAAAATTATGAAAATAACGGGAATGATATCAATGTGAAAAAAAAATAAATAAATGAAAATTAAACAGAAAAATTATAATTTATATAAAATGAAAGAGTCCGAGTCGAGGAAAGGATTTCAATCTTTTTTTTGATTCAATGTTTTAAAAAGAATTGGTAATTTTAAGAAAACTTTTATATGACTTTATTATAATTTAATAAATCAAAACCATAGATCAGGTCTATAATTTTAAATTAAAATTACAAAAAGTATAATATACAACTACGAAAATAATATATCTAAATATACGACTACATGAATATAAGACTACATTTGCCTAGAAAAAAAGACTAAAGACGACATTAAAATTACTTTTAAAAAATAAAGAAATATATGTAGTTTAAAGATAAAAAATCAAAAATGTTAAAATTTAGCGCAAACATCTTAACTATATACAAGCAAAGATAAAAGAAAATAATTAAGAAATTAAAAAGGGAAAAGTACAATTGGCCCTAAGCGAATAACAGTTGTTGAGAAATCATGAGGGGAACCTCCATTAGTCATACACGTTGAAAACAAATTAAAAAAAAGGTAATTGTGTCTCTTACCTTAGCTGGCCAAGCGACTGAAACGTTTGGCTTTCGTCATCATATAGGACTTTTTGACAGTGGACATTTAGACAACAAAGCTTTCGTCAAGGGATCAGATAAAGAGTTGTTAGTAAAAAATGATTCTACAAAGAAAATTATTTTTTTGATTATAAAATATTTAAAAAAAATCATTTTTTGAAAAAATAAACTAATTGCGGATAAAATTTGCGGACTGCAAACCGCATAACGAGAAAAAATTACAAACAAATTAATAACAAATTTTATTGTTGTACAAATAAAAAATTGAATGTCAAACAAAATAATTAATAAATACATTTTTTTAAAGTAACCCCTGTCTTTTGAGATCCTCAAACATTCTTCGATTAACCACATTCCCAAGTGAATCTTCAAATTCTTCATCAAGGTCTGGATTCCATTTGTTTCGACTTCGATCCTCGCATATCTTCTTCCAAAGCCTTTTAAATTTAAAAATTAATATTAAACACAAAATTAAAATGATTGAATTTATATGGGTTTACCTCCACAACTACAGAGGCTATTTTCTTTTACAAAAATTTTCTCAAAATTTTAATTCCTTGTTATTTGATCGAAAATATTTCCTACGAAAAATTTAAAAACATTTAAACTTACTCTATAGCATCATTAATTTTTGTAATATTTGTAAAATGTGCAGTATTTGGAATTCCTAAGCAACGCATACCATGAGAATGACGCCATTCCTTAAAAGTAAAGAAAAAAAATTTCCTTTAAAAGTCCCTCCAAACCGTAAAATGGCGTTGAAAAGCTTTAGGTCCTTTATAAACTTGGTTTCCACAAATTTCACAGCTATATCCAATATTCAAGCCATGAAGTTTATAAAGCCAGTAGGGGATTGGCTTTCCATCCCAATCCAAAGGAAGGTTTTTTGGGTTATAAGGAACATCTGTTTCTTCTTCTTCAACTTCATAAAATTCTTCAACGTCGTCCTCTTCTTCCTCCTCCCCAACACCCCTAGCTTGTTTCCTTTCAATATTCTCCAAAGTTGCTGATATTTCAGGTCTTACTAATTCAGTTAATCTTTAAAAAAAGAAAAGAATTTTCAGTTAAAAATTTAAATTTTAAACAAACTTGAGAACATGAACTTCGTGTTTAGCAAGTTCATATTTTCTTTTCTCTTCCTTGTCTACACCATTTTTGATTGCTTTTAATGTACCATTTGTTGCAGCAGAACCATTTTGATCAGCATTTTTGAAGTCAAGTAAACGTTGGGCACGCTCCTTTAATGACCTTTAAATGATTTTATTTAAAATTTATATAAAGTCTAAATAGAAAAAAAGTTCAATCGGAAGAATGAATTCCGAAAACAGTCAGAATGTAAAATTGTTTTGAGTGAAAAAACTAACAATAAGTAAATACAAATCTTTACCCTCCACATTTCAAATTCCTCTCAAGAAGTGCCGATTTCAAACGATCACTTCCAAGTTCCATAAGTTCATCTACCGTCTCATATTTGGCTAAATCAAGATCTGCCGCAGCCATTGGTTGTTTAGCCAATAAACTTCCAGTGCTTTTCTCTGTCGACCAACCGGGCACTTTACCCTCTTTCCATTTTGTTTCGAATTCCTAAAAATAAAATTAAAGAAATACGAAAAATATCAAACATTGTCAGCATTATAAAGTTCTGCCTCAATATCAATTAATGGTTTGGCACGTCGCAAAAAGTCTGTCAAATATCCTTCGAGAGAAGAAACATAATTTTTATAAGCTCCAGTCTTTTTAGTCTTATCTTTCGAAATTTCATGTAATTGATTAAATGTAGAGATGAAAGTAATATAGTCAATACGCTAAAATAAAAATATAAAAAATTGATAAACAAAATGAGTTTTTAAAGAATACTTCCCTTTTCCTCTTGAGGAAAAGAGAAGTCCCTTTCCTCTTCCCCTTTCCTCTTGACCAGGTAAAATCAAGGTCTGGATCCAGATCTTTAGATAAATCAAACCTAAGTCACGCAAACCACAGTCCAACCTCACAATATATTCAAAAACTCCATAAAATAAAAATAATACCTTAACTCCTTTCAAATTAACATATTGCTCATAAAGAGTGTGCATATCCAAAAATTTCCCGTAGCCTTCCTCGTCTGTAAAGCGAACCATTTCCCTCTCGATTTTGTCTGGATCTTGCACAAAATTAGCCATTTCTTGAAATTCTATCGTTAAAGGACGAGCTGTCTCATTTGGATTTTTTCTGTGAATGTCTTTGAGTGATTTTAGACGAGAATAAAATTCAGCAAATTCATTTGGCCCTCCAATCGCTTGAATTTCTTTAGCACGTTCACCAGATTCATCATTGTATATTTTTATTAATTTGTCTGTAGCATTTCTACATCTCTGAAGAAAATAGAAAAAATCAGAAATAATAAACTTTAAAAAATACTAACATCAATTAAACCTTTAACACGTTGGTCAGAATTTATCTTTTCTCGTTGCTGAAAATAAAATGATTTTAAGAAATTTAGAAGAAAAAAATCTTTAAATTAACCGTTTTCTTTTCAACCAAATATTCTCTAACCATTAAATCAACACATCTTTCCCTTTCTTCATGACAAGTACGTTGTACCTCGAGTAAAGAATCCATTGAAATAGAAAGCTAAAAAAAAGTCTTCTAAAAATTTAAAATAAAAGTTCTAAACAAAATGTAAAGTTATAGGCAGCCGGATGACGTCAACTACCAAAATCAAATTTTGGCGAAATAATCCCGAGCCACTTAAACGCAACTATCTAACAAAAAAATAGCAATAAGAGGGATGACTAATATAAGTGAAGGAATTTTACGAGAAATTTTAAATGAGGCATTAAGTCAGAGGGGTTCGGAGATTTATAGTTCACAGATAAGACCAAAAAGGACTCCAAATCTCCTAAAGCCCAAGACGAGTTTTGTTGTTCGTTAAAATCTCATTTTTAAGGTATCTAAAGAAAGATAAGGCAAAGTCTTAAAACTTTTCTAACTTTTAAAAAAATTTTTGAGCAAAAGTCTTTATCAGTTCATAAAAATTCATAAATTATGGGACAGAAAAAATTTTTTTGGCAGTCAATAAAGTAAAACAAAATTATACGCATTTAATAAAACTTTCTTTTCATCACATCATTTAAAGCTTAAAGAAGTACCACACTCATTCTTCTTTTCTTCATCAACTGGTTCAAGTCTTCCCGTTTTTGTTGTACTGATAATATTTGTTGCTTGCAAATTACACTTTAATGTATCAGGCGAAACAAGTGATGAGACAAATGAAGAATCCAAAAATGAATCACGTCGTTTATAGTTGACATCCCGTTTGGGAGTAATAAAGCCCTTCTGCTCTTCAAAAAGTTTTTCAGCTTCAGGGAGGTTGACAAGCACTTCAGTGAATTTTCCACTTTTGCGTTCTGGAGTTTTTCCTAAAATTTTAAATTTCAAAGTTGAAACATTTTTTAAATTAACCTGAGGACTGGATTTGAACAAATTCCTTTTCAACAAAATTCTCCATCTTTTGTGTAGTGTTGTCGAATAATTGTGACATTTCTGATGAATGTGATGCACAATCATTAACCTATATTTTTGTTATTATTCAAATTTTTGAAAACTTTTACAAACCTGTTTATTGATTGTCGACAATGTGCTGTGGATAGCCTTTCCGAATTCATTTTTATGTTCAGTCGCAACATTTTTGAGAGAATCCAATTCTTGATTCATGCGATCACGGAATTCTTGGGTAAACTGAAAAATGTGATGGAAATACAATTAAAAAGATTTTGCAAAAAATTAACCTTTTCAATATTTTGTTCAAATTGATCAGACATTTCCTTCAACGCACAGACAGCTGTTTTTGCCTCGTTCAATTGTAGCTCTGACTTGTTAGTGAAGCTTGTAAGATGATTTCTTCCAATTTCAAATTGTTTGCATTGACCATCAAACAGCTCTTTCAATTTTTGGTAGTTTCCATCGAATGTTGTCATCTTAAATTGTTTTATAATTTTAAAAAAATCAAAAGTTTAAGGAAGAAACTAACCACTTCATCGATCTTGTTGAAAAGCAATCCGTTTTGGCTATACAATCCATTAGAATAGGTTTGCAACTTAAAAATGAAATTAAGAAAAATCCAAAATATTAAAGAAAAACCTTCAATGCTTGAGATCTGAGACGAACAAAGGAATCACAAGAAACTGAAAGAGCCTGTGAAGCAGCGTTGTAATTATCTTTCGTTTGAGCGATTTCCTTTTTTAATGAAAAATTTTTTATTGGACTTTAAAAATAATTACCAGGCTTAATTCTTCAATTTCTTCCTTTCTGCTTTCCAGTTTAGTTAATGCAGAGCGAAATTTTTCATAAATTGACTTGTAATGTTGATCCATGACAGCAAAGTCCTCAAGCAGCTTTAAAAATTTTTAAAAGTAATTAAAGTATTCTAAAGTCAAAAAATTTACAATTTGAACTTGGCGCAGCTTGCCCTCAAGTTGCGTCTCCAATTCTTCCACCTTTGCCTTTTTCTCATCTATTGACTCAATCATTTCACTAAAAATTAATTTATTTATAATGAAAAGTTAAAAAATACACATACTCATAATTCTCCTTATCCAAATAAATTCCATGTTTCTCCCTAGCAGCGAGAAGATCACGACGAAGGCGATCTATTTCATCGTTGTATTCTTTTAGAAGGCCACGTCGCGTGATTCGTTGGTTGACTTCTGGATTGTTCTTGATGTTCTTAGCTCTTTGAGCATAATCCAAAGTGTTGACAGATTCCTGAAATTTATTTAAATTTTGATTTTAGCAAATTATATGAAACCTCAAAGTTTGACGACGCTGGAGATATTGTTGCAATGATTGTTGTAATTGTCTTGCCACCCAAAGAATCTTGTAAAATACGTGTCAGTTTGCTTTCGCGATAAGGAATGTGTGAAGCACCCATAGTCAATGCATTAATTACACGTCCGAGCGCCAACAGGCTTGTGTTGATGTTTCCTGATATTAATGAATATAGTCAGAATTAAAAAACAAAAAATACCCGCTTCTCTAGCTCGAATATCTGTCGCGCCAGAGCGTCCAATATTTTCAGAACCAGCAAGATCCACCAAATTAAGCTTTCCTTGTCGGAGTAATTCTTCGCCATTAACTAAGCCAGGCTCTCGAATCTAATTTTGTTTATTAAAGTTAAAAGATTTTCAAAAACTCACCATAACAGTAACAGTGAAGACAGAATGAGAACGGCTAAAACAAACAAAATATAGTTATGTATAAACCTAATTATAAAAAACCTAGAAGTCATGTTCATAAGGGTTGTAGCTGTACGACGCTTCTCAGCTCCACGTCTAAGCAATTCGTGAACTTCCTTTGGTGAGCGGACAATAACCTCTTCAGCACCAGCAATCGATACTCCCTTCAAAATAATGAAATTTAATCGCGTTTTTTCGAATTGAAAAAAGAAACCTTAGTTTTATCATCAAAAATTCTCAATGATTCCAACTGTGATCTCTGATTCAGCAAATCAAAAATTTGTTCATTGTAAAGCTCAACGTAAGAGACTCGCACAGTGTAGTCAATATCCTCGCCAAGTACAAAAATTTGATCAAGTGCGCGTGGAATAATTCCTGCTGTTGGATCAGTGTTCCATGCGAAATCTTCAGAAGTATCATGTCGCCCTTCCATAGTGAAGGTCTTTCCACTTCCTGTTTGACCATAAGCAAAAACTGTGCAATTGTAACCATTGAGAACATCTTTCATTAATGGTGCAAGAACACCCTCGTAAACTTCCATTTGAGTAGATTCTGGACCAAAAATCTAAAAAAAATATTTGAAATTGTTAAAAAAAACAAGTTAAAAACCTTATCATAAGGTCCAAAACATTTTTGTCCTTGACCGAACCGTGAAGAATCAGAGAAGCCAACAGCTTTGCACGAAACAGTCCTTGCTACACGGTCACACGAAACAATATTTTTGTTACATCCAGAGCGTTCAATATCGCTCAGCGGTCTTAAAAAAGGTTTTTAATTTCGAATAAAATACAAACGAAAAATTAGAGAAAGGTAAAATTTCAAGATTGGAACCTGATTCTAACAGCAACTTGAACATTTTTTCTTTTAACAGTTTTATCTTTAGATTTGATAGCGGACATCGTAAATATTAGAAATTTTTTTAAATTTATGTCTAAAAATGAAAAAATTATTTTATGTATGCGAGGAAAATGTAAAATTAGGCACGCCCTTTTTCTCTCTCAACCATCAAGTTGTGGTCACTTTTTTATTTAAGATAGAGCTGACTCGAATGACGTCATCGAGCTGAGCTAAGCGAATGACAAAGAATCGGTCCGTGAGAAAAAATTTTCATTTTAAAAAATCAGACGCGCATATTCAATTCAAGTGAAAAATTTACGCGACAAAATAAAGCCTGGACGGTTCAAATCGACCGATTCAGAGTAGAATTGAGCCTTATTTTTTGGGTACGGCCCAAGTAGGCGCGGGCCAAGTAGGCGCGACCGAGTAGGCGCGACCGAGTAGGCGCAGGCCAAGTAGGCGCAAGGCCAAGTAGGCGCACGGCCCAAGTAGGCGCAAATCTTTTAGCTTAAAATATTCAAATTAAAAAATAAGTCAGTATAAATATTTTTATGTTAATGAGTTAGAAGAAAGATTCTTGATAAAAATTAAAAGAAAGGTACCTATTTTAGAAGAAAGACACCTTAAATATCGATACCCTGTTAGTATACGTTCGTACTGTATGCATTAACTAGGCAGTTCAAAAGTGTATATTTATTTTTTAATCCATTAAAAGCTTTTAATCATCAAAAGACTCCTAACTGTAGCTGGACTTTTTTGTGAAACACCTTGATAGTCGTATCTTGATTGTTAATTGTACCTTTGTATATACTTCATGTTCCCTTAAACTGGTTAGTTCCTAAAGGCTAACTAGTTAGTCCCCCTTAAACTAGTTGAACTAGTTAGAGTATTCATAACATTGGTAAGCCACAGGAATTATCAAAGCAGCATGGCTTTCACTAATTAACAAACTTAGCCAGTAATCCAAAACTTATCAGCAGCTAAGTATGGAGCTTTTATGAGAAAAATATTAAAAGATTTTTTCTAATTTTATCAAAAAATAAAAACATCAACGAGCTTCACTTAATAAATTTTTTTCCCTAAGAAGGGCAGTTTTAGAAAAAGTCCAGTGTCCACATAAAGTTGCTTGATTATTCAGCCAACTAATTAACAAAATTAGTTGAAGATTAATAAAAAAATTTTGGGTAAAAATTAAGAAATTTAGCCTTGCGCCTACTTGGGCCGTGCGCCTACTTGGCCTTGCGCCTACTTGGCCTGCGCCTACTCGGTCGCGCCTACTCGGTCGCGCCTACTTGGCCCGCGCCTACTCGGGCGTGTCCCAGGGCTGGGCGAAATCAAAAAATAAAATGCGAAATGCGAAATGCGAAACTTTTTTTAAAAAAATAAAAAGCGAAATGCGAAACTTTTCGCGCCAAAAAATGCGAAAAATGCGAAAGATGCGAAAGCGAAAGCGAAATTAGTTAAAAATTCTAGAAAAATTTTGGACATGGTATAGTATACCGGAAGCAAAATTTCGATAAGAAACACATAACATTCGATTTGCCTCGGCGGTCTGAGTCGAAAGATACCTCACTCTATTCATGGAACTGCCTGTCAACCGAGATAATGTCCCGAATATCGAAAAAGCATTGCAGGTTCGGGGCATTACAGGTTCCGATTCGGGATCGGGGTCATTATTTCAAATCCAGATCCCGATTTCTACCAATCCTGCTCCCGTAGTCGGGACCGGGATCAGGGTCGTTATTCCAAAATCCCAATCCCGATTTTAGGTCGGGATCCCGATCCCGCTCAACTCTATTTAGAATATGAAAATTGCTCTACTCGTTTTCCATTTTTTGCGCCGCAGGCGAAAATTTTGAGAATTTCAGAGTCCTTGAGTCAGATTACTTTTATTTTCTGCGCAGCAGGCGAAAATTTGGAAAATTCATTACTAAATTAAAATTTTTAATGTTTTTCAGGTTTGACATATTAAAAAAAATAAATTTACAGATTTAAAATCAAAATCAAAGTTTAAAAACATTTATTTTTCAAAGGAAAAATTGTTTAAGTCTTATTTCCTACATCTGGATTCGAACCCAGCCCCAAATTACACCAAAGTGAACGTATTCAGTCAACTTAGCCACTCTACCATCGAACAACAAAAGTAAAATTGGGATAGATTATTGATATTTCTTCCCTTTTCCTTTAAAAAATTTTACGTCAAAATATCTAAAAAATAAAGAAATACTAAATGAAAAATGCGAAACAAATTTCGCATTTGGACCAAAATGCGAAATGCGAAACTTTTCGCACCAAAAAATGCGAAAAATGCGAAAGATGCGAAAGCGAAAGCGAAAGCAAAGCCCAGCCCTGGCGTGTCCCTTATTTTTTGTTTTAAAGTTGAGCAATCAACATCGGGCCTTTTCTCGTTTTTTTCTTTTTTTTTATTAATTTGGTTTGATGTTCATATTGATAAGTAATTTTTGTTTTATTTTAGCCTTAAACATTCTAATTTTAAAATGCTTAAAAATTTTCATCCAATTGATCAGCAACACTATTTTGATCGTGAACAGTTTTCAGCCACGGAATTGAATAGATTTTTTGACATTGGTATTTTAATAATTTTATTTCAAAGAAATTTTCTTTCATTTTGCAGGTCTCGAAAGTATTTCTCAAGGAAAGTTAGCCGTGATAACACTTGCTGGTGGACAAGCTAGTCGACTTGGATCTTCCCTTCCAAAAGGCATTATTAACCTGGGAACTGGACTTGGGACAGAAAATGATTCTCTTCTGTTTTTACAAGCTTGTCAAATTAGCTATCTCCAAAAGAAGGCTAAAGGAAGAATTATTTGGTTAATAATGACGAGCAAATCAACAGATGCAAAAATTCGTGAACATTTGGATATTATCTTGAAAAAGATAAATTTGGACTGGAAAAATGTATGAGATTTTTAAATATTGGAAGGGTGCGTGTGTTGTTTTCTACAATTTTTATGTAAACTCCATTTCAAAAAATATTTTGTTTCGTAGTTTTTTGTCCAATATTTCCAAGTTTTGGGTGTTTTAGATTTTCTCAATTTTTTCTTCGGGTGTGAACGTAACGAGCCGTTATGGCAAAAAAAGTCGTAATGGCAAACCCCCAAAAGCCGCCGAAATGGCAAACTGGGGAAAGGGCGCCGGTTTTATTTTTCCTTTTCGCAATATGCAAAATAAGTTTTATATTTAACTTTTTCGGTCATTGTTTTTACTCAAAATGAAATTCCTGCTCACAATTTTGATGGTCAACCTCTTTTATCTGCACCTGATCGGCCTGTTACTTCACCAGGTTTTTAAGAAATTTTACGTCGATTTTAAGAAAAAAATTTTTTAGATGGAAATGGTGGTATTTATCAAGCAATTTTGCCAAAGCTTCCAAAACTTGAAGAAATGGGAATTGAATACTTTCATGTTTATTGTGTTGACAATATTCTCTGTCGTGTTCCTGATTTACATATAATTGGCTTTGCTATTGATAAAAAGGCTGATTGTGTTTTGAAGGTTTTTTTTTGCTTTTAGATAAACTGAGGGCACAATTCAAAGAGATTCTCGGGGTTTTCTTGATATATTTCTGTTCCGAACCATGAGCCATAACAATGATTATATTTTTATTTGTAATTCACATTTATAAGGGCATCATTTACTTCATTCAGAAACATTTTTGACTTAAAAGATCCGAAAGCTTTTTAATCTATTTTTAAAAACAATTTAAGGTAATCGAGAAAAAGGATCCTTCAGAAAAAGTTGGCCATGTCTGCGTTGAAGATGGAAAAATCAAAGTATTGGAGTATTCAGAAATTCCAAAAGAACTTGCTGAAAAGCGTGATCCAAAATTTCCGGAGAAATTGTTCTTCCGTGCTGGAAATATTGCCAATCACTTTTTTACTCTCGACTTTCTTAAAAAAGCTTGTTTGGAATTTGATTCTCTGCCTTATCATGAAGCACGCAAACGAATACCATATTGGGATCCTGTCACTGTAAAAAACGTTCAACCAACGAGTGAGAATGGCATAAAGAAGGAACGTTTTATTTTTGATGCTTTTATTCATTCAAAGTTTGTTTTTGTTAAAAAAATATTAAATTTGCTGGGAGGATTGTTCTTTTTATATTCTAGATAAGTTGGTTTGATTTTGAGGGTATGGGGAAATAAGTATCTAACAATAAGTAGAAGATTTTCTAATTCCATAAAAATAATCCGTTTCACTTTGAGTTGAAAGATCAGACGATTTTATATTTATTCTTTTTTAAATGCCCCTAGTACCGATTTATTTTAAATAAGCTCTCCTAATAAATGGTGGCTCTACTCCAGTTTATGCGTCCAATCGAATTTTATGCGTCCAATGAAAGTTTATGCGTCCAATCAAACTTTATGAGTCCAATCAAAAAATAATTGGATTTTTCTTGGTATTTCCAGGTTGGGGTATGGGTCCAAAGCATTTCTTCATGTTCGGGACCTACGCCCACTGGGTCTGGAATCGTTCCTTACCCTATATCTCGAAATTTCGGAAAGTTATAATTGTTTTTTCGAAATTTTTAAGAATTGGCTATAACTTTACGAAATTTCAAGAGATAGGGCAAGGAACGGTCCCAGACCCAGTGGGCTTAGGTCCCGAACATGAAGAAATGCTTTGGACCCATACCCCAACCTGGAAATACCAAGAAAAATCCAATTATTTTTTTATTGGACTCATAAAGTCTGATTGGACGCATAAAATTCGATTGGACGCATAAACTGGAGTAGAGCCTAAATGGTTGTGCAAATATAAGTTTTTTATTTTTAGAAATTTTATGGTCTGGCAAGTACCCCGTGAAGAAGAATTCAGTCCATTAAAGAATCCAGATTCTGCAGGCGTTGATTGTCTCTCAACTTGTATTCGTGACTTTACCTCTGTTAATGGAAATGTGATTAGAGAAATGGTTAAAGAATTTTGTAAGAAGGAATGAACAGATTCTAATTAATGGTTGTTTTTTAGTATTTATTTGATTTTTAAATTTCTATTTATTACGGGATAAGTTGACAGCCTTTCACTTCACTTAAGACTTCCTTATGTTTTTCACGTTTTTCTACTTACATGTTGATATTATAGGCTATTTATGCGACACGACACTTGTGACTCGCTATTGGGGTTAAGGGGCTTGAAATTTATTTTCGAAGGGGTGAACAAATAAAATTACAGATATTAAAATGGAATTGAAAATTTTAATTTTTTACTTTAATCAGGGTCACAAGTGTTGTGCTATATCTTTTATTGACCCTACAAAATAAAAGCTTTATTTTCTAAAAAAATTTATGGCAAAATAAAATTTTAAACCAATGCTTTTAATTTTTTTAAAAATGTTTTATGAACATTTATAATATTTTAAAAATTTTTTAGGGACCTCATATAAGGTTTGAAGCATTAAATCGAAAAGTCTCCCATAATTAGCGTTTTGTTTTGGGATAAATGTTTTTTGGTCAACTATCTTTTATAGATATGTACGGGGAATATGAGAGATTCAAAAAAATTGATAACTTATTTTTATCAATTTATCATTTCCTCAATAAATGCTTTTTCATTCTCCTATTGAGAAATTCTTGCTTTAATAATTCTTATCATGTCAACAAACTAACATTGATTTTAAACAACAAAACAACATTAAATCCGAACTTTTCTTCTTTTAAAAATAAATTGATTATTTTTTTAGTTGTCATAGTTAAGAAAAATTATTAAACGCCCATTTTGAATGCCCCATAAAAGGCGAGAAAGAACTGGCCAAATAAGTTCATTCGCCCAATCTCAACTCCGACCAAAAGTTGGCCGGTTCTTTCTCCCTGATATTAAATATATTTGTTGAATAAAAAGTTTAAAAAGAAAGCTTTCCTTTAATCGGTGGATCGGCGCGCCCCAAGGGTGGGTTACCACTCTTGGGGCCCAACGCCGACTAACTCCCTGAAAAAGGAGTTAGGATAATAATATGGTGCTCCCAAAATTTTCTTTATCTCCACCCAAAAATATTCATATTTCCCCACCCTAATTTAAAAAAAATTATTTTCTAAAAATACTCCAAAAATATTTTATTTAAAAAAATTATTCCTTCTTGTCATCAATCAAATTAATTCGGCGAAGAAAAAATTTTGTTTATTAAACTAAAAATTCTTTTTGTTTATTAAACTAATTTTTTCTTCTTGAATTTCTTGTGATCTAGTGGCCGGAAATTGGCAAATATGAAGGAAAAAGGAAAAACGCCTAAAATTATTACAACATCAAATTCGGCGAATTGGGTTTTTTGGCGAGTCAATCTTTTAGTTGGGCGTGATCATGCGCTCAATTGAAAGAAAAATTCCCATAAATAGGAACGCATTGGGCAATAAGTTGGATCATTTCAAAGAAGAGCCAACTAAAGAAGAGCCTCAAGGAGCAGTCTACAGCAGTCTACACTAGAAGAGCCAGAATAACATTGGAAGAAAGATAAACTGAGGGAAATCAAATTGAGGAAGCAATAGTCAATCAAAGTTTTAATTACTGGCGTTTAAAACTTTGATTCGGCTGATCTTTTTGGTTGATCTGAGTTGCTGAGCTTTGAGTTGGCTGATCTAGTTTGACTGGCTTTGAGTTAGCTGTCCTGGTTTGACTGAGTTTTGAGTTGGTTGATCTGAGTTGCTGAGCTTTGAGTTGGCTGATCTAGTTTGACTGGCTTTGAGTTAGCTGTTCTGGTTTGACTGAGCTTTGATCTGGCTGATCTGATTTGGGCTGATTGATTAATTTGGCTAATTTCCATTTCCAGCAATTTGGCTTATCCTTGGCTAATTGATTGAGATAGCTGATTTGATTGACTGAAGCTGATCTGACTTGGGCTGATTTTTCTGCGCATCTTTAGCTTGGATTTTCTAAAGAGGGGAGCTGTGATTTTGATTTGATCTAGCTGATTTTTAATTTCATCTGGCGATTTTGGATAAAAAAATTCTGAAATTTTCGGTTGTTGCTGAAGCTGAGGTTGGAAAGAGAATTTTTGAAGACCATTGAATAGGAGGAAAGATTTTGGATTTTGTGGAAGGAAGCCGTCTAATCGTCGACCTATAATTCAAAGTTGTGGACCTCAAATTCTTTTAGACGAGCCTCTAGATTTTAAACAGTGCCTCGGAATTGATTTTGAAACGTGCACGTTAAAATAAAATAAAGTTAAAATTTTGGTTGATAAAAAAAAGAATCCCGAATCCCTGCCTGGCAGTTTAGTGGACTAACACGGCCGGTTATCTACTAAATCCCATTAAAAAGGGCAAAAAGCGCTATATAAATAAAAAGAGAAAAGAATAAAAAGAAGAAAGAATAAAAAATTTAAGTGTTAGGTAAATTTGGGAAATAAATAAAATTAAAGGAGAAATCTGAGGGCTGGTTTGGGATTGGAGAGCTCGCAATGAAGGATGAAAAGAACCCAGAGCTTGGAATAAAAAGGAAAAATGTTGAAGATAACACCGGAGGAAGTGTTTTGGGACTTCCTTATCCTAAATCCTATGATGGGTCAGAAGATTTTGTTTGTTATCTGAAGACTTTCAACCGTGTAGCTACGGCTCACGGATGGACTCCACCCAGATGTGCTCAAATTCTTCCGCTTTATTTGACTGGCTCAGCTTTGGCGATATACGAAGGAATGCCAGATAGAGAGAAAAATTCCTGGAAGGTTTTAGTTGAAAGCCTGGCTAGCAGATTGAAAAAGACGGCAAATAAAGAGGTGGCTCTCGTGAAGCTGGCTGAAAGGAGGCAAGAATTTGGAGAATCACTGGAAGAATTTTCCAATGATTTGAAAAATTTGGTGGAACGTGCTTATCCGAATGCTTCATTTGAATTGAATATTTCAGAGCTCCAATTAGATGATGATCAAAAGAAAAATTTGAAAATCGAGAACGAAAAAATGGCCAAAAGATTCAGAGAGGAAATCTGCATGGAAAGATTTAAATACGGACTATTGCCTGAAATTAGGGAGAAAATCATCTTTATGAAAGTACCCTCTTCATTGGCCGAAGCAGTGTCGCAAGCGAGAAAAGTGGAAGAGTTGAATGAAACAATTAAAGATGAAACTAGGAAAAGAATAGAGGAAATAGAGGTCAAGGCGGCGCTTGCGGAAGTTAACGAAGTAGGTGAGATAAATGCAGATCCGGAAGAATGGGGTGAGGAATGGAATGACCCGGATTTAGGCCCATATTATAATAATGGAGATGAATATTATAATGACCATGACCAATATTATGACCATGAGCAAAATTATGACGATGAAAAATGCCAATGGATGCCAAATGAAAGTAATGAGTATTGGGGAGAGGAAGAGTATCAAGATCAATTTGGCAATGATTGTTGTTTTGATGATCAAGGTGATCAATACTGGCCCACAGATCAAACGAGATTTGATGACTATTGAGGAATTAAAAAAAATACTTGGTGATGGTTTTAAAACTCAATTTTTGCGCTATGCTTATTTCGATGTTACCCCCACCCCCCAGGAGAGGAAGAAAAGTGGATTTTGGTTCTTATTTTAACCCAGTTCTATGACATTTTCTTGGATGAACGCTCTGTTGCTATATATTTTTCGATTTTCACTAAAAGTTTCTTACCTCCATACTTTACTATTACTGATCCGATTTTAAAATTTTCCGCCGACATTATACACCCAAGTCAAGGGAATTTATTGAAGAGAAGCGACATTTTGGCGTGATTGGATTTAATTAGTAAAAAGAATGGAAGTGAAGAAATTGTGATGATGAAACAGTTAGCAGGAGGAATATTGAAAAAGAAAGATAAATAATTTTAAAAAAATCAAAACAATATTTTTCACACATTTTTGCCATATCCGCTTCTCCTGTTGTATCCCCCACCCCCCGCGTATAGAATGTCATAGTTAAGAAAAATTATTAAACGCCCATTTTGAATGCCCCATAAAAGGCGAGAAAGAACTGGCCAAATAAGTTCATTCGCCCAATCTTAACTCCGACCAAAAGTTGGCCGGTTCTTTCTCCCTGATATTAAATATATTTGTTGAATAAAAAGTTTAAAAAGAAAGCTTTCCTTTAATCGGTGGATCGGCGCGCCCCAAGGGTGGGTTACCACTCTTGGGGCCCAACGCCGACTAACTCCCTGAAAAGGGAGTTAGGATAATAATATTAGTAAACAAAAAAATATTTTGTGGGCACAACTGCTTTTATTTATTTACAAATCAATTCAATAATCTATTTATTTTTCATCTCCCATTTCGCGTTTTTCAAATTTTTTCAATCACCATTTGTTGTTTAAGAATGGATGTTAGCCAGAAAAATACGAATCAGGTGGTCGCTTTCCGGTGGAATTTTGATGTAATTGAACCAGCAAAAGAGTTAAAATAGAGAAACAAAACAAAAAAAATGAACCATGAAAAAGGTTGTTTATCCTTGTTTTTTTATTATTTAAGTAATCATTTTAGGATGAAAATTGGAACACATGAAAAGTTTGTGAGTGAAAAAGAAGACGTTTATTGCCTTACAAAAAAGTGGTCAGAAATAAATTTTTTTAATTTAATAAATTAATTAATCTTTTTAGAAAAAATGTGGAGGTTTTCAATATTCCTTTTTGTGGGTTTTTCAATTAATTTTTGTTTTTCACAAAAAGAACCGGTTGGACAAAATTTAATACTTTTTTTAGTTGATGGTAATTTTAAATATTTTTTGTTAAATTTAATTAAAATTTTATTTTAAGGTCTAGGAGCTAATTTGTTTAATAATACTGATTCTAGAATGAAATTTGGGGCGAAAACGCTTATTGAGGTAAATAATTATTAGGTTTTTTAAAAAATTAATTTTTAGAATGGGGTAGAAGCAGATTATCTTATTCCTGTTTTTCCAACTCAATCATATCCAAATTGGTTTAGTTTGGCAACTGGTATGTTTTTAATTTTTTAGTTTATGAAAAGAGAGAAATACTTTATGGTCATAAAGGCTTTTAAAATTTTTCGGACAAATATTTAATTTTGAAAGTTAGCAAATTTATGCTAGATTTAAAATTCATATATTGTTAGAGCCTTTTAATTTTTATTTCTTTTCCTTTTTGAGTTTGCCTATGGATACCCTCAAAAATCCTTTAAATTATTTTCATTCTAATAATATTTAAGATGAATTTTAGTTACTCTAGTAATTTAAAATATAGCCGATTCTTCAGTTATTTTATAGACTTTTTGAATTTATGGGGATTCGGGTATTCCCTTCAGAAATGGTTAATTTAAATCACAATTTTATTGAAAAATATATTTTATTCCTATTTTTGCTTTTTTTATTAATTTCTTTTTTTATTAAGGCCTCTATGTAGAAAATCACAATTTCACTGCCGACTTCATGTTTGATCCAAATAATACTTTGTTTTTTGAACGAGATTTGGGGGCTGATGATTTAAATGAAAAATGGTGGCGGGCAAATCCAGCCCCTTTTTGGTATTCGGTTGGCAAAGCTGGAATTGATGTTCATTGTTATTGGTTTGCTACTTGTCATGTTAGTTTTACCTTTTTTTCTAATATAATTTTAACTCAAAATTTTATCTCCAAAATATAATCACATTTATTAAGATTTAAGCTTAGGAGATAATTCCCAGCCAATCCAAAAATATTCCATTTTAATCAGAAAATTTTTTGAATAAAATTAATTTGGCCTTAAAACTCCACAAATTTTTTTGATTCGAATATTATTTAAAATTAAATTAATTTAGATGCCATATGTCGATTTAGTTGTACAAGTTCCTTTGTCAAGACGCCATAGTTTTAAAAATGATGAAGAACATGATTTATATTCATATATTCCAAACATAATGAAATATATTCAAAAATATCAAGTTCATAGAAAACAGGTTTTCTAAATTAATTTTAAGAAAACCCCCAAATAATTTTTTTATTCAGTTAGTACTTCTTCGATATGATGGGTTAGGGAAGGCTTTGAGAACGCACGGTGAGGATTCTGAACAAACAGTTCAAGAGCTTTCTAATTTTGACCAACAAGTACGGAAAATCCAGGTAAATTAATTTTTTAATTTAAAGGAGAGTACTTTGTATCCCGTCCTCTATATGACTGACATGAGTCTCAAAAATAATCTCTTTCCTTGCCAATTAGAGGTTGGGAAGTTAGCATGCCATAAAGAAATTGAGAGAGAAAGCCTGACCATTATGTAGGGGCGTAGCCAGGGGGCGAAAATTTTGAGAATTTTGGGGGGTTGTAGGCGAAAAATTTCACTTTATTCATCATTTTCCCCCAAAATTTTTCACTTCCTCCCATTTCGGGGGAGGGGGTAATATTTTCTCTTATTCGGATAAAGAGAAATATTTTATATATTTTCAGGAGGAAATGGAGACTTGGGATTTACTTAGATCCACAAATTTAATTGTTTTATCCGATCATGGATTAATAAAAAGTGAAGAACAAAATCAATATTATATTGAAGAATGTATTGCTGACAGTACAAAAATTAAACAAATAGCTAATTCACTTGCTTTTGCATTAATTTGGCCGGAAGAGGAGGAAGAGGTTTTTTTGGATATTTTTTGAGGAATAAAAATTTTGAAGGATACAATTTTCTTTGAATTAAAATTTTGTGATCAATGGGCTAATCTCGCATCAGTGGATTATGAAGGTGAAACAAAAGAAGTAGAACCTTCTGTGGGAGTTTATAGACAACATGAAATCCCGGAACGTTTCCATTGGAAGGTTAATTTTGTAAAAAAAATTTTTAAAAATTCTTTTAAAGAATTCTCGACTTATTGCACCAATTGTACTTATTGCACAACCAGGATATCAACTTTTAACAGTTTGTTTTTTAAGAAAATTTTTGCAAAGGAAATTATTTTTAGAGGCAAATTCCTTCAACATCAGTTAGCGAAAAATTTGCGAGAGAATGGAAAATGTTGGATGGATGGGATAATGAAAACCCAGACTTACAAGGTTTTGTTAAAATGGAAATTGTTTTTGAATTTGTTTCTGTTTTAGGCATTTTTATGGCCAGAGGACCTGGTAAGTTTTTAAATATTTTTGTCCATTTCAAATTTTAAATCGCTAGAAAATAGAGGTCCCGTTTTTGTTTAAAAGTTGGTTGGAGAGTTTCCGAAATTTCCCAACTTTTGAATTTCTGAAATTAAAAATATTGGGGAAGGGAAGAGGGTATTCAAAAAAGACCCCATTCTTTAAACGAATGCGCACTTACAATTAATTTTTAGCTTTCAAATCAGGATATAAAGGTGGACCATTAGAAATAGTTGATATTTATCAGGTTTTTATATTTTTGTTAAATATTACTAGAAACCTTTTTACTTTTAGTTAGTTCTAAATATGCTTGGAGTTGACCCCTGCCATCCAAATAATGGAAGTTGGGAAAGAGTTTCAGAATTTTTATCTGATGAACTCGAAGAGAGGTCATATCAACCACAAAATTTTGGTATAAGGAATTCAAAGCCTATTGCATTATTATTAGTTGTGATAGAAATATTATTAGTTTGTAATTTTAGTTTTTACTTTTTACCTGCAGATTTATTCTAATTTAGAGAATAAAAATAAGATTTTTTTAGAGGTTTTAGAGAAATTTCATTTAATTGTAAAAATTGGAAACTTGAGCTTTTTCCCGAGAGCTGGTCGATTTTAGATGAAAAATAATTTTGACTCACTTATGCCATGAATTTCTATGTTTTTGAGTTCATTCTCCCCAAAAATTTTGAAAATACAGGTCAAAGGACATAGAAATCCAAGTGTAAATTTAGGCAAAATTAGTTTTTAATTCAGAAATTGTGATTTTTCCCTTATCGAAAAAACATTTTTAAAGTTAAAAAGTGATCAGAAAAATTCCCTCCCAACAAAAGGTGAAAACAAAAATTAAAAAAACCCCAAAAATTTAAATTTATTCAAAATAAACATAAATACTAACCTTAACAATTCAAAAAAACTTTATGGATGTGGCCGAACATATGGATTCTCTGGAACATACTTCATTGATACATCAGTCTTCAAAAGTTCATTTTTTACAAATTCAGTTAAATTTTTTCGTCTATTCTCTTCAAGTGTCTCCATAGAAGGGTATGGATTGCCTTAATTTTAAATAATTTATTTTTAAATATTTTAAAATTAAAACCTTTCAATTCCAAAACAGCAATAGAGTATCTCATATATAGAACTTTTTTGCCATTTCTAATTTCTGCACGGATAGAAGGTAATCCGTAGATTGAAGTGTAAGGCTCGTCAATTGGATAATCTTCAAAACGAGGAACAAAAACACTGAAAATTTTATTTTATTTCGATTATTCAATAATACAAAATAAGGAAGGAAAAAGACGGGGGAACGAACTTGAATTTTACCATTTATTTTTCATTAAAAAATTTAGGGTTAACTCTCGAAAACTTTAGCATTAAATTAATTTTTTATTGTTTTGTCCGCAAAATCCGCAAAAAACTAGCCTTGCAGACGAATTCTAGCGTCACCCAAATGCTCCCCTCAATAAAACCTTAATAAAACTCTTACTTGAACATTTTATCTATTAATTCCTTTTCAGGAAACCACCAATCAAACATTTCTTTTGTATATTCATCATTTATTCCTCTATGAATGCCTAATTGAATTAACTAAAGAGAAAAAATATTTTTAGAAAAATAATTAAAATTAAACTCTTTCCACATATTGACGGCACTCTTCAGCTCGATTGTAACGAAATTCAACTCTTTCGTCTTTAAAGACACGATTTACCAACATTCGAAGTAATTCCAAATGCCCTCTAGGGTTTTTAAAACCTGGAAGCTTAAGCCTTTGGGGTATATGTCCAATTGGGACTTTAATTCGAGGAAGAGACGGAAGTAAACGATGAGCAGACATTTCTAAAAATTTTAAATTTGAAATAAAATGAAAGAAATATAAAAAAATTCAAGCAAAATTTAAACAAAAAAAGTGAACATTTTGGGCATTTTTAATAAATTTGGCAAAACGAATATAAATTAAAGTTACCAAATTGAAAAGAAAATTTTCCAAAAAATTAAAGCCGGTTTGTCGCTGAAAACTTTTTGTTATTGTTTTTAATCTCGAGAATTGATTTTTTAAAATAAGCGTGAAGGACTGACTTGCGCTTTTATTTTGATACTAGATTGTATAATGATAACACTTATTGGTTTAATATTTTTTTAATAAAATTTAGATACAAGTTTATAATGACTTTTTGATATTTCTTCAAAACATTTGAATTTTTTCAGTCTTCTTTGTTATATTTTTTCAAGAGAAATGGGCAATACAGAAAGCTCCAAAGGTTTAAAATTTAAATTTTAATATTTTTAATTTTTTATTTCAGTCGATTTCCGCAAACTTGTTGTAGAAGAAACTTCAAAACCTTTAACAAATGACGAGGATTTGGATTGGGATAAACTTCTTCCATTTAATACTATTAATGATTCATTTAATTTTTTGTCTGCTGCTGATGTCAGAGGATTGAGGGATATGCATCCAAACGTTTTTTTTAAATATTTTTTCTTTAATATATTCCCATTTAAGGCATTAGCTACTTTAATTACCAAAGTTATTGGATACCTTGCACGTCTTCCAAATTCACTTCCTGCCCAATCTGATCATAGAAAGGTTTTCTGAATTTATTTTACGTTATAAATTATTTTTTAGATAATTAATTGTATTCGTTTACTTATACGTGTTATCCCATTCCTTTTTGAAGAGAGCGAATGGCGAGCTTATTTTTGGGCCCAAATGCCCGAGAAAGAAGGAAATACAGAAAATCGGCCTCCTCTTGGAAGTTTGCTTTTAAATGCACTTTCTCATTTTTTATTTTGCCCGAATTTTACTGTTGGACTTGTTGACAAAAATGCGGTTTTCATTTAAATTTTTGTTTTTCTATGTTTTTTAGAATATCAAAAGCCTTTCAAAAATAGATAGTTGTGAATATATTTGGCAATCTGGAGTTGGTTTTGCAGGGAAACCACCATCTAGCGCTGTTTATGATGCAAATAGAACTGAAATATTGAAACTTTTATTGTAAATTATTAAATAATTTTTTTATTTTAAATTTGTGAATTTTAGAGTGTGTTTTTCTGAAATCATCTACAATCGGGAAACAGGTATTTTGTTAGTTTATTATAATAAAAATATAAAATATTTTACAATTAGGATAATTTGGGGTTTATTCTGGGGTTAATTGTTTTGTAACTTTTTTAAAAATTTTCCGTTTTGATTTTTACGATTTGTTCAATTTACTGAAAAAAAGATTTTCGAGGATTTCAATCATTTTTTTGCATTTTGGCTCACTCGACAATTATTTCACTTTTCCTATCTACTCTAATATAAATTTTTAAATATTCAGAAATTTCAAAAATTCGTTGGATAACTTGTTTTACTTCCGCAGAGAATCGTAACGTTGTAAGTTTAAAAAAATCTTTTTCCTACTCTTCCAACATTTTTAAGCTCCCAATTTTTACTTCTCTTTTAAATATAATATGTTCTTATGATCCTGTTGGGCTTGGAGTGCCATTCAATTATCTTTTAATGACCGACTTTCGAGAACCTTTAGTAAAAGTTTCTTTACAATTTTTAATTGTATGTCTTGATAAAGATTCTCATTCAAAAAATGAAGAGGTTTTTTTGGAAAAAAATTTTTTTAATTTTATTTTTTTTAAAGGATGGTTATGCTGAAAATTATTTTATAAATTATCTTTCAAGAATTCATAGAGAAGAAGATTTTGATTTTATTTTGAAGGTATTTTTGTGAATAATTTTTTTTAATATTAATTAATTTTTAGGGTTTTACTCGTCTTTTAAACAATCAATTACAAGCTACTTATTTCCCTAAATCTTTAAAGAAAATTGAATTCCATCAGGAACTTCTTGTTCTCCTTTGGAAATGTTGTGAATTTAATCAGGTAGAAAATATTAAAATAAATTTGATAATTTCATTTTTTCTATTTAAAATATTTTTTTGTTTACATTACCTTATTTTAAAACGTCGGACTATGGCTGGCCGATGAAACTGACCTTGGTTGGTCGAAACGGCTTTTTTGTTTTTTTACCATCTAGAAGAGGGGGGGGGGGTTTCTTTGGGATTAAAAATTTTTTCGATCAAATTTTCTTCGGTCTAAAATTTGCACCATTTACCGTTTTTAGTTTATTCCTCTTTAAATGCTTCAAAAATTTTTATTATCTTTTCTTTTTTCTATTTTTTTTAAATTTTTCAACTGTCAATCTAAATAAACATTTAATTTTTTTTCAGAAATTTCTCTATTTTATTCTCAAAACTAGTGATATGCTTGACATCCTAGTTCCTATACTTTATCATTTAAACGACTCTCGTACAGACCCTTCACGTATTGGACTTGTGCATATGAGTGTATTTTTAATTTTATTGTTGAGTGGAGAAAGGAACTTTGGTGTTCGTTTAAATAAAGTATTTTTAGTTTATTTTTTTTTAATTTTGTTGTTATCAATTTTCTTTTTTAGCCTTTCACTTCTCGTGGAATTATTGATGTTCCTATATTTACTGGGACACATGCTGATCTTTTAATTATTGTAATTTTTTAAATTAAATTTTGATTGACTTTTTTGTAATTTTTAAAGGTTTTTCATAAATTAATAACTAGTGGAAATCATAAATTGCAATCTCTATTTGATTGTTTGTTGACAATTATTGTTAATGGTTGGTAAACTTTTCTAATTTATTTTTTTATTTTTAAAATTAAATAAAAATTTATTTGAATCGGAATTAGATTCTATTAGATCCTTCTTAAGAAATCTTTTTTAATTTTAGAGAAATTTTTTTTCTAATTATCTTTTACTTCCTAAACCCCAAAAAATTTTTCTAATTTTTATTATCAATTTTTTGCGAATTTAATATTTTCTTTTTTAGTTTCGCCATATCTCAAATCTTTGTCTATGGTCACTGCTAATAAATTGGTTCATTTGGTTGAAGCATTTAGGTATTTCAATACTTCTAGAATTTTTTTAAAAATCATTTAGCACTCCATGGTTTATGTTTTCCTCTCCAACAAATCACCATTTAATTTTCTTTATTCTGGAAATGTTTAATAATATTATTCAATATCAATTTGATGGTTATTTTTTAATTTTATTATTAATTTTTGGACTTGTTTAATTCCCAAAGGATTTGGAAAAACGAGTCTTTATACTCTTCTTTTCACAAAATATTGAATATAATATTTTCCACTAATTACTAATAAAATATACAATTTTTTAGGTAATTCCAATTTAATTTACACGATAATACGAAAACGACATGTTTTCTATCAATTAAGGTTTTTTCCTTATTTTTGTTTTTTAATTAGTTAATTTAGTAATATTCAAACTGATTCCGTTTCAATAGCACAAGGATTAAGAAAAGGTAAAAAACCAGTTCCAAAGGATTCAGAGGAAGAATCTGCTGGGGAAATTACACAGATTGGTGAAAAGAATGAAATACGAGGTTAATTTTTTGGATTTTTATTATTAAAAAATCTATTTCAAGCCCCAATTGGTCCAACTTCAACACTCGCCCAGACTCCAGCAATTGATGTAATGACAACAAATTATGAGGCTAAGGAAGGCAAAAATGAGCAGAAACAAATGCCTAAAGAAAAGAAAGGAGAAAATTCTAAAGAAAAATTAGAAAATGAAAAAAAGAAAGATGAAGAAGAAGAGGAATGGATAGCAACCCCAGAATGGGTAGAATCTTGGAAAAGTAAATTACCTTTGCAAACAATAATGCGTGTGTTACAAATTTTGGTTCCTCAAGTTGAGAAGATTTGTATTGACAAGTTTGGAATTTTTTAGAAAATTTTCTGAAATTTGGATTTTTAGAGGGTTAACCGACGAAAGCGAAATTTTAAAATTTCTACAACATGGAACGCTTGTTGGGCTTTTACCTGTACCTCATCCAATACTTATTCGCAGATACATTGCTAATGAAGGGACAAACAATTGGTTTAGAACATACACTTGGGGTGTTATTTACTTGAGGTTTGTTTGATATTTTTGTTTATAAGTGGGAATAGAGATTATCTTTTTATAAATAGAGACAGAGATGGTTAAGAATAAATTGACCAAGTTCTAGAGTTTTTTCAGTTTATAGTTCGAGTTATTCTGACTTAGTTCCTGGTTTTTGGACTGTCGAGTTATTTACCTTTTTCTAGTTTGGGATTAAATAAGTTCCTCTATTTTTACATTCCATTAGTTTCCACAAAACTTGAAATAAATAAAACTTTCTGAAGTTTTTTATTTTTAAGAAATGTTGATCCAGCTATTTGGTATGACACAGAAGTAAATCTTTTTGAAATTCAAAATGCTTAGAGAGGAGAAAAAATTAATTTAAAAGGGCCAAATACATAATATACCTATTCAATAATTTTTGTAATTTTGGGGCTTAAAAATTTAACAATTATTTTTAAAAATATATTAACAGAAAAGATATTTAAAAAAAGCTATATTTGTGATGCTTGCTAATAAATTTGTAATTTTAAAATATTTTAATCAATTAATATTTTATTGAAATAATTTTATGAAATATCTTTATTTTTTAAATTTAATTAATTTTAATAAAATTTTCAGGTTTTTTAGAATAGATATATAGAATTTAAAATTATGAGTTATAATTATTTATTTAAAATTGTTGTTGTTGGTGATCATAATGTTGGGAAATCGGTTAGTTTCATTTAATAAATTTTGCTGGTAGGGGTTATTCAGTGGTGTGGGCTATTAGTGGACTATTCAGTGGTAGGGGCTATTTAGTGGGGACATTTTTTGTTTCGAATGTTAGCTAAAAAGTAATGTGTTTTGCTTCTTGGTGTGAGCAAAGGAACCGTCTTCCCTTATTTAATTACCCAAAAAATTTGTAAGGACTCTCCTTGGACCGGCTTATTTCTGAATCTTACATAACATTTAAACACCTCCAAATATTTTATTTTTCAGTGCATTCTTTTACGATTTGCTGAAAATGCCTTTAGAGCAGACCATATCAGTACATTAGGCGTTGATTTTAAATTAAAAACAATAAAATTGGGACGTGACAAAATTCGGTTAGAACTTTGGTTTGTTTATTTTTTTTAGATTTTATTAAAATATTTTTTTATTTTAGGGACACTGCAGGAATGGAAAGATATCGGACTATATACAATTCTTATTATCGTATTATTTAATTTTAAATGTTTTTTATTTCTCAAATTTTTCAATTTAAGATTCAGCACATGGAGTTGTTTGTGTTTTTGATATTGTTAGTTTTTTTAAATTATTTTTTGGTTTTGAATATTTAAAGAGTGTCTTTCACTATCGACTAGTTTTAGACACGGTTTTTCCAGGGACCAGAACTATTTAAAAAAATTTTAACCTTCCAAAAACACCCTCAGAAAGTTGATTTCTTGAAGATGGAAGCATTTTTAAATTATTTTTACTCTGAAAATTAACAAATAAGGAATTTAAATAATTTTTAGACCAGTGAGAAATCATTTGAAAATCTTGAGAATTACTGGCTTACTCAAGTAAAAGAACACGCACCTCAGAACGCCGTATTACTTTTGGTTGGGAATAAAGCGGATATGGAACCGGAACGAAAAATTGAGTTTGATAAAGCTGAAAGGTTTTAAAGAATGATTTTTTTTGAAAATTAAGAAAAACATTTTTATAGGTTAGCAAAAAGATTGGGCGTTTCACTTTTTGAAGTTAGTGCAAAAACGGGAATTAATTGTGAAGATGCCTTTGTAGAATTGGCTACAGTTATGCGAGATCGACTTTTGGCTTCAGGTTTTTAGTTTTACTTAATAAACTGACCTCTCAAAGGCTTCACGAGTGTTGTATTAGACTGGATTTTTTACTACAGGAGTTAGACTTATGAAGTGTCTTTTAGAGAATTTTTCTTTAAATTTTTTATTGAAGAAGCAATTTTAATTTTTTATATTTAGCAAATTCTGACTCTGACGACTCTGACCGTTTATCAACTGCCTTTCACATTGATGGTGCCATATCACATGAAAAAATGAGTAGTCGTTTAATTGGTGTTGTCCCTAACTGTTGTTCAGGTGAAAGTACTCCAAGAGCTACTTTTGTTTAAATGAAAGGATGGGAAAAAAGAATTTCTTGTCAATCAAAATAAAAAAGCATTTTTCACTTTAAAATTTTTTTGATTTTATAAAATGTGTTCATTTCTGCCTTTCTGATTGTGAATCTCACCCAGAAGTTGGCTGCTATTTTTAATTAATTTTTTTTTTCAAAATTTGTAATGCTTTAATAAAAAATTGAATTTAATTTATTTTTTTTTATTTTTCAAAATGTTATTTAAACATTTTTTATTTTTTTAAATTTAATTTTGTTTAATTTTTCTTTAGGAATGTTTTGCTAATATAAAAATATACTAATGCAGCCATCACCTGCGTCAAATCCTGATCTTGAAGCGAGGCAAGCAGCACAGTTTGGAGATGTTAATAAGTTGTTGAGGTAAATAATGAATTAAAAAAAATTTTTTGACGTGATAAGTTTTGTTAGTAAGTATAGTAAACGCCTAGGGACAAATTTCCAAGTTTCAGCCTAAGAGCCTAACTCAAACAAAAGACTTCCAAACAAATTAAATAATTTTATTTTCCAATTAAATTAAATCCAACAAAGAAATAGTAAAGCGAGCCAACAATAAAGCAATAGGTAAGAGCCAACCAAAGAACCAAGGAACAGAGTAAATATGAAAGCAGAACAGAACCAAGCAATGGAACCCCGAAAGGGAAAATGACAAAGTTTAAATAGAGCGAAAAAATGGGTGTGGAAATAGATAAAACAGAAATGCAGGTGCGACAAAATTGAAGATTGAAAAATAACTTAATAAAGAAAAGGAACAAAATTGTTTACGATTAAAAAGGAAAGGGACAATTAATTTAAATAAGTTAAAAATATAAAAATTCCTAAACATGAAAAGAAATTCTTAGACAGCAGGTGCGGTAAAATTAAAGATTGGAATTTTAAAGAAAAAATTAATTTTAGAGAAAATAAACTTAAAAAATTAAATTCTAATTGTCGCCTTTCGCGACAGTAAGTCCTCATGAGCATTTAACAGATTTTGGATTTAACAGCATGCCAAAATTAATTGTTTGATCTTGGCATTTCTCTCTCATTCCTGCTCCTTTTCCTCTGATTTACCAAATTTATTTTCTTGTTTTTTTTCATTTCAGTTTATTGGACACTTGTTCTGTCTCCCCAAATTCGGTAAATTCTTTCTTAATTTTAATAAATTTTGAACAATTCAGGTAGATCAAGATGACTGTTCACTTCTCCATTGGGCTGCTATAAATAACAGAATAGAGGTTTTTAAAATTAGAAAAATTAATTTAGAAAATTCTCTAAAGGCTGCAAAACTTTTATTACAACGAGGTGCTAATGTAAATGCCGTTGGGGGTGTTTTAGCCTCAACACCTTTACATTGGGCAGCTAGGCATGGACACGCTAGAATGGTTGCAGTTTTGGTATGAAAAATTTTCAAAAAAATTTTTAAAGTGTAATTAGGTAAGGAATGGTGCCGATTGGTCTATTCGCGATGTTGAAGGTTTTACTGCTTTACATGTAGCTGTCCAATTTGGTTGTATTCCTGTTGCTGCTTACCTTGTAATTTATTTTTTTATTTAGAATACTTTTAATCAAATTGTTTAGATAGCAATGGGACAGTCTCCTGATGAATTGGATACAACAAGAATGACACCATCTATATGGGCAGCTTATAAAGCTTGTAGTAAAGATTCTTTAAGAATGCTTGCAAAATTGGGGGCTGATTTGGAAAAAACTGATTCTACTTATAGGTATTTCTATTCTCTTTAAGTTAGGGAACAATAAGTTTAAATTAGACTATCAGACAAAAGTCAAAATCAGCTCATAATTGGAGTAAACTTTCAGTTTCTGGCTAGTGTCAACTTACACGTTCGACTTTTACTATAAATACTAGATACTTAGGTTCGATTCCTGTGACAGTTGGTGTCTATTTTGAGTAGTTAATTCCTTAACAATCCTCCTGCACGATTATAATTCCGAGTTGATTACCAAGGGAATTTTATTTTATTTTAAAAGAAATTCACCTCTCCATTGGGCTGTTGCTCAAGGCAATCACATGGCAGTTAGTACACTCATTAAATTAAATGTCAATTTATCTCAATTAAACAAGGTATATTTTTTAACTTTAAATTTTATTTAAATTAATTTTTAAAAAAGGAAAATGAAACTCCATTGGACATTGCAAGGAGGAGGGGCGACCTCCTTTCTGTTCGTCTAATTGAAATGGCAGCTCGTGAACAAGGCTTAATTCCTTCAAAGTGCAGACAAAAATTGCGTGATAATATGGCTAGTTTTTAATTTTATATTTTTCGGGGAGGATTTAGTGGAGGAATACTGTCCTGGTTACAACAAAAATCCCGACTTGTTTGTTGAGTCCAAACTTTTTTTAAAGTAAAGTTATTTTTATCATTATATCTGTCTGTGGAAAAATTCATTGGACGGGAGATGGAGTAGGACCATCACGGAATGAGCCTAGATCGAAGCACAACCGACTGTGCAACCCGATGATAGTGTATTTATTCTTTCTGCAAGTGTGGAGACACCAGTTATTTTCAATTGAATATGCCCAATTTAAACTTAATCCTAATATATAATGATTCTTCTTTTTTTACATTTAGAATATTCGTCGTTCAGTTATTTTTTCTCTTCCATTTTTCGCCATTTTTTTCGGTTCTCTAATTGCCAGTTGTTCACTTTCTACCATTACAAAATTAGAATTCTCTTTTTGTTTAACAGCATTTATTTTATTTTTATTTAGGTTTTTTTTAATTTTTTAAATTTTAAAATTAAATTTTTTCAAAAAGATATTTCTCAAAAGATCGTCAAGAATATTCTCTCAGAATTTTGCTTTTTGGATTGGCAATTTCTTCAAAATTTTATATGATTTTTGCCTGGCTAATGTTTATTCACTCTGTTGTTGCTTGGCATATGCAAATTGCTTTTCTTTTCTTTCTTGTTTTAGTTCCTTACTTAACTCATCAAATAGTCACTTCTGATCCCGGTTTTGTTGTTGTAACACATAAGGTTTATTTTTAAATTTTCATAAGTTTTTTTTAGAAATTTACATGCAAGTTTAATTTACTTTAAATTGTACTGTCTCAATTTCCGGCCTCTATTTCTATTCTAGTCCTAACTAATAAATCCCTTATCCTCTAATAAGTAATCCACCCAAAGTGATTGTGAGAATATTTATTTTTCTTACAATTTGCCCATTTTAGGTTATCAGTTAAAAAATTTTTTGGAATATCCGGAGCCGAATAGAACGCTCCTTCGCCCTAATCCATTCTTTTATTCCTAACTGAATACATAGGTAATACACATATAATACACATTCATTAACTTAAAATCTTTCACAGAATTTTAAAAGAATTTAATTAAATATTCAGGAACGTTGTCAAATGATTATTTCAATGACTGAAGAAGTCCTTTGGGACGGCAATTTTTGTCCAACTTGTTTAATAGCTCGTCCAATACGTTCTAAACATTGCGCGTTTGTTTTTATTTTAAATTAAATATTTTTATAAAATTAATTTTTAGAGTTTGTGATAAATGTGTTCTTCGATTTGATCATCACTGTCCTTGGTTTTTTTAAATTTTAAAATTTTTTTTTGTATAAAGGATTGTATTTCAGGGTAGCTAATTGTATTGGAGAGAAAAATCATAGTAAATTAAATTTAAAATATTTTTTTATTATTCATTGGCTCGCCTAACTTATTTTTAATTTATCCTCTCTGACAATGTGTGTGTGTTTGTGTGAGTCAGTGAAAGGGATCAGTCTAGTTGGATCATACTAGCCTGGCTAGTCCCTGATTCCTTTCGTCTGTTACTGCTCAGTCCACCATCACATACATAGTACATTTCTACATCGGATAGACTTTTTTCTTGTCCATGTCAACATCAAATAACCCTCGGACATAACACAATGAGTCAAACATTTAAAATAAGAAAAAATTATTTTTAAAATTATTTTTTCTTTCTCCACTGAAAAATCAAACAGCATTTTCTTTACTGATTTATAGTTAGTAAATTCATTTATTTTTTCAGGACTTTTCTTTGTTTATTTGTTTGTATTGGATCTTGCTTGTATTTTAATGTTTGTTGGCTCTACTTTTTGTAAGAGAGAAAAAGAAATTTTTCTAAGAAATTATTTTAAAGATTGGAAATTTGTTTGTGGAGATATTTCTAATCCAAATGTGATTCTCTTTTGTTTACCATTTGTTACAGTTTTGGGGTTTATGTCTTCAACTTATTTCTTTTTTATAACAACACTATTGGGAATACAAACATATCAGGTAAATTTAAAAAAATTCTAATTTTTAGTTTCCTTTTTAATATTTTTCTTTATAGATACTGACAGCTGTAACAACAAATGAACGGATTAATTCATATAGATACTCTTATTTTCGACTTTCTGATGGGCTAAGAAGTCCTTTTAGGTATTTCTACAAATTTACTTTGAATTATTGAAAGACTTTATGAGAAAAATCTCTCAATTTCTCAAATTTTCGGGGCTAATCTACACTTTTATTTAAATATTTTTAAATAATTTTTTAGCAAAGGATGTCTTGGAAATGCACGTAATTTTTGGTGTCCGTCCTCTTCTTTTGAAAATTCCAATAGCAATAATCTCAGAAATAATAATGCAGAAACTACTAATTTATTAGCTTAGAAAAATAAAGACCTTAACAAAAAACTAGTAATTCAAAAATTGTTTATTTTTATATTTTTATTTTGAGCCATCACATATATTTAAAAGTGATCTCTGACCGTTAACTTTTGAAGGCTTTTTAGAATTAAGTTTGACAGACTTTGATAACTGAAACCTAGTTAAGACACATTCGGGTTGTCAAACATTCCTTAATTTTTTAAATATTCTTAAATTATACTTTTAATTGGAAAGTCAAATAATACATAATAAAGTTCCCATAACAAATGGAATCACGGTCGAAATTAAGTTTGGGTTTGAAGAACTAAGAAATTCTGGTAGCAAGGCGAAATTCAATGTTTTCCCAAAAATAAAAATTTAGGGAAACGATTATTTACAACAGATTTTTAAATTCTTAATTTTAAAATTAAATTTTTAGTGTTTGACTTTTCAGTTTGTCTAAAAATAGTTAACGGTCATTTTTCAAATTTGGTACTTGTACTGTTTGTGAGATTAAACATAAAATCACACCTATATATTGACAGGCATTTTTTCGCAAATATTTAACAAAGTTCTTGCTAGGACAATTTATAAATTACACTCATTTAATTTTGCTTCATTTATTTTTCGTGTAAAATAATAAATTTTAATAAAAATAAAAAAGAATACTTTTAAAATCTCATTAAAAAGACTGAAAAATATTTTTCAAAAATTGTTTTTGGTGTTAAAAATGGATTTATAATATTTTAAAATTTTTTAGAATCTTTTGCTATTTTTTTAAAAAAAATATTCATGAAAATGGATGATACATTATCAACTTCTTCTTCTTCTGACGATAGCGATATTTTTTCTCATCTTAATCCAACAGAAGCTGAACAGATTTTATTTTTGAAGTCAAATGTGCTTGAGGAAAAATTGAAAATTGCAAATCTCGAAATTGCTAAATTACAAGAAAATGAAGGGAAATTTAAAGAAGAAATTACCAAGCTTAAAAATGAAAATAAATTAATTTCTGAATTATATAACAATCAGAAAGAAGAATTAAGTAATGTGAGTTTTTTTGGTGAAAATAAAGATTTTCAAATTAAATTTTAAAATTAATGGGAAGGGGAGGGGATTTACTGGTAAAATCCAGGTACGTCCCCCCTTTTTTCTTCAAAGTATTAAAAATGGTAAATAAATAAATGTTCTTTTTCCTGAATTCCTATGACTATGAAACGTACGAAAAACATGTTTTTGGCCTGTTTTAGGGTTTCTAGAATGGTCTTTATAATCCATATTTTCCATATTTTTCCATATTTTGGCATTATGCCCATATTTTCCATATTTTGTCCATATTTGGTCATTTTTTGGTAAATTTTACTAAAAATTAGCGAAAATTTTCAAAATTTTGGAAATTTTTGGTCAAAAAATTTTTTTGAAAATTTTTCGGAAAAATTTATTTTCAAAAAAATTTTAAAGGAAATTTTAAATCTATAAAATCTTTTAGAATGTTTCTAAAATGCAAAGTTAAAGGCAAAATTATTGTTTTCTATATAAAATACTGATTTTTAAAATATCTTTTGACTATTTTTTGATCCATATTTTAGGATTTTATATCCATATTTAGTGTTTATTTCCATATTTATATCCATATTTCGGGATTTTATATCCATATTTTATGGCCATATTTTTCGATTTTATATCCATATAATTACACGCCCTAGTCATAACTTTGTCAAAACTTCCCAATCACATTGATTTTGGCGTCATTCGACACAGCTCGACGTGTTCTATAAATTAAGACTGACTGACCATTTTTTAATACTTTGAGGAAGGAAAAAGGAGGGGGGAACGAACTTGAATTTTACCGATTTACTTTTTGAAAAATACTTTATTTTAGCTTAACAAAAAGTTTGACAGATTGGCTTTGGATATGGAACAATATACTTTTAAGCATGTTGTTAGTTTATGTCCATTTGAATATTTACTTCATTAAATTTATTTTTTCAGTCATTTATTTTACTTAAAAATAAATGGATAAATGTTGATACCGATTGGAATCCTTGTTGCACAGATAAATGTATTAACACAAACAGACGTACTGGAAAATGTGTTAATAAGAATGGATTTATTGAATTAATAAATGATTTGGATATTAAATACAATAATTGTGTTAAAGGAGAGGGTAGGTTTTGTGACAGATTGATATTTGCGGATTGTCCTTTTTGGATGTCTGATGGGATTTCTATTTTATATAGGGTTGCCGTTTTCGAGTTGGGCCGACGGTCTTGGAATTTTTTGGGCTTATTTTTATTGAGTCTGGCCGTACGAGTCTTTTTTCTTTTTCGGGCCAAATATCTTAGGACCGACTCGATCTTTCAGTCCGAGTCGGTCCTTTTTGGCAACCCTGATTTTATACCTAAAAGTTTTAATGTTTAATATTCCAAATAATATGGTCTCCAATGGTTTTGGATGGTTTGTCAAAAAACCATAGGGGTTTGTCTCAATTTCAATTAGGTTTAGTTTTGTCCGCAAACTCAGTCCGCATAAATTTCTTTATATTTTCTCAAAAAACAATTAAAATAATTTAAAGGTGTTAATAAGAAAGCTTTTGTCTATTCACCAAATAGATTCATCAAACCACACAATTATTTTACTTTCTCATTATTTTATTTCGAAGTAAAATGTCAATTTGAAAATAATTTTGATGAAATTGAAATGCAAATAGGTGTTAATACAAATAATATATTTATTCGATTACAAGCAAATGAGTCTAAAATTTATTATGGATTCCAGTCAAAAGAAGGAAAAGAATTTAAAATTGACTCGTTTTCCTTTGAAAATAACGATATTCTTGGATGTGGATTAGTCTATCCGATAGTTGGTGGTTTAGTTGAAAAATTGCCTTATTTATTTTTTACTCAAAATGGGAAACAAATTGGTTTGGAAGAAATTAATTTTAAAATAAATTAATTAAAAATTAATTTAAAGGGAAGGCTGTTTTGCTTGAAAATGAAGTTTATGAACCTTTTATTTCTTTAAAGTGCTGCTCTGTTGAAACTAATTTTGGGAATGATTTGAAGGATAAACCTTTTAGCTATGACGTTTCTAAGCATTTTTTGCTTGATGAATTTTATTAAATGAATGAAAGGGGGTGAGAGAGATGAGAGACTGACTGAGATTTTTTAAAAATATTTTTTTATGATTTATTCTTTAAAAGAATTTTGTTTTGAATTTTAATTTATTACGGAAAAGCCACTTTACCGCAAACCAATTGGAGAAGTTCGACATCAGGGGTGGGCCTAGTCCCACAAAATATATCCCCAAAAATAGTCCCACAGATTCACAAGATCGAGATTCTCAAAACTATACGAGATACGTGCCTCTAAAAACACGAGATACGAGACTAAACCCACTCCTGTTCGACAAGTCCTAATAAGATACATAAGTCGATTAATACATACTGAAATCATCTAAATTTGTCATTATTAAAATTTGATAATAACCCTGCAGTAAAGTGGAAGGAGTATGTCCGAAGATTTTATTTTTTAATTTATTACTTTTTGGGAAAAATAAAAATTTTTTTTCTACTTTTTCTAAACTCTTTATTCATTTATCATTTTTAACAAAAAATATTTTAATTATTTATTTTAACTTTTTTAAAAATATTTTTTAGAATTTTTCCCTTAAATTTAAAATGAGTGATATACCAACATCTTCGTCCAATGACTATATTGATGAACAAGAAAAAAGACGAAAAAGAATTCGAACTTTGGAGGTTAAGAAAAAAAGATTTTTTAAATAAAAATAAATTTAAATTTTAAAGAATGAAATGAAGGTTATACAAACAGAAATTGATTTGGCTAGTTTTTTTTTAATTAAAATTTTTAAAAAATTAATTTTAGCAAAATTTATTGTTAGAAGCTAATGAAAAATTAGAAATTGCAAATTGTGAAATTCAACAATTACAAAAAAATGAAAAGAAATTTAAAAAGGAAATTGAGGACTTGAAAAGTCAAAATAAATATATTTGTGAATTATATAATATTCAAAAAGAAGAATTAAATAATGTAAAGATTTTAAAAATTAAAAATTATTTTTGGATTTATGTTCCTTATTTGGTGACCTATTTTAATTCGAGCTAAATTTCCTCCAATTTCAGCTAAATATAATTATCAGGGATGTCCGTAGAGAGAAAAAGAATTCGAACATCCCTGATAATTATTTTTTCATTCCTTGTTTTATCAAAAAGAATGAATAAACTAAAAATCGAAATTTTATTTCGAATTTCATAGTTTTTTGTGAGTAAATGGGAACAATTTTTCGATTTCCCTACATTTCTCTCTCTTCAGCCCCCCCCCCCCCTATTTCGTTACAATAACTTTAAATTTTTTAATATAATCAAAATATTTTTTTAAACCCTTTAAGATCAAAGGGAAAAATTCAATTAGCTATAATATATATGATTTAAGAATGGAGGGAATATCCAAAAAATGTAATAAATCTTCGGTTAGTTTTTAATAATTAAAATAAAAACAAATAAATTTTTCAGCGTTATTCCCAACCTTTGTAAAGAGAATATGAAGTACTTTTGAGTAAAACTTGAAAAAAGAAAAATTTTTATTTAAAATTTAATTTTTATTTAATATCTGCTATTTTTAATTAAAAAATTTTTGTCAATTAATTATTTCTGGTAAACGAGAATATTTTTCTTTATTCATTTTTAGTGAAAGTTAAGGAATTAATTTCAATTTTTCAAAAAAATTTTAATTTTTGGGTTGTTTCTAGTTTGGTCTAAAAATATAAATCTAGTATGTACAACTAATGTATTTACAACTAATTAGAACCTCACAAAATATGCATGGAAAAATAGGAAAGTGCTGCTACATTCCCTCTATCCCTCGATTAATTACTCCCTTAAGTGAGAATGTTTAGTTTTAAAATTAAATTTTAATCCTTTACAATTATTTTCAAGTTCCAATCAACACAAAAATCGAAAATTCGACATTGTAGTATTTGCCACTGAATACTCCTTATAAAAAAGCATATCCAGCAATCGCTTAATATCCATTCTTCCGTTTTTTATTAAAAAGTGAAAGTTTAAAGATTCTTTATTCTTTTTAAAAAGAACAAACTGGAATATATTTTAATTTACTTATCTCAAAAATAAATCTCTTCTATTTTCTATTCCTCCTCAATTTTAAACATTTAATTAATTATTTTTTTTTAAATAAAAATGCCTTTTTTACGAAAAATTTTAATTTTTTTAATAATTTCTTTAATTGATTCGGCTATTCGTCGACGACATTTTTTAAATTGTCATCCCTCATTTCGATGTTATTTATTTTTATTTTCTCTTTTTTATTGTTGTCTAAATAAAGATATTTGGCACAATAATGGGTTGGTTTTTAATTAAATAATGAATGAATGAATGGATTGGTAGAGATTCACTCATCAGAAATATTATTTTGGGATAGATTTACCTCGAGTTTTTCCTAATTGTTAAAACTCCTCTGAACAGTGCAGCACCAGTCAAGCCTTTTTTATTCAGATCGAAAGGGAAATTGGTTGTCTATCGGAAAATAAAAATTATGTTTTTAAATTAAAAAAATTTTTTTATTTTCCAACAAATTATATGTAGCAAGTTTAATTATTATTTATTTTTCCTACGTTATTTAAATTTATAATTTTTATAAAATGTAAGTGGATTGTAAAGGGATAAAAAATAAATTCACGATTTCGGAAGAATGGCAGGAATTCCTGAAATTAATAAAGCATTAATTAAACAATAAATTTTTGAATTAATCATTTATAAATTATTTTAAATTTTTTAAAGAAAATTTTCATCTCCAAAACAACAAAAATCAACATTTAACCCAAATAATCCAAAAATACGAGAACATTTATTTATATACACAAGTTTTTTATTAAAGGAAAGGTAAATAAAAAAAATATAAAATCATTAATAGAAGGGGGATAATTTTAAAAGGAGTATGTATTTATAAAAATGTGAGCTTGTAAATGTTAAGAAAATAGTTTAATTAATTATACCAGCTTTAAGAAAATCAGAGGTGTTTTACGAGATATATTGACTCGATTCTTCGAGAAAATATTAATTTTTTTGTTAAATATAAGCCTATCTTAAATATAAATTAATTCAATATGGAGGAAATCCGATTTTCTATTTCCAAAATTCTTCTTTAACTCCGTTTATAGATAAATAATAATAAACATTTGTGTAGTTTCTGTCAGATGTTTCGTCCGTTAATCAGTGTTAGATACACTCAATCTATGTACATGTGTCCATTGTAAACGTAGCCTTAAGTTTAATGACTAAATTTACGAAGACGAGGGATATAAGAGAGAGAGAGAAACTTCAAACTTTTTGTGTAATAATTATCCTTCAATTAATTAAAAATACTTTCAAAATTTTATTTTCAAAATAATTTCAGTCTTGTAGTATTATTTATTTCACACAAAAATCACTGGATTCACAATGGAATTTTTTGTTCACAGCAAAATTTAATTAACAAAACTAAACAAAATAATATTAAATTAATTTCAAAAAAAGAATTAATTAGTTCTTTGGGTATTTGTGCAATGGATTTATATGTTTTGACTTGCAATAAAAATATTAAAAAGCAAGAAAAAAATAATAAATATTTTGTTGGTTTAAACGAACCGAATTGGTTGGGGTGGAGAAAGCATACAAATATTGAGGTACAGAATATTATTAGCTGCTAATTTGGAGAGACGTGCGAGATCAAGAACTTTCCAAGACTGAAGACTAGACCCCAAGACCAAGGCCGAAAAAACCCCAAAGAAAATTCTTGGAATCAAGATCAAGAAGAGTTGTACATCTCTACTGGTTTGGAGGAAATAACTATTTCCTTTAATTAAATAGGTCTAGAGACAGGATTTTGAAGATCGATCGAGATATCTAGAAAAACCCTGACTCGATAACTAAACTCTTCTTTCTGCAATATTTCTAAGCCTAGTAACAATGAAGAAATGCGAAAACCTCTCATGTATTCCTTCTTAGAATTTAATAACTGGGAAAGTAAAATTGAGTGACAACTGCGTAAAATAGGGGCTTAAAGTCGTCATCTAATTTTAGTGCTTCACTTCTACGTATAAAATTCTTTAAAAAACAAAAAAATGTAGTTTAGGATTTCTAAAGTGTTCGATATATTTTTATTTAGATTACTCCACAAAAGACTGATAAACAACAAAGAAGTTTAGTTTTATGTATTAGCAGAGTTTTTGCTTTTGAACGTTGGCAATTGTTAATAACTGCTTTAGAAATGTATAGATTATTAAATGTATGTGCTTATTTTGGAATTTTTTCACAAATTTTTTTGCAGGTTAATTTAGTTGTAGCTCATATACAAAGTGCAATTACTTCAGTTTATAATTTATTAAAATTATATGAACGCGAGGGCATTCTTTCGGTTCGTCCAGGCATTCGATTTCCTCATTCTAAAAATATGCAATGGGATCCTAATGCTGAAACTGAGTTAATATTTATTTGTTAAAAAGTGGTTGATTAAGTTGGGGATGTGGGACCTTGATAAAGAGGGGATAGTTTGGGGATGTTTAGGGGCCTAATTCTTTCCTTTCTTATCAATCACAAGAAAATTCCTCTATTGTTAAGATTTAATAGGAGGGGGGGGGGGGATAAATGGAAAAAAGATCGGCATGGGTTAATAATCTATAAGAGAGTAAGCAGAAGTATTGTGTCCAAATGTGGAATAGCTCTTACTTCATTCCACATTAAATCCTTTTCGATTAACTTGAAAGACAAAAACATATACCGTATTTTCTCGATTAATTCCCCTCCCTCGAATAATCCCCCCTCTCGATTAATTCCCCATGCTAGAGTTGGGTTGAAACAATAATTCCCCACCTCCAAATACCCTACTGCACGTTTAAATGCCAAAACTCGAATAATTCACCTCCCTCGATTAATTCCCCATGCAAGGAATAGTTTCAAAAATAATTCCCCAGGGGAATTAATCGAGAAAATACGGTATTAGCATTTACTAATATTTTACAAAATAAACAGATTTAATGGACAGATATTATTAGCACACGAATGTTTTTATGAATTTCGAGAAAATACAGAATTTATTGGTTTAATTGATTGGGATGATTTGCTTTTGCCGAGTAGAAATTTTGTTGATTTACCCTCTGTTTTTAAGGAAGCTTTAATTAAATATCCGAATACAGCCTATTTTTTGGTTAATAAATTGGAAGCAAAATTTGAAGAAAAATGTTGGTAATTAATTTTGATTTTTAAACAAAAAATTCAATCCCCGTAAATTCTCTATTTAAATGGCCACCTCAAATTGAATGGCCCTTTGGACGATGATTAGAAAATAGAAAAGCCGGCCATTCCAATAAAGATTTTAACGACATTTTAGTAATAGAGCCCGGAATTTGTGCTGCACGGTATTCCGTACTGAAATACCGAAAAATACCGATCAACTTAAAAATTTATCTGTCGGTATTCCGTACCATACTACTGATACGGAATACCGATAAATACAGAAAAATACTGTCGTAGTACTGTACCGTCTGGGCTCTAGTTAGTAATCTGTTATGGTAATACATGTATAACATTAGAGATACACTTCCAAAACTAGATAACCCCATGATTTAAATACATTTTTTAAAATTTGGTTGGCTACTAGGTAGAAGGAACTCCCTAAAATTACTACCCTAAATTTAAGAACAACCTCTTTTACTACTATAAATCTCAAAAGGGTGTATTAACAATTAAGGTCTTTAGAATTAAACTTTAACTTAAAAAATAAATTTAAGCCCAAAATCCACGTTTATTTAATCTTCGTAATTTAATGGAGAAGGGTATAATGATGTCACATATTTACAACGACGAAAAAATGGTTGTTAGACCAAAAAAATTGAGAGGATTTTGGATGCATCATTCACACTTTTTAGAAAAAGGATTTAAACCTCAACAATTATTAACTAATTATTCAATACTTTTACATTTGGCAAATGAAGATAGAGTTAAAGAAAATGAATTTATTTATCCTTTTTTAAAAAATTTTAATATTAGTGAAATGGAAAGACATTCAAATTTTATTCTTTCACAAATGACTAATAAAAATGTAAGCGAAGAGGGGGGGGGGGGGAGGGAGGGGGGGGGGGGGTGATCCAGTGGCTATTGTTGTGATTGTACTTGCAGAATACACTTTATTGAGCTTCGGTCTGGGCTCATTCCACAATGTCTCTATTCCATCTCCCTCTATTGAACTTTTCCACGGCATAAACAATAGTGGCTATAGGATCTGAAATAGCTAAGATTTCAGGATTCAATTTGCCAGATTTTAACGATGTGACATACTAGGAACCTAACACTGTAAACAGGGCCCATGCTTAACAGTCTTAATGACTTCTATGTGTTTACAGCTGTTACATTCACATTTCTTAGTATCGGCATTTTCCTAGAACTTTCTCTTGATCGGTCCCTTCCTTTAATTTTTTCACACCTTCCCTTCAAAGATTCTCATTTCCGAAGAAAGACTGCAAACCTTTAAATTTTACCCTTAACTTAAATCATTTAAAAACCCCCTCTCTTTAAAAATTAAATATAATTTACATCATTTTTAACAGTTTAATGGCCTCCCACGAAATTTAACTTATTTCAATTCAATATCAGAATGTCACCGTTTAATCTTTGCTTATTACAAAGCAATTAATCCAACACAATCTCATTGTCTATCATATAGTTTATGTGAATTACCCAAAATAAAGCAAAGCTGCACAGTTGTGAAAAGTTTTTTTGAAAAGAAAAAAACTAAAAATACTGGAAATTTTGTTTATATTCGAATAAATTCTGAATTTGAAGAAAGGGAAGGATGTGCTTCTGAATATAGAAGAATTTAATGAAAATAACAAATTAATTTAAAAATTTAAAATTTTTTTAAATAAAAATATATTAAACATATGTACTATTAGTGATTATTTCTAAATGCTTGTTTTCACCGGGTATCGCGGACAGCGAGCAGTTCATAAATAATTTGAAGTTTATTTTTGGCTAAAATTTTATCTATTAAAGTTGCCCGTCTTTTGTCTAATCTAAACTTATTTTTGTTTTTCTGTTTTGAATTTAAAATTATTTCTATTGTATTAACTAAGCGCAAATGTTTAATTCACTTTTTTATGTACCAGCCGCCATTTATTAATTTTTATTTTTGCCAAATTTTGGGATGTTGTTTACCTTTAACTTTGTCTACCCGCCTATTTTTTTGGCCTATATAATCCCCCTTCCAAAACCCCCATCAGCTTCGGTGCTAACTTCTTTTAGTTTTCTCACTTAGCTTCTGTGGCTCTTGTCTTATTTTTGGCCTTATCATTAATCTATTTGTAAACTTATTTCTTGTTTGGCTTTTATTTGGTGGTCTAAACCCCACCTTCAAACGATAGGAATCAGACGACAGAGTGTTCTTAGTTATTTTCGAATATTTTTTACTTTCAGGTACAACTAACTTCTTTTCAATTAAAAATTTCGATTTTATACTTTACTAATTTCCGTATTTCAACAAGCTTTTTTAATTCAAGATGGTATCGGAGGGCAAATCATATGTAAACAGGTACTTGATCAATGTGATATAAATCAGCTTATAAATCATATTATTTTAGTTGCAAATGCAATACTCGTAAAGAGGCTAATTGTGCACATTATTTGTCAAATTGGTCTGTAAATTCTGTAATTATTGAAAAACAAACTCTTTCTTTTAATTTTAGGCTGATTGAAAACGGTAAACTTTCAGCAAATCCATCTGGTGCAACAGCAACCTGCTCTGAGGGACGAGTATTGCGTGCCAAGGATTTTGCGACGGGAGCTGGAAGTAATTCTGTTGGATTCGGGAATATATTCAAAGACGAGATGGGGTTGTCTATGAGCCTTACTCCGCCCACAGGCAATTGTTTCATTTACTGCGAGCGTGGTGGGCAAGGACATGTTTACTATGGAACTAAGTCTAATTGTGTTGCTGGAACGGGGAGCGGTGAATATTTTGGGATGACATACTATCAATATTATACTTAATTTTGCAACTAATTTAAGTTGATCAAGAGAATTATATTTTAAAATTTTTATAATTATATGAACTTTGATTATAATAAAGAATTTCTTTAATAAAGATTTTTAAGCTTTGAAAATTATTTAGACACATTTCAGTATATAGTTCGTCACCAAATGTCTGTTATTAAATGTTTTTAGGGGTTTAAGTAATTTAAAGGTCTGAAACGGTCCGTTAGCAGGTTGAATTGTTTAGGCATGAATTTCTCTTTTATCAACTAATTACTTTGGTGTAATTAGTAGCCGGAAACCGGGGTTTAGCTTCTGAAAATAGAAGAATTTTATAAATTAATGAAAAAAAATAAATTATTTTCTTTAAAAAATTTTTTTATTTCAAAAAATCATTTAGACTAGTAGCTTTTTAAATGCTCAATTTTACTACCCTCCCCTATATTTCGTCTAATCTAAAAACTTAATTTTTCCTTTCTTTTATATTCAAAATTCTTCTATTATGTATTAATAGTAAGTAAGCACATTTGTTTAGAGCGTCCCTTTTGTTTATTACCAGCCGCCATTAATATATTTGCTCACTTTTTGGAACGTTTTTTTTATTTTTTCCACTTTATTTTGTTTAACTCTTGATCCTAATAGTTTGGAAATCTTTGGCCTGAGGCGATCTAGTTAGTTTTTGGCTCTTTTCATTCCAATCCTACATAAATATATTTTGCTATTTTCTGTGTATATTTGAGCCAGTCCTTTTTATTTATAACGTTCATAGTGAAATTTCCATTCCATTGTTTTTTCCATCCAATTCAGTTTCTGGTGGAGCTTAACGTTTCTGCATCAGTTAGTAATGGAATTTGACGTCCTTTGCCATTGCTTTTCTCTACTTTGCTATGTTATTCGGCTTTTGTTAAAATCTTTCTCAAAGTGCTTGATGAAGTACTTGTTTAAAGTATGCGGCTTTTGTTAAAGGCTTGCCTTTCAAAGTACTTGCCTACCTTTAGATGGATATTGAATCACAGGTTTAATTCAAAAATTGTAGATTTTTGAAGGAAATAACTGAAATATTGCTTCATATTGAAATAAGAAGCAGTATTTACTCTTTAATTAATGTTTTGTTTCTTGTTTTACTAAACGGCTAGGGTGCATTTTTTAAATTTCGATTTTATACTCAAAAAGTTAAGAGACTAATTTTCTTTATTATTTTCACTTCAGAATATTCTCGTCCCGTCCAAACTACCACAAATCATAATGAGTGAAAAGAAAGAGATACCGTATGTAAACAGGTATTTGATCAGGAAAACAAATTATAAATTACATTATTTCAGTTGTAAATGCAATTCTCCTAAAGACAATAATTGTGCCCATTATTTGTCAAATTGGTGTGTAAATTATTATTTGTGACTAATGGGGGAATATTTTGAATTATTTAAAAATTCAATTTTCCTTTAATTATAGGCTGATTGAGAATGGTAAACTTTCGCCAAAACCAAAAGGTTCAACAGCAACCTGCTCTGAAGGACGAGTATTGCGTGCCAAGGATTTGGCGTCGGGATTTGGAAAAAATGCCGTTGGATTCGGGAATATATTCAAAAATGAGATGGGGCTGTCTATGAGCCATAATCCGCCCAAAGGCGATTGCTTCATTTACTGCGAGCGTGGTGGTCGAGGACATGTTTACTATGGAACTAAGTCTAATTGTGTTGCTGGAACGGGGAGCGGAAAGGATTTTGGGGCGCAGTACTATCAATATTATACTTAATTTACAACTAATTTATGCTGATCAAAAGAATTATATTTTGAAATTCATAAATGAATTTAGATTCTAATAAAGAAATTTCATTCTCCAAGGAATTCATAAATTCAAAAATTATCTATGTGATTCTTAATTTATGGGATTTCTATTACCAGAATATCAGTTCTGGTTCATCCTTATACACTAATTAAGAAGAGCAAACGATTAAAAAAGCCAGAATTAAAAAAAATGAAGACGTGGTGAGACTCAAATGTTTAAAAACCTAAAGGTTTAGGCTTCAAAAGGTTTAGACTAAAAGTAACCAGGTAACGAAAGAGTCTTAAAATATGGCATCAAAACGAAAGTTTTTGGGATATAACTTTTTTGTTTTTAAGTCAATCCAAATAATTTTTGCTTTAATTAAAAGCTCTGGATGTGCTGTGTTATTATTTCATAGAAATTGTTTAGTTTTACCGTCTTTCAAAAAAGTTAGGAGCCGTTAACTGCGAATAATCGTGATTTAACATACTTAGGCGGGTGTAACTTTCTAAGAAATGATCGGATCCTTTCATAAAGTTAATAAAAAGAATAAAAACAAATATAGATTCTAATTGATAAAGAAAATTTCTGGAAATGATCGAAATAAAAAAAGTTATTGCATAGAAAAAGGCGTTTCGATGCTAAGTCGCCGAGACTCTATTGACAAGCAAGCCTAAAGGTTTAGGTGGGACACGCCCTCCTTGTCGCGGGCCACCTTGTCGCGACCATCTTGTCGCGACCACCTTGTCGCAGGCCACCTTGTCGCAGGCCCACCTTGTCGCAGGCCCACCTTGTCGCAAAGGTTGAAAATTTTTTATGCTGATATGGAGGGTAGGAAAAAGGCCTTCTGGGCACGATCGGGGTTTTCTGGAGTAATTTGGATCGGTTTTACTCTGTTAAAGCTCCGGTAGGCTTTAGCCGGATAAGAGAAAGTAATAAAAGGAAAAAAACACTCCTGGAAATCAACTAAAAAATTAAAAAAAACCTAGAAAACAAAATAGAAATTCTAAACCTTCCATATCTCCAATCGTTGTAGCCGTGGGATGAAGTACGGCACGTGGCGAGTGAAGTTTAGGCCAGCCTTGAAATAAAAACCAAAGGAAAGCCTGCGACAAGGTGGCCTGCGACAAGGTGGGCCTGCGACAAGGTGGTCGCGACAAGGTGGGCCGTACCCGGTTTAGGTTTGTGCTGAGACTGAAAATAAATGTAAAGACAAAAGAGTCTTGCTGACTTTTTGACATAATTCAGGTCAATTAATTGTTTTCATCTGTTTCTTTACAGATTATTTATGCCATTATAGCATAACAACAACATTTCATCATTTTACTAAACAAAACCGAAAAATTAAAGAAAATTTTAAAAATTTTAAATTTTTATTAAAAATTATTTTGTGGCATTGAATAATTGCCTTTGGTTGTGCAAATTGTTATCTCTCTAAAACAATAAAAGGAAACAAAAAAGAATAAAAAGCCCCTACCCTTTTTATGGCGATTTTTATTTTTGACAAGACGATTTTGGAATTTTTTAAAATTTTTTCGTATAATTTTTTTTAGATTTTAATCTCATAAAAATGCAAAAATCAAAGAATCATTTTTCTAATTAAATGTCCAAAATTTGTGAAAGGCCTTTCTCCAATTCTCACCGTCCAATGCCTAGAACTTTTCGACACCAACCACAAATTAAAAGTAATCGAAGTGTTATTGGAGGTGGAGGGAATGTTGACAGACAATTTTTGCTTCCACATTTTTCTGCTGCAATGGCTGAGGTTTTTTTTATTTTTTTTAAATTTTTTTTAAATTTTTTTTAAATTTTTTTTAAATTTTTTTAATAAAAGTGCAGATCTTTGGTTTTAAAAAATAAAGGCGGAAGATTCCTATTTTCTTCTTTTTTTTGTTTTTATTTAGGGTTTTCGCAGAAACCGAATCTAATGTTAGGTGTTTTTCGAGGATTTTCCCGCCTTTATTTTCAATACCAATGCTCTGCACGTTTGACATTTTCTTTTTTAGGGTGTTCCAAATCCAATAGATGAACGTTGGGTGGATGAAAATACAACGGTTTGGAATTTTTAATTTTTTCTTGCTAACGTGGTCTTTTACAAAAGAAAGGGTAATTTTAAGTTTTGGATTCTGTGTATAATTTTGTCGAAAACTCCAATTTATTGACCGAATTTGTGTTTCAACTTGCGTTTTTGGGAAATTTAACGCAAGATTTTCTGAACCAAGATTTATTTTTGCTAATTGGCTCAATTTTTTAAATTACAAAATAAATCTCTACTCAAGGCCCAACGCGTTATAGCCCAACTATTTTGTTCAAGGCCAACCCATTTTCTGTCTATAAATTATTCTTTAAATTGCCCCTCTTCCATCAATATTTTTTTTAATTTTAAGGTCGTAACTGGCGCTACTAGTGAACATTCCTTTAATGATAATATAGAATCTCAACCACACTTTCCTCCTCCAGCAGGGAATTCAATAATTCGATTAGTTTGGCGACGTTTTTCTTGGATTTGTTGGTTATTCTCTACTTTTTCGATTTCATTTATGGCATTAATCTCTGCCCCTTTAATGATCGCTTTGCCTTTTGCTGTTGAACGAATTGGTCTAGTTGAAGAAATTATTCATTTAAATAATATTGGCTGTGAAATTGAGTGTCAGGTTTTTTTTGAATTTTTAAAAAATTTTATTTTTTTTATTTTTAGGGTCAACTACTTAATTTGAGTGGAAAGACGGTATTATTTTAAATAAAATTGATCAGGGGTGTCCTGATAAATTGATTTAATTTTCTAATATTTTTGGTTCTATAATCGAGGATAGGAACTTATTTACTTTAACTACCCACCCCAAAATTTTACCGTGGGATTTTTCATCCCATTTGTCTCAGATCAAACTTCAGACCGCGGGCTTATTTTGGTGTCATTCGATTCAACTCGTCGAGCTCTTTTGAATGATATATAAATTGACCATATACAACATACATCCGATAAAATTTTGGGGTGGGTAGTTAAATTAAATAAGTTCCCGAGGATATTCTAATTTAACATTTAGGCCCGTTTTTATACAGAAATAATGATTTCTTCTATTGACTCTGGGATAAATCATCATTAGTACAACAGTAAAGAAAAATTGGGATTAATATTTAAATTTCTTCCTTGGCTTCATTCCTCACAATAACAAATTTTAAAGATTCTAAAAAAATTTCCCCAGATTTTGACCATATATTTATTTTCTAATCTAAAAACAATTTTCTTAGGTTCTTCTCTTTCTGGCCCTTTATGTTCTCTTTTGGCGCCGTTCTACTGCAGATTTGCCTCGTTTACATTTACACAGAGCTGCTTTTGCCCTTTTTGTATTTTTTGTACTTTTTGCATTTTGGTTATTTTATACTGCTCGAATTCTTTTGGAAAGGTTTTCTTTAAATAATTTGTTAAGTTCCCCTCTTTTTTAAAGAAATATTCAATTAATTTATTTAATTTCTTTTGCAATCTCTTTACTGGACATTCTTTTATTTATTCATTGCATTTGGATTTTCTTTGAGCTTCGACAAATTCGACCAGTTTATTGTATTCATTTTGTTCGAGATCCGGTTTATTTTTTTTATTTTTATAGAAAGGGACAGATAAAGGAAACCAAAATGGTCCAATTTTAAAGAGTCAAAATTTCCAAGAGCCCATTTCTGAAAAATATTTTTTATCTATCATCTGTGTTCGTTAGATTGGCCCTTTCTGGCCATGTTTGAAATTTTTGTTTCTATTGATCGCATATGATTTTTGTCCCAAAAATACTTTTGTCGGCTTCAAAATTAATTTAAAATTTAACTTTAAGGACGGTGAATGGCATTCCCATGAGATTGGCCAAATGAGTATTCAAGAAGCGGCTGTCCAAGTTCTTTTGCTTTACCGAGTTCACTTCCCAGTCTACAATTCTGTTTTGGAACATACTCGCCGTTCAAATACTTTTGGTGGGCGTTTTCGTTCAGCTATGGGTAGACCAGGATTTAAACTTTATGATATTGATGGACAAGGAGATCAAACAACGGCACTTTCTGAAATGAATGCAAGAATTTTAATGCAGGTTTGTTTAAATGAAGAGAAATTTTGTAATTTACTTTGTGAACCTACAGTTCGTGAAAACCCTAGGGAACTCAGAAACTGTGTTTCTGACGGCAGTCAAACAAGTCTGTCCGATTCCAAACCCATATATACTTCTAAACATAAGACATACCTTTTTAAGTTTCAAATGACCTGTGACCCTTTGTATATCTATTTTTAAATCAATTTATTTCAAGGCTGCTTCCCAACGTCGTATGGCTGCTCATAATGAATTATTTCATGAAGAATGTGATTGGGAAAGACGTTTCAAAAAGAGAAAATGTCGCCTAATTAGTTGTACCGAGGAAATTTTTGCCCAAGTTCAATCTTCTGAATTTGAAAATGACATGAAAATAGGAGCAGTTGGAAATCAAATTGTATGGAGTTTTTTGGAATAAATTTGGGATAAATATTTTATTTTTTAGGTAGAACCAATGGATCCACAAGTAGCTGCAAAAGCTGTTCTTTCCTCTATAGCAAAACAATTGAATCGATTTTTGCGTTATACGCGCCAGGAACGTTTTCACACACAATCTTCAGGTTTTTTTTGAAAAAATAAATTTTTATTTATTTTTAGTCTTTGCCCACGTACAACGTTGTTTGGCTTTTGGTTTCTCGGCTCGTACATTTCTTCAACGATTTTTCTCTAATGCTATGCCTTTCCAGGTAAATTTTTAGAACAATTTTGGATTATTAATTGGAAGTTGGGAAATATGATGGGAATTTTTAGGGATTTGACAAGATTGGAAAAATGGGAATTCTAACAATAAGAATTTACTTTGAATTAAGAATCCTTACATGCAATTTTTCAACACATACTACTAAATTCTTCCGAAAAGCCTTTAGATCATCTTGAGATCACTTAAGATCATTTTGAGTTTTGTCGGATTACCTGGGTTTTATCCATAATTTTTAAAATCGTTGAAACAGTGTTAGATAATTATTTTCTTAAATGATTTAATCAGCATTTTTTTAATTTTTTTTAATTAAAGGAAGACTTACCAGAATCAAAATGGTCATTAATTTGCGGAAATAATATTAGAGCTTCAAATTCTATTCATCACGGTTTAACTTTTGTTTTGCGTTGTCACAATGATGACAGTTTTGATAGAGGAGTACAATTATTATGTTCAGTTTCTGCCCTTCCTTTTGTTAATTTAACTGAACAATCATCTCCTTTAAATTCTTTCCGTTTAAAAATTGTTACAGGAAATCCATCAGCTGTTGAATTGGGGGTTTAAAAAAAGTTTTTTTGCTTTAAAAAATTGTAGAAGAATCTCTTTTAAATTATACACTAATTCTCAATTTTAATTTAGGAATTTTAATTTATTTTTTAATTAAAGGTGGAGATTTTAATTCATTAAAATCTTTTTCCAAATGATAAGTCTTATATTTGGACCAGGCGTGGTAATGGATACGGATACAAATAAGGTCAAAATGCTTGCGGATATCCGTCTGTATTCGCCATAAATATCCGGATACGGATACCGAAATCCATGTCCATAACCGTCTGACTTGGACAATTCATATTTAAAAAAATTGAAAATTTGATAAAGGTTCTTAGAATTTTTAGAAAATTTTTTGGAAAATTTTAACTCCTAACCACCTTTAATTTATTTATTTTCTTTAATTTATCTAAAAAACCCCAATTTTTGCTTAAAAATAATTTAAATATTTTTGCAATAAAAATACCTACTCAAAAGAAATGTTCAACTTTATCATTATTTTTCTTAAATTTATTTTCTTTATTCAAGTCATTCTCACTACTTTAACAAATAAGAGTAAAATTCTCTCATTTTTGTCTTCACTTTTTTAAAAATATTTTTTTGTTTCTTGCCTTTTTGTAATTTATTCCAAAGCTTATTTTAAAATAAATTATTAAAAAAATATATTTATTTATTTATGCTTTTAATCAAAATCACAAAATGTGTGAAAATATTGCGAGATTTTAAAAATTTTTACTCAGGCACGAACAAAATAATAATGGCAATTTTAGAAGGGTTATTTAATTAGTTTTTAAAATTGGGGGAAGATTTTATGATAAAAAATATTTGATTTTGGCGAGTCTTAAGTATGTAGTGATCGTCTTAAGCTTTAAAAAAAGTTTTTATTGTGATTGAGAAATTTTGGAAATTAAAAACTAATTAAATATTTAATAAATGCACGGATATTTAATAATGCGCACTTTAAGTAAATTTTGCAAAAGTGAAAAGATTAAATGAAAATTGGCAGGGAATATTAAATAACAGTAAATACTCTTAAATTATCAATACACCCAATCTTTTTAACTGATATGGATTGTCTAAAAATTAAAAAGTTAAACAGGATAAAGCTTGAAAAATATTTTTTCGAGATTTTTCGTCCGCAAGTTTCGGTTTGGCTTCTAGAATATTAAAATTAAATAATTTTCCTTAAAAGTGTATTGATAAAATTCTTAGAAAATAATGGATACAATAATTCGAGATAGAGAATCCCTGTGACCGACGAATGGAAAAAGTTTTTATAGATGCATTGTGTATGTTAATTTGACACAAACTTAAGAATTTTTTACCAACTGAGATTTTTTAAACTTTGAAACATCAATTTTAAGCTTATGTCGACTAAAATCCTCGTAGATATTAAGAAATCTTAATAAATTCAATCGAGCCTCATTAAAAAATACATCCAAAGATACATCGGGGACGAATCTAAGGTACCAAAAAGTATAGACATAAGTTTCAGCCCCAAGGACGTATTTAAAAATGAGTCGACTTAATTCCCAAAAATGAATGCTAAAATTCTGGAATGAAAAAAGTGTAGAAAGTTCGGCAAGAATCAAAATTAAAAAGGAAAAATTGAATTTCGTCGGTGATAAAATTTTTGCGGATTTTATAAAAATTAATTAATATTTCCTCCACATTCATCACTACAACTCGAACTACTGGCTACTCTTTGTGTTCCTCCCCCTCCCATTTTAGCCCTTCTATTATCATTAATTCCTCTTTGTCTACCTTCCCGACTGTTAAGCGGCAATAGTTGTAATTCAATAGCCATTTGTTCTGTTATTCCTCTAAGCATATTATGTCTTCGTTTAATTCCTTCTGATGAACTCATTCCGTTTTGTAAATGGGTCTTTTTATGCCGTAATAAATTGTCTTTACGGTTGAAACTAAAATTGAGGGGAATTTTAATTTTTGGATTGAAGACAAATTTAAATAATTTATTCAGAATTCCCCCAATTTCTCTTGAAAAAAACTTACGGTTTCTTACAAAATTGGCAAATGTGTGGTTTCAATCCAGTATGAATAAAGTGATGTTTTTTAAGTAAAAATTTATTTGCAAATCGTTTTTGACAATTCTTCCATGAACAAAAGAATGGCTTTTCTAAATTAATTAATATTTTAATTGGACATTATTCTTCTTTTTTCCCTTTCCCTTTATTTCAGGATTCTTTTTCCTCTTGAATTTCCCATTTCTGGAAAGAGCAAGGTCTGAATAATTATACAATTGATAGACTGGAAGTTCCGGGATTCTTTTTTTCAATTTCAGTTCCTCCCCTTTACTTTCCCTGTTTCCCCTTTCCCCTTCCTTCCCTTTAATCACCTCCATTTTCAAATTCAGTTGTTGTTCCATTACTGTCATGATCTGACAAAACATCACAATCATCTGATTTAGCTGGACTTCCAGTAATTGTTGGAGAAACAATTCCCCCCTCTCTGTCAACTTCATTAAAATCTTCTTCCATAAATCCATTTAAATCTCTCAAGTTTGCCCCTTCTTCTGTCATTATTAGTTGCCTTTTTGTTTCACGTCCCATTTTTTCTTCTTCTATCATCATTTCTTCTTCATCTTCCGGCAATTTATTCACTTCTGATTTTTCACTAAAAAATATTTAAATTTAATTTTATAAGTTTAATGTGCGCCAAAATTTTATTTCAACTGTTTAAAACGCCAAAACTTAAAGTTGGCGTTTTTACGCCTTATAAAACTTTTTTGCGCACAGGAAAACTTGAAGATTTTAGTAATTAAAAAAATATTTTTGTATTTTATTTTTATATTTTCTTTTTTCCCTCTTTTTACACATTATTTTTGCCCTAAAAAGACGTATGATTTTTTTGATCATCCCCTCATTCCCCAAATAAATCTATATTTTTTCTCAATTTTTACCAACCACTTCCCTCATTTCTTTCCTCTTTTTTTTTAAATTTTTTCCTTATCAACACAAATATTTATTTATTCTCTCCTTTCCCTCCAATCTTTCCTATCCACGTCGTCGACATTTCTTCATTATCTCCCCTCAATCCATCATTTAATATTAACCAAACCCGGCGGCGTAAAAGCTTTATTAAGGCAGCCAAAGAAGGAAGGGGGAAGGAAGGGAAGGTTTTTGTGTGTGATCATTCCTTTACTTTTTTTCCTCTTTTCCTCCTCTTAATAAACGGAATCCGCCATTTAAAGGGGTTGTTGGAGGAAAGGAAGGAGAGTTTTGTCTCTCTCGCGCGCTCACCCAAACACACACACACACGTTCTTCACTCCCGTTATTCCCCCCTTCCTTCCCCTCTTCATTCCACACCTTAAAAGCTTTTTTATAATTTTTATTCCCTCCTTCCCTGGCGGTTTTGTTTTAATAAATAAATAAATTTATTAAAAAGGTCGTCTAAAAGAGGAGGCACCGCCAAAGTAAAAAGGCTCTGAAGTTTGTAGAGGAGGAAAATATTTTTGTCGGTTGGAGGAAAATATGGTAGTTGATTGAAGATAACGAAAGAATGGAAGAGGAAGGAAGGGGAAGGGAGGAAGAGAGAGGGAAGGGGAAGAGAGAGCTTCCTATTGCGGCAGAATAAAAATAGAAAAAAAGCACTTCCCCGGCTGACCTTCGAGAGTGCCGTTTTCTTTCTTTTTTTAATTATTATTGCGGGATTGAGGTCAGCCGCCGTCACTCTCTTTTATTTTAAACTCTCTTCTCATTTAGTGATTGAGCACACATTAATTTGCTCCGTTGCTGCCGCAATTGGGCGCATTGATATAATAAGGAGGAGAGGAATAAACGAAAAAATGTGAAGAGGAGGAAAAAGGTGATGGAGTGATGGGAATGCTTGAGTGGAATGTGTGAATAAATAATGATTTTGGGGTGATTGGAAAAGGAAGTAATTTACCTAGATAAATAATTTAGATTTCTTTAATTAATAAAATTATTAAAAAAAAATTTTTTCGTTAAAAAAATTGGAAAAGCTGAAAGGGGTAGAGATAAACTAACGATTGGTTGTTCTTTTATAAATTAGCCAAATGAGAATCTAAAAATGCGAAATTTCGTATAGATATCCTCAATACTGTTAACTAAAGAATCTAAAAATTTCAGAATTTCCGATTTATTCTATCCAAAGTTGTGGTCGAAATATGCCTAAAATTAACGTTTTTAGGACCTTTCTAGCTATAACTTCTAGAATACTCAACCAAAAATTCTGAGAATTATAAAAAAGTTAGAAGATTATCAAGGATAAATGTACAAAATTTTATATTTCTAGTTTCTCATTCAAACAAATTATAAAAATTTAGGTAGCATTACTTCTCAGATAATTTGGAAAATAAATTAGGAAGACCTCTCTATTGTAGATATACCCAATACTAAATATACCTCTATTTAAGATACGTTTTTAAATTTTTTTGGCCACTGGATGGATGAGTCTTATAAGCAAATACCCCCTTCTATTTACAGCCCCAAGGGTGAATCTCGTAATAAAGGTCCACCGTCTGTATTTAATTTGTCTCTCACCTTAAAATAAAATTTTCTTCTTCTTTTGGTTGAATTAAAGAAAAAGAAGAAGATTTTGTTGTTTCATTTCTGTTAATTGAAAAAGCAGAGTTTTCTTGTCTTAAAAATTTTAAACAATTTTGTTGTTGTTCATTATTTTGTTGAAATATTCTTTGTTGATTACTTAAAGAGGCTAATTGTCCAAGCATTTGAATTTGCATTAAAGCTAATGCTGGATGTATTACTGTTGTTGGTTGAGGAGTAGGGGGAGTAGGAGGGACAATTGAAGTAGTTACTGGAGAAATTGATGATGTTGTTGCTGGAAAATGAAAGAGAATATTTTTTTTGCAAAATAAATTTTTTAAGAAGAGACAAACGGAAGGTGAGATAACCCATCTTTTGGTTATCCGATACATTAAGATATTGCTTAAAAGGGATCCTTGTTTGATTTTATCAAATTAAAATATACCGTAGTAAATAAAACAAATATTTTTAATACTTGGACAAAAGTAGAGCGAGGTTTAGGAGTGATTTTCCATAATATAATGAAAATGAATAAAAGCTGAAATCCCGGAGACAATCGGGATTACCAAGATTTACGGTATTAATTCTGCAAAATGCGTCCCTCCGACCTTTTGAGAAAAATCCGGAATTCGCAATTTCTCCACGATCAAGACAAAATATCACAAATTTTTTTTAAAATAATTTTAAAAATTCCTCCTCCTTCTTACCTTCCCCAAAATTTCCTCCTCCTCCTCCATTATTTTTCTCGAAAATTAATTTCTTTTTTTGCTTCTCAACAATATCAGCAACGGCAACATCTTTATTTTTTGAAAGTTTTTGCAAAACTTGTTCAATTCTTAATCCTTTTGTTGGTGTAGAAGGGGAATTTGTTAATGAAGGTAAGAATAAACGTTGTTGTTGGTCTTGTATTGGAGTAAATTGTTGGAAAGAAGGTTTTGTTGTTTCTGAAGGAGAGGATGTTGTTGATGATGTTGTTATTGAAGCTATTGAATGTGTTGATGGGGACATGTTATTTGTTGAATGTCGAAATGAACAACTGAAAAAATAATTTTTTGAATTTAATAAAAAATTTAAAAAATTGTGAGCAAATTTTTTTTTAAAAATTTATTTTTTAAATAAATGATGAAAAAAGAGAATTTTATTTTAATTAATTTTCACATGGATAAAGCCTAAACATAAAAACCAGAGGTGGGCCGGAACAGTCAGAGGTGTCGGAAATCAGAAGAGCCGGAAATCGTAACTGGCTCAAAAGTCGGAACTCGGAAATCAAAAATTTTTTTCTGAAATCGGAAGGATAAAAATCCGGAAATTAGAATTCCGAACCACCTCTGATTAAAACAAATAATTCTGATAAAAGTGGCCCTTAGAGGGGGGTCGGTTATAAAAAAATCTTTGGATATCCGGAACAACCCTAAGTTAGGTTTTGAACTGACAACCTTACTCAAGCGAGGCTTCAAAAGATAATTAAATTGAGAGATCTTCTCGAAAACTATTAACAATTAACTGTCTAGTTTTTCTTTAATTAAAAAAATAAAATTAATTGCCGTCTAAAAACTCAGTAAAAAATTAAAATGTTTTCCACCATTTGTTTATATTTTTGTGAATAAACAAAAAATTAAAAAAAATCTAATTTTTTTAAAATTTATTTTTTAAACTCTCCCTCCTCTTCTATTTTGTCCTCAATCTAAACACACAATATTGTGTTTAGATAGATCCCCCCGTTCCTTCCTAGAAATCTGACCCTCTAAAAATAAAAAGGGGAGAATAATGTGTTTATATCCATTCTTTTTTTATTTAAATAAATTTTCTAGCCTTGACAATATTGTTTCACCGCTCCTCCAAAAAAGAGTTTAAAGGGGGAAAGCTCATAAACTCTTCAATTCCCCTCTTCTACAAACCCCCCAATTTTTATTTTCTTCCTGTAAGGGTAAAGGGAAGTTCAACGAAAGAAATGTTTAGGCGCAGCTTTATAAAATTGCCTAAAAATAATTTAAAAATGTGAAATTTTGTAAAAATATCTTAAATAATGTTACCTAGCCACTCAAAAATTTTCAGACTTTTTGGTTGATTATTTGGGATGTTATGGGCAAAAATATCTATAAAAGTCATTGAAGTCCGTTGACTTTTTGTTTTATTTCCCCCATAACTTTCGATTTAATGAACTAATAATTCTGAAATTTTCAGAATTATTAGAGAACATCCCGAAGATTATTTTTACAAAATTTCAGAATTCTAGAACCATTTTTGATTATTTTATTGGCAGCGCCGAAACATCCCCTTTTTCATTGTAAAGTCCAAGTCCCCCTTTGTCCTTTCTTTAAAAAAATAATTTTTTCTTTTCTTAAAAATTCTTTTAGATTTTATAAAGAAAAGTAAAAAACATTGTATAAATATTATAATCTTATAACAAAATCAACCCCGACAAAATTCTCATAAACATTTCACAAAATCAGCACATCTTTAAAGCTTTTTCTCCTTTTTTATTTTAATTTCCCCCTTCTTTCTCTCTTTGTTTTTCTGATCATCATCAGAAAATCTGTGGCCAAAGAGGGGAAAAGGGGGAAAATTAAAAAGAAAAAAGACGGCAATTTCTTTTTAATTTATTTGAAAACAATAGGGGAAAAGAAATTGAGACAAAAAAGAAAAGAGAAGATTTTTGTTTGTTGGCAGCTTTTTCTTTGAAATAAATTTACAAAAACATATGTATTTTTTGTTGAATTTATTTAAATAAAAAAAGAAAAGTGTCGGCACTCTCCAATTTTCCTGGCCACTTACTAATCGTTTTTTTTCTAACTTTTGTAAATGAATGGAGGAGGAAAATTTGTATTTATTTTTAGTAAAATGATTGAAAAAGAGATAAATAGAAGAGGAAGGAAGGAACTGTTTTACATTTAAAAAATAAAAAAAATAAATATATGGGTGGTAGTAGTGGAGAAGTGCTGCTGCTTTTTTAGTTAAATTGATATATAAAAAGTACTAAAACAAAAATATAGGGTGATGATGATTGAATAAATTGAATAAATAAATTTATAGGTAAAATAGGGAAAAGATAAATAATTAAATAATTTTTTAAAAATTTATTTTTGAGTTAATAATGCACGATCAGACTTAATAATGCACGATATACCTTGTTTAGGGTGAAAAAAATTTTATTTTATAAAATGAGGTGTATCTTAAACAGGAGTGGTATTGCTTAAACAATCCCACGCCCAGTGGCTAATTTTTAAAAAAAGTAATTTTAATTGAGATGTAAACTTTATTGGGTATAAATATCTTATAGAGATCGAGCTGGGTCTGGACCAAGGCCTGGGTTTTTCCTGTACCCAAAGGGTCCAGACATTTTTTGACCTTCCTGGGCTTTTCCTGAACTACAGGCCCAGGGCAATAAATCAAACATGGAACACAGGAACAGGCCTAGGATTTTCAAAAATCTTGATTTCTAATATCTTATAGAGAGGTTTTTTGTAGTAAATAATGTCAATCCTTTATTGAAAGTTTCCTCAAAATTTAAAGAAAATTACTAAAATTAAAATATTTTCCTAAAATTATTTCTCGAATGCTTCTTCCCCCTTTATCCCTTACACCCTACCATTTTTTATTCTTCTCATGTTTTCCCTCATTCGTCCCTCCCTCGACCACCCAACCACATAAAAGCAATTTAAAAATATTACTGTACAAATAAATAAATCCTTTCTCTTTTTTTAATTTTTCCAAGAAAATTCCCCTCGATAAAAGCCACAATTAATTAAAATTATATCCCCCTCCCTCTCTATTTTCCCCTCCAAATTAGTAATTTAATGAGGGAAATAAATAAATAATTAAATGATTTTATAGACAAAAAAGGGAAGGAAAGGTTAAAAAATCGAGAAAAGAAGGGAGACTCTCTCCTTTTTTATTTCCTTATCAAAGCAATTAATCGAAGAGGTAAAAGGAATTATTGAGGTAAATTAAGGGGGAGAGAAGGGTAAATGAAGGGGAAATGGATTGAAGAAGAAAATAATTTTTATCGAAAAAAATATTGAGAAAATAATTAAAAGGTTAGAAAAATTTTGAGGGAAATTGTGACACAAATAAAAAAAAATAAAAATCTTTGAGGGGTCAAAAGTTTAGTTAAGTAAGCAGTAAAGGCGGCAAATATTTTTTAAAGAAAAAAGGAAGTTTAAAAGATTGACAAGAAAATTAAAATGTTAAAAAAGGAAAAAGTAATTTAAAAGTTGAAATTAATTTTATGGGAAAATTTTTATTTTTGATTATTTATAAAAATGGAAAAGGGTGGCTTTATAAAATAACTATCCCCAATAAAAGAAAATAATTTTAAAAATAATTAAATTTGTAAATAAAATCACACCTCGCTTTTAGACAAACTTTTGAAGCTTAAAAAAGTGTCCTACATATAAGGTATCCAATGTCGCTTAGATAACTCCCCTGCCCAACTAATTTTTAAATTGAAGACTATATTTACTTACTAAATGTATTTACCAGGGATCTTGCCTACTCAATCCCCGAAAATGTTGAATTTGGTTTTCTGTCGGCGCGATCCCTGGTGTCTACAATTGAGGTATTTAACTGTCTAAAAAACCCCCCCCCCCTAATAAAAACCCCCCTAAAACCCTTCAAAAACAAATACCCACCCTTTGTGTAGCAACAAACAATCTTGCAACAAAAATCTAATTTGTCTCAATTCATCCAAAAGTTGATTGTTGTTTCCTCCTCCTCCACAATTATTTTCTTCAAAAAAGAAAGGCCTTAAAGGAAGGCAATGAAGATCAGCAGCAGCAAATACCGGCAATTTCCCCAAATTAATTAATTTTTCAAAATTAATCAAAATTTCTTCACACAAAAATTGTTTATTATTTTCTTTTTCAAAATTTAAATTTTCTTTTTTCTCTCCAACAAAATTCCAAATTAATTCAAGCGAATGACGAAAAGATAAAGTTGAAAAATTATTTAATAAAATTGTTTTGATTTGTGGAAGGGAACGGAAATTGTTGAAGAAACATAAAAGGGAATCGACTACAACGGCATTTTTAATATTTTTTAAAGTTGTTGGTTCTGGTGTGATACATTGATGTTGGGGGATATTCATGACTTTTTTTGTTCTAAAATTTAAAGAAGATAATTTATTTAATAATTTTTAAACAATTTTTAAAATTTAATAAATTAACATATTCTAGTGGTTAATAGATTACCTAAATATATACCTAAATACGTCTTGACCGACTTATATTCGCGTTAAATTAAATAAAAATTGCAACTGCTTTAAAAAATTTAATTTTTTCCTCAAAAATTAAATTTAATGTGAACTTAAGTGGATCAAGACGTTATTATAGAATCTATTAAGATCAAGCGAACGACGAAAAGAAATAATATTTTTATTCAAGAAAGAATTTTT